GCGATACATATTCCGATTCGTCTTTTGTAGCGCAGCCGGCATTGAGGCACCGCGAAGATGCCTCCTCGCTCATTGTAGTAAATTTCTTTCTTATATTCTTATTTATTAATATTTTGTTATTTATTGCGTTTTTTATGCGTTTCACGGCGGCTATCAATAAAAAACGCATAGAAATGTGTGTGTAATCACAAAATCACGAAAGTTAAAACAAAATTATTTAGATTTAATAATATTCCATAGAGTTTGGTGTGGAAGTGTAGAATTGTTGAAGTTGTCGACGTCGATGGTGATAACGTAGGCAGAGTTATGAGAGAGGAGTGGATGCGTCGCGACGAGTGTTGCTATGGAGACGGCAAACAGCCGCCGATTCGTGAACGCGCTCACAGCGATTCGATTTCTCTCCGGCGCGAGTTTTCCACGAGTTGAAAATCCCGGAAATGGAGTAGCTCTACGCGCCCCTGTCGAATCAAAGCTCACGCGGCCAAGTTATGCAATATGGTAATCTATCAAAGAGTTTGCGGCACAAATTAGCACACGCAAACTTCTTTGTATCATTTACATTCATCGCATTCATCATCCGGTTGTAATAAGCTTTACAATTTGACAAACTGGCTCAAACTTTGTATTCAACACATAAGAATATTAATTCTCTTCTCTCAGCATTTTGGTTGTGGATTTAATATTCAGTTTATTATTGAATTCGGTGTAGATATTGTAAAAATGCGGTTTTAAAAAATGATGTGGGCGCTTATTTTGCATATGATTTATTAACACCGAAACAAAAGGCACTCGTTGCTCTCGAGCGTTTATTATTTCGTGAAATAGTTTTATTGGTAGTTAAAAGCGCGCGCGCATGATATTTTTTTCCTCCAAGGATGCAAACAAGATACGAGGCAATTATAAAACGTTGAATTTGATTTAAGGACGTCGGCGCGTCGTCCTCAACTCGACCGCGGCTTCTTTTAGTTGGCGTACGCCGTCGCCTGTCATTTCAATGAATTAATACTTTTTTAACGCGCATATTCAAAAACCTTTTTTACAGAACCTGAATTAGAAAAAATAATATAACTAAAAAATAATAAATCATAAAATATTATTTTTATTATAATACCTGTGCAATATAAGTAAGATTATTAAAAATATTTTAAAAGTTAAGTACGGTTCTGTGTGATTGACTTTTATTAGTATATTGGGCGTAGATGAACAGTGGTATACTTAACAACAAACACGCAGCACACGTGCACAACGCTCACCTGAAAAATAAAAGGATGCCCGCCATGACAGGCTGGCTGCGCATGTGGATATATCGGAAATCGCCCTGTGGCCATTTCCGTCTGCTACCACATCTCCACGTCTCCCTGTTCGGCGCCTGCGCGCATTATTTACAGCGCAGCAAAGTTTCATTACAGCGAATTATAGCATGCGTCGTTCATTTGTATTGAGCCGCATTTTTAATATTTAACGAGCGCTTCAATTTATTAGAAAGACAATCATACCAATAGGTAACATTAGAAACCATTTATTTTAAACATCATCAATAGGAAAACATCAAAAACACCGATTTTAACCTTGAAACTTAAAAGTTCAGATTTTTTTAGGTTAGATTAGGTTATGTTAAAATAAATAAGGTTAAGGTACATGAATATATCTGATCCTATACGATTCTAATACGATGAATATTTTGATTAGTCTTGATTGTAGTTGACAAATTTTCCCAGGAAATGTATCAAATCCATCACAATGTGTGCATTGCACGTCCGATTAGGTGCGATAAGATATTCACTTGCTGCTGAGATGCGCACAATGGACGCACTCGGAATTGCAGACGCAACAGTGTCGCGATAAATCAAGTGGAAGGCAAATATTCCGGTGTGAACCTGCGGGGACACGACGTCGCCGCACGGCCCTCGGGGGTGTTTAATTCATAGTTAATGCAGCGTTTCCGGGGCGGCGCGTGTTGTGCGACACCCTCTCGTGCACCTCGCGCCGCTTTGGCATTGTCACAACACACGCGGCGCCTTTGTGCACCGCATTAGTTATCTATGCGCATTGAGTGCGCTTGGTTTATTGGCGGCACGCGACTCTAATTATCGCGGGCGGGCAAGAAGAAAAAAGGGAATTTCATTATTTATTTAGTAAATTTAGTTTAACTAAATAAAGTTATCTTGATAATTTAATTATTAAAAATATTTTTTTGAATTTTTCGGCCTTTAAAAGTCTTTGCAGCCCTAGGGCAGTAAAATTTTGCTTCCCTAGGGCGGTAAAACTAAAATTTTCTGTTTTAACATTTTTTTGTGCTTTTAATAAAATCTCATTTTTTTTAATGTTGCGGGCCGTTAAAATACTTCACAGCCCTAAGGCAGTTAAATTTTGTTCCCCTAGGGCGGTAAAAATAAAAATTTCTTATTTAAAGCGTTTTATACGCTTGTTATTGGCTATGGTAGAGTCTCCAGTCAGTTTCTCGAATGTCGAATCTCTCGTTTCGCCTCCAGTGCATTATTAATTGAAAGTACGCTTGCTGCACGCATGCCCCGATCATCCAACGCTCCCAATGCGGCGCACGTTACAATTTATTGTATTGATGTTTGTATTCAATCGCCGGTGCCGCGTCGCGCCCGCTCAAGTAATAAGAGCAAATATATCGTTTTCATCGATACGATGCCAACCGCCGTCCGGGCCCGAGGGATATTTACTCGCATAATGTAGATTCATTTAGCCACTGTATGTAGGTATGAGCACAGCTCTTATTCAGCCAAAGGGTTTAATATTCCTGTAGCGCAGCGCAAACGAAGGAGCTGCATGTATTGTTAATGATGACTCAGGAGTAGATTTTACAAACAAATAGAAACAAAGAAATCAAAAAAATTCATTAACAAATGTTTTAAAAATTTGATACTTTTATATTTTTGCGGAGTATCCCACGATATTCTCATTACTCCCCGTGCTAGAAATAGATTAATGCACACATGAGCTACGTTTGTATTCGCACTCGTTGAATAAATGCATAAAGTGAACGCGAATAAATGGTGTAAGACTGGGAACGCGAAGCGGGACGTGATCGCGTTACGCAACGCGGTGCAGTGGAGACACCCCGTCGCGACGCTTCAGGGGTTGTGTCATTCCGTTTGAACTCGTACATATTTCAACTATTTATGTGTATGTGTGAATATGTAGATGTGCGTTTGTGTACCGCTACTTGTGTCTGCCTGCGATTTGTACATGTTCCCTTCGCTTTTTTTTCGATTTTCATTTCGATTGATTCGTGCGTGTGTTCCTCGCTACCTTGCGTCATCTACACTTACAATCAACGCGTTCAATGTTCATGTTCTTCTATTGTGTCAGGTTGGATGTCTGCTGATTGCGCACGTCCCGCATGTTATTGACGATCAATCAGTTAGCTCGATATGGTTATCGATATCACGGTATCGTATCGATATCAATCGGTATAAGACGTTGGAGGTTAGAAGCACGTGGAAATATTATTGTCATTATTTATTGCGTTAGTTTCCTGCAGGAAATTTGGATATTGGAGATTAATTTAACATAAGGTGATCTAATTGTGGTAATTTTTTGAAATTCTTATATTTCTTATATGTTTAAAAATTGATATTTTTGGGCAAATTATTATTGAAAAATTAATTTGAGACATAACTGGCAGTTATTAACTGCATCATAAATTTATAAAATTTGTGGTTTTAAAAGCATTAGAGAAGATTAGAGAAGAAAAAATAAACTATAGATTTATTATTAACTGCAACGTCAATTATTGAGTTAAAATAGTTATTTTTGATGATTATACAAGAAAAAATTGTTAAAAATCTCTCTTATTGTCCAAAACTTTATTTTTTATACCAAAATACTCAAATCTTATGTAAACACAACAATTAACATGAATAATAGAAATAATTCTTTTATAAATAGAGAAAATCACTACCTCAAGTACTTTATTACTTTAATAAGCATAAAATCTGTGATTATGTCAATTGTTAACACGTTAACACGTCTAATTCATTACCTCTTAAACTTATAAACCAACACAAATAATTACTGGCTATTTAACGCTTAAACAATACAACAATACAAAACTTGATGTCAACGCAGCTTTGTTTGTTCAAAAATCAATAGAAAGCAACTAGAAAATATGATAAACACCAATACCTACTAAAATTAGGGGCAAATTTTTGCACATAATCTGTTACTCAACACTTCATTATAAAATCTGCACACATTTTATATTTTTCTTGAATAAAAGACACAAAAATAAAATTCACATGATGCTCCCTTTAAAATATATTCTGTTGAAATGCATATTTAACATAAATTTGTACACTTCATATTTAAATTTACCAAAAACATGCGCAACATCTTTTACATTGTATCTTTAGATGTTAAACGTTAAGTACCCGAAAGGGTTGGTGATGAAAATGATTTATTTCTTAATTTGCATTCTTTGGCTGACTTTAATTGCGTCTAATTAACATTTTCGAAAATTTATGTCCAGGGAAAAACGTTAGAATGATGTTAGTTTGTTAGAAATATTGCGAGAGGGTAGTTACAGTAGTCTACATGTTACATTGTAGTTAGTATGCACAATGCTTCAGCAAACAACAAAAAACCAAACACATATGCACACACAGAGGAGAAAAATGCAACCGCAAAATCAAAACCCTCGCACCCTCGGCCACCAAAACGATACTCGCGCATGTATGTAGCAACCATTCACAAATATTCATCCCCTCGTTGTGCACTTGGTGCTTGTTACATAATATTCCCCTGAAACATGTAGAGACAGTGAATGTGTAGTGAGCAGATACGAGGGTGTGGCTTTTGGAAGCAAACCACGCCTCGACAACGATGAAATGTTGCGTTGGATCCGGGGGGCTATTACTCTGGTGGACCCTCCGCCGCGCACGCTTACCACTTACCACTCGGTGTTCACCTTCGAAGGCCCGGCCCAATCCGCACGATTCGATGGCCTTTCCGCTGATGTACTACCCGGATTCTTCGGCTGACGGCCGTTAGTCGTTTGCACGCTGCGTCCACGTTCACATCTGCAAGGCGTGTGCTGTGAGAGACTTTAAATATAAACACACACGAGTTAAAATCTTTGATTATGACAGTTTATGGTTAAACACTCCAGAGTTAAACAAGTGATGTTAACAAGCGTGCAATAATTAGACTGTATTTAAATTCAGTTCGATTCCAAATGCAACTCGGCAAACTGGAAGGTGAATTCGAGCATATTACTACTGAGATCATGAAGGTATGTGTGGAATTATTTTTTATTAACAATTTTTTGTATTTTCAACCTACGCGAATATTTTTTCGGCGGTTGTAAACATAAATCAAAGCAATTAAAAATACGCCGATTGCCGATCGATGAGTTATTATCACAGAAAAAAAAATTCTTAAAGATTGAGTTTTTTAATTGATGTCTCATAAATTAGTTCAGATATTTATTCGTTACGGATATATTTCAACACAAATATTTAACTGTTATAATTAATATAACCGGTGTGTTTCTATCGCGTGCCATGTGATAATTTATAAACAAATTAATTTCTAATTATTATCTAAGTATTTCCCGGTGCATTATGATTGAATTGATGAAACACGGGTAAAAAAGATGGGTTTTAATGTGTGGCCCACCTACCGCTAAGCGTCGGAAGCGCACCTAATCAACACCACATAAATCTGATAACGATCTCTCCTGCGGTTACCGCGCCGGTTTTCGATGGCGATAAACGGATGCCCCGTGTGCTCAGACAAATCAAGACTGTAGGTAGAGTGTAGACTATATCCTCCTGCATCATTTGGTCCATGAGCCGCATGTTTATCTTATTATGGATATAAAAACAGTTGTATCAAAGTAATAGCGGCTTTAAAACTGTTAATGAGGAGTCTAATTAAGTGCAATAAAAGTTACAATGTGTAAAAACACTGACAAATTGTTTCTCGGGTTATTTATTTCAATTTTTGTGTGAGTTTAATGAGTTTAAGCTTTGGGTCTTATTATTTCTTAGGAAATCGAACGGAAATTAAAGTTTTCAAATGACAGTAATAAATTTAGATATAGCTATCATCAGTTTTGCTAAATTACTGATAAACATGCAATGTTTGCTTCTTGATTTTCTACAACTGCAATTTATGTCATTGAGAGAAGTGTGACTTGATCAGTTTCCTATTTTGGAAATATACCTACCTATTCATGTAGTAGCAATGCAATAGTAAATAAATTGCACAAATAAAGATACCTACACAATCATTGCAGTTCATTAAAATGTAAAATCTGTGTGTTTTTGGCCAAAATGATCACTTTTGGCTTTTATCACAATTTTTAGGCATATTTTAGACTGTAAACATCACTTTATGTTAAAACAAGTTTAGAGACATACTTAAGTCTTAGTTTATTATTTTTTACGCGATTTTTTTACAATTTTTTAACAAATTTTATTGAAATTTTAAAAAAATTGAAGAACAACCTTTAAAAAGTTTTGCCTTAAAGTTTTGAATTAACTAAGTCATTTTTGAACTAATTTCATACTCCACCCTGTATATTTATACATTTCCTATGAATTTATAAAGCAACGCCAATTAAAATTGATTTATAATCACGACGCATCATTTAAATGCATTATGAACCAAGTCACACGCAATCCTGTGATGATACAACTTAATAATTTCATGTTTCCTCCACCTGGACATGGATGACATCTGATTTCAGAGCTTCACAGCTTTCAGTGGCGACTTGAACGCGTTCTCCACAATTTTCACACGTGTGTTCACAACTTGTTTATTAAAACAACACTTCAACCACAAAATATCAACGTTCATCCACTCTCAAGTGTTTAATATTTTCGAAGATGTCAAAATATAGGTACATCATACCTAAATATCAAAACGGTATTTTTATTATTCCATACTTAACGTCAGTCAAAAAAAAACTCAAGTGTGATAAACTGAAATTGTCCAAATTGAAAGATTATGATATTACCTAAGTAAAGTTAATCCATTTGGCAAAGTGAATAATTCGAAACGTGTACATGAAGAGATTTTGATCATTTCGATAACATCACACACTTGGTTGGTAGCCATGATGGTAGTCACTAGTCAGCTTATTACCCGACGATAAATGTCTTAACGCTCGCGTGTTTATTAAAACGTCTTTTTCACTGTCCGTGGCTCGCATCATCTAACACCGAAAAAGATTCTATCCGCGCGAGATAATGGCGTCGAATTTACGTTTTAAAGAGTTTTCAGCACGACGCCTGCGCGTTCCGTAGCTGCTGGACGCCTTCGCTCGCATTGTGCGTTACCGCGCGGCGCGTCCTCAACAAATAGAGATATTAATTCTTATCATTATCAATATCATCTACCATAATTGCCTCCGTGATGGGTATAAATCGACGCCATCTGTCAAGTGATACGCTGCTGCTTCTACCATGCTTCTACCTACTGCTTACATTCTTCATCAACGCTCGCTTCTTTTACATCTTTACACTTTTTACACATACCTACACCTTCAATATTCATACCCTCATATTCTCTACATTCTATTACTTCGATAATAACAACATACGCATCTCGAAAGATAAAAAAAAAACGAAAAAAGATTTATCAATTTTTTACATGCAGCTACATGTGGTAGGTACCTACATAGGCCTATGGCTAAAATGTGGAAGCATTATTCAATCGTGAATAATAAATACATGCAACCGATGAAGAGAAATGATCGCCATGATTGATACTTACAGCGTTCTCGTGTTTATTTTGCCATCCGCATCGGACACCCAATCGTCCGTCGTCCGAAATCTATGGGATGAATTATGCGCGATCCATACGGGTGCCGGTTGTGTTTTCACGCGCGTAATTAACAAATGTACCGTTAAAACATGCGCAAGATTAGAATTTACTTCTTCTACTGGTAATGTTTAGATTTTCAAAACTAATCAAGCGAGAGACTAATTATAAACTTAGCATTTGGCGCCTGGTTTAATATTCGCGGTAATTATTACTCATTAATCAATCTTTTTTAATTGGGTGTGTGTTAAATATTATAAATATTTCATACTTGCTTATGAGTCATCAGTATTTTAAGGTTATGTTTGTTTTTTAGTGTTTTTGTTTGTTTTTGAGGTTATTTTTGAGTTTTTTGAGGTTAGAACTCTAGAATATCACTTAACAAGCTTGTAGTTTTAATATTTCATATGTCAATGAGTCCGTTCAACACAAAATACCCTCCGCTATATAAAAACTACCTTTGTATCAAAAAGGGGATTGTTCCAAACACGCCCCTGTCATTTTGAACACTCACATATGTCCCTCACCACTATTTTCATTCTTCGTCCCCCTTTATGTTAATTTTGCATGGTTATATCATGGATGTGCAAACGCTGGATTGACTTCCGCTGGCTTTGCCTTAAAAAGACCTTATCGACGCGTGAATCTACCCGCAACGAGTAAGCGCAGTAGCGCAACCAAGTTTACAACTATCGATAAAATTGTCGCGCCGACATAAATATCACGCCGAACACGATAATCTACTTTTCCTTGCCACCGGCTGGATTTAAAACGAATGCGCATTGTTTCATTCTGAAAGGGTTTTAAATCCAAATTAAGATTAAAAAGAACGTGCCTCGCACACGTAAGCAGTAAGTAGGTAATCGTTTCAGGACACATGCAGATGATGCAAGATGGAGGAGAATGTTGGAAATGAGTTAACATTCTAACAGCTTCTTGGATTACCTAGATGTATGCGCATGCAAGTGTGTAGTCGTTGTGTGGCTTGGAGCTGCGCGATTGTTAACAATCGGTAACAATCATTTGTATCATTTACGCCTTCATGGTGGGCACCACCGTATGTGCCAGGTCAGTACGTGACTATCTACGCATCGATATAATGCCTGCCTAATTTACATATGTCACACGGCACTATAGATGGTTGCTGTGCAGCGTACAGCGAACAGATTATTGATTGATTGTCGAAACTCCAATTCGATGTTTTGATATACGCTGGTAAAACTATTTAATACTATTACGAGGGTGTGTCAATGCGATTTACGGTTTATATCTTAAACTGCACCCGGAATTTACGCGCTTGACTTGCATTTTGAGGTTATACGCGTGTGGGTGAATTTCTGATAATTTAGGTTATGGCAAAAAACAATAAGTGAGACATCAGAGTTTATTGTTCGTTTTCATATTAATTAATGCCGTTAAACGCCCGATAAACAAGCTGTAACTCGCGCGGATGAGTGTGAATGGCCCCCCCGCGAGGGGGACGCGGAGCTTCGCAGCCGGACACCCTGCGGTTTTCGAGCCTCCTGCGGTTCACGCGGCCAGCGCGGCTGTAAATAATAACGAGCCACAGCAAAAAATAAACGTAGAAAAACGCGTTGCTTGGTAATTTTTATATCATCGCCACCACACTTGCAGGTGGGGTACCGATAATATAAATCTGCTCGCATTGCTACATTGACACATTTTCGGTCTACGGTGGTAATAAATTTTTGAGAGTCGCGAAATCGCGTAATTTAAGGTGTTATAACATCCATTTCGGTCGGGTTGCCTTTATAAAGAAATGTTGCCTTTTTTGCCGCGCTGAGCTGGTTGAAGATCCACACCGCGTCGAGACCATAAAGTCTTCGCGTGCGTATAGGTGTCGGTGGGAGAGCTCCCGAATACAATGCGCTGCGTTGGAATCCGTGTGTGGAATTTTCAAAGTCGATTTATCATAAAATCCTTTCGGACTCCAGAGACCGTGTGGCGTGAATCGCACCTCTCATCTACACCCGCTCGAGTTTACCACGTGCATACCGCTGGAATATATCAACATCACATTTAAAAATTAAACAAAAATTTTATAAAGTTTTTAAAATTCTAAACTTGAATTTTATAGGTTATGTTTTTGGCATTTTTAGAACACACTGTATGGTGTACAGGAGCGTGTAAGTAAAACAAGACCGATTTTAGCTCTTTTAATCGTGGAAGTCGCTTTGAAAACCGCCTTGCTGCACTTACACACGTGTATGATATATTATTCAAGGTCTTTGCTATAATTTATCAATTTGAGAAAATATTATAATACACATTATGGTCATAAAGAACATTTTCACCGCTCTTTTATTTTTTACGTTTCTGATTCCGTTGCGGCGCGCGTAATAGGCGAATGCAAAACGCCTGTAAGTAATAAGTAATAACGAAATAATTATTTATTTATTATGCTGATACAACGCCGCTTGAGACGTGGTATAAATTCATGCATTTTCTACGCATGGATACAATGCGGTAGCGTTTACGCATTTTGTTCCTCGACATCTGCTCCACGTCGGCGCGGCGCAAACGCTTGGCACAAGGTGTGAATTTCGTCGTAATGCGCAAAAGATGCGAACGTAACGACTTGAAGACTTTACAATTCGCTGTGGCTGTGTGCAGCACGAGCCACAAAAAACACACCAAGGCAATAAATACCAATACATTCGAAGTGTTGTCAAGAACTAAAAGACTAAAAAGGTGGGCGGCTCAAGGAGGTGCGCATAAAGATACAATAGCAACAATAATAAATACCCTTGCATGAAAAGTTTGCCATTCGCCGCTGGCCGAAAAGAAGGAAAAGAGGAAAAGACTATGACGTTAATATCACTTAAGCATATTAAATTCAACACTTATCCGCACTCAAATTCAAGAGAAGTCTTATAATCGACGATTAATGTGATTTATTGAAGATTTACCAACTATCAAACGAAAATACCGCGGGGTAACAGGTTCCACGACTATCATTTCACAGATGGCGTGTGTGGTAATCGTGTAATAATGTAGAATGTAAAAGTTTCATTTATTTTCTGACATCTTATTAATTTTTTAATTACTTTGTCGAGCAGCGCACAATTAGTCTGCATAGCGGGTGACCAATATGACGAAACGGTGCGCAAAGATGAGACAATACCATCGCCGCATGACGTCCATTAATTCTTTCAAGCACGTCAAGTTGAGGCGATGCCAGTCAAGAAATAGCAATTCAAATGAAGTCAATAACTTAACATGAACCAAGTGCAAAAAATATGTTCAATGTATTTGTGTACAAGCTGCGTTGTTCACGTTCACGAATTTGGCCTTCCTCACACCCTTGTAAAGTCAAAAATACTCCAAAGTGGAATATAATAGAGTGGGTAACATGGTGCCGTAGAAAAACCAAAACGACACACAATGACAATGGGTGTCATACACGATATTGGGGTTCCCTTGATGCGTGCCACATGGGTGTGATTCAACTGCTCAACTGCGGTTAATAATTCGGTTTAGCCGCCGTCTTTACGCACACCTCAACGGAGTCAATGTTGGGGGACACCGCACAACGCACGCATCATTACACATCAACGAATTTTTCGGCCGGCCCAAAATCACACCCCAAATCTGCGAATTCATCATTGATCACAGTGTAACATACAAGTAACCAAAGAATATGTTAGTGTGTTGAACATTTATTGATATTGATAGATGCTTATCGATCAGAACAAATCGTTTTCACGTTCTGTTCGGTGGGTTCATATCAGATCTTTTCGATTTGTTTGTCTCCCATGACTTCCTCGACGCTTTGACTCGATGGTCATCTTATACCGGATTAAATTTGTAATCTCTTTGGCTACTTGCAGCACGTACGCGCTTCTTCACTCTGTGGTGCGTCGGATATCGGCGCGTTTAATCGGATTATCGCACGAAGGGGGCACACTCCTTGAATTTTAATCCGGCGCATTGCTACTCCAGCAGCAGCAGCAGCGCAAAATGAAGAAGTCATGCGCTTACAATTGAATTATAAAAAATCGTCCGCGTCTTTATCAATGTGCATGGCATAATACTATAACACGATAAATACGATAAGTAATGTCAAAAGCATTGAATTTCATTCATATTCAGATTCATTCAATTAAAATCTTGTAAAAAATTCTAAGAAATATTTATTCCTTTATTTCAAGTTTATAATCGGACTATAAACATTTCAAGTACCCAAAATGTACAAATTTTGAAGTAGGTGGCAGAAGTCCACTTATAATCTGATTAGGAGGCAATCAAAGCTAAAAGCACGAGTGCCCATGACAATAGTTGAAAGCACAACACGCACTCGAAAGCCTCCGGGTCGACAATAGAACGACAATCGCATTTTACGCACCCAAACTTGGTGAAAACGTAAAGGTGTCACATAGCATGTTGAAATATACGAGTAGACGCCACCCGGTGAAGCGTGTCTTCGAAAATTTGTGAAAATACTCGAGTAACATAATAAAACCAACCCACAGTTGTCAATAAAACTCGAAAAGTGCGTCGTGCCCCTCGAAATCGCTTTGTACGTTTATGGTTCATGCACACAGTACCAAGTATAGTCCTACAGGGGTGTTATTGTTATTGTTATGATACCCTCTGTGAATTTTATACAAATAACATCAGAGTTGCATGTAGCATGACAGAGAATCTTCGGTATTTAAACATTTTGAAAATAATTTTTAAATTTTATCTCAATTAAAATAAGTATATGTTGTGATCGGCTTCGTTTATGTATTGAGTATGCCGACGTCGTTCAATGAATTGATCATCGCATGACTCGGCCATTTTGGCATTTCGCTCGCCGGAAAAACCGCCCACGACGCAATACCCTTTGACCTTTCATCTTCTCTATGCGAAATATGCGACTATATGAATCATATTTTTGTTGCAGACTGAGTTTCGATTGTGTTCGGCGTGTGGCGAACCGATCAGCGACAAATTCCTGCTGGAAGTATCCGGCAGGAATTGGCACGCACGATGTCTTCGATGCTGTGTCTGCCAACTGCAATTGGATCGTCAACCGTCGTGTTTCATACGCGATAGAGCCGTCTACTGTAAAGCAGACTATGCCAAGTGAGTAAATGTTTTGTTTTTTATTTTTTAGTTGATGCTTTTGGTGATTTTGTTTCTCCACCTCCTGCTTTTGATCCTGTAGCTGTGGACATAATTTCTTCATGTGCGCAAGTTGCATTCTTGCGGATTGCTTGAGGCTTCCAGCTTTCGTGTAGGTTATAGGCGCGCACCAGTCGAACACAACAAATCGAGAGATTTATTTAAGCCGCGCCGACGAAATGCGGCCGGCACGAATGCACAAAACGTGTTAAAAAGACGATTTGAATATTCATCGCCAGCGTCAGCTTCTTGCCTCGACAAGAGCTACTACAGCCAGGCACTGAATTACATACTGACTGTTACCTGAATAATTTCAAAGAAATTTTACTTTTTCTGTGAAAATTTAAAGTTTATTACCTAATACGTATCCATTTTAATATCGCGGATATTTTGTTTTGTAAAAATAATAAATTTATGATTAAATAATGTTGTAAAATGTGTGTAATTTGGATTTCTGCCGGTGTATCTTGTACGTATTCCTACGCATCGTTCACCTTTCGTCAGAGGCTGAGTGGTGACTCCTTGCAGAGCCTGAAACACAACACAAGTGATGTTCGTGTTTGCGCCGTCGTTCCGCTACCGTTCGGTTCGCTCCTTCGCCCGCTGGCAATCACAATCAGGCCCGTGTATCGGTTAATGAGCGGCTCTCTTCTTTTTTGCGCCTCTTTGTTTCCCTTTCGGGGCGCCTAATTCGTCGCTCTTTATGCGAGGCGCGATACGCGAGCCACACGAAATTTGTTACCATTTCATTCACTTCCCCGGCTGATATGACCAATAGCGACGAATAAATTAAGCCGCAGCGCACGCACGCAATGCATTCCACACATCGAGATTGTCGCCGGCCGACGGAAACGCATCGGCGTGCGGACATTAAACTTCAATTTGGCTTGCTTTAGGAGCTTGTCGCCGATACCTACCTGATCGTAAACTGTGTGCTGTGTTGCAGCGAGGATTTTCGGATGCGAGCAGCGCGCACACGCATTTTAATCGTAATTGTTTCATTAACATTTTACCAATTTTCGAGGGCGTTTTATTGCCGCTGCTGCGCACTATCTGCCGCCGCATCATCACAGAAGAAGAAATAAATAACTGAACATGCATTTAATTCCACATTTCCTGATTTAGACAAACATTAAATGCGCAGCCACACAAGTTGATCACACGTTTAGACATCTCGTGGTAATTTCTAATTTCAACATTAACATGCGCTCGGAATTTCGACGTTAACGGACATATCACAAAGCTGGCGGGAATGGAGGGAATTTCTCGTGTCTTTCATGGAGGTCCTTTACGAATTTGCGCCGAGTCATGCCGCCAGCCTGCTATAATATCCAGCCTCTTTCATAATTCATACGTTTAGGAACGTATCGCATCATACGCGTCCGTTCATTTCGTTTATTTTATTGTTCAATGCGATATGTTTACGCCGCTTGCACACACACACACACACACACACACGCGCCCGTTGCCGCCGCCATGTACGCACGCATCATTTGAGCCGCGTTTCAGTTTCGAAAACGCGCGCCGACAGAGAGCCGAGACGCAAATGCCAGGAATGACACAACAGTCGATCCGCGCACAATGATATCGATACAAGTGATACAACACGATCGTGCCGTACCGAAACGTTTGATTTCTTCCGAGCCGGCGCACAACTTTAAACGATCGCGGCCCGGTCATCCGAGATACCAACTCAGGGATTGAATAGATTACGATCTCTACGCGAATTGAACAAATAAAACAAGTGCATTACATGAAGAAATTAATTTGTGTAGGTACTAATCTAAGCAGTTTTTGCATAAAAAAATTATTGAAATCAAAATTCTCGATTATTTTTTAGTGGTTTTAATAATATTAATCGTGACTGTATGATATCAACAATAAAATGATTATCATGCGATTGATGAGGTGGTCGGAATGTCACCGTCACTTGAGTGTCCTGTCCCGAGATGACAAATGGAAATTTCTTTCATTCTTCACAACGATCTGACGTTTCTCCCGCTAACTCGACCGGTGCGATAAGAAAAAAAGAAACGAAAACGACGTCGTCATCGCGCAACAATATATCTCCCGAGGATAGAAATATATCTACATGTGCTCAATATTTATTCGACTTTTCTCGTCCATTGTTCAATTGTTCGTCCCCATCCTGCCATCCTCTTACGCCACCCGAGTTATGATAATGTTTATAAACACAGATTAATGCTTGAACTTTGCTTGATCATTTTTTGGGGTGCTGAATTAAAACCAAAATTAATCCATGCTTTTCTCTTCTTTTCTCTTATTAGATCTAATTTTTCTAGAAGCTTCGGTGCGAAGTGTTCGGTCTGCTCGCGGGGGATCTCCAGCAGTGATTGGGTGCGCAAGGCACGTGATCATGTCTATCATTTGGCGTGTTTTGCATGCGCCGCATGCCATCGTCAATTGTCCACCGGTGAAGAATTCGCGCTGCACGAAGATCGAGTCCTCTGTAAAGCACACTATCTAGAAACACTTGATGGCGGAACAACCTCATCAGATGGTAATGTTTACTTTCTATGTAATTGATTTAATTAAGCGCTTTTTTGTTTTTCTATCTGGGCTGACGCTATTGATTGAGTTTTATTGATTTGTGTTTGTTGTTGTAGATGGTTGTGATGCGGAAGGTTATCACAAAAATAAAGCGAAACGCGTACGAACGACATTTACAGAGGAACAGTTGCAGGTGCTGCAAGCGAATTTCCAGCTCGATTCGAATCCGGACGGGCAGGACCTCGAGCGCATCGCGCAGATCACCGGCCTGAGTAAGCGCGTTACGCAGGTCTGGTTTCAGAATTCGCGCGCGCGACAAAAGAAGCACATGCACACCGGCAAAGCGAAAACGCCCAGTATGTTCACAATCAACCAACCACTTTTATATATCCCTTAAATAAACTTTCTAATGTTTATTTTTGTTTTAATACTTACAGTGCACGGAGGTGGACGTGATGACAACTCATATGGTCGACATATCAACCTGCATCTGACTTATTCCTTCCAACAGCAAGCGAATAACAATAAATCGTCGCTGTTTGGCCCACCAGGTAACTATTAATTTCAAACTATAACATTATGTGTCAATTTTGGTAATATTTCTATGTTTAAATCTCTACATTAACTTTCATCCCTTATTTTACACCCTGTATCCCATATTTTTACAACTAAAAATGATCTATATACTTTTCCTTGCTCTAAAATGTCTCTATACCAAAATGTATCAAAATTCTTTGAATTGATTTTGCGTTAAAGCGATACAAACAAACAAATTAAATCACAATTGCATTTATAATATGAAAATTTATAAAATATTTCTGGTTCCAGATTCAATGGATGATTTGTCACAAGAATCCACAATGCATTGCATGCAGGGTGAAGTTTAGCCATGATAAAACCAACAACTGTGGATGTGGAAGTCTACGAGTGTTAATTATCAAATATCTCCATCACGAAGCACACAGTTCGAACTCCGGAGATATTTCGTGATTTTTAAATGTACTATTTGTAGTATTAATGATATATTTTGTTATTTAGTCGTACTTATTTATTATTGAGTTATTATGAGAACGATACATCACTGAACACACGGGGAATGTAAACGAGAGCAGCGCGGATCGAAGTTGATTATACAAATTAGCTTGAATACATCGATTTGCTGAATCGTATAGCAGTATATGTTAAACTCAAAGTTAATTATTGTACTGTTTAATTAAGTGTAAAGAGATGCATGCTCGTAATGCAGCAACATGGAAATAAAACAATATCACAGTTTAAATTATCCACAATTTCATCCTTAAACAACTTTTTTCTATGAGTAACTGTTAAAACAATGGGAATTAATAAAAATTATCACTCTTTTAATAAAGTCTAATTAAAAAACGGCACTTTTATACTAAAAAATGTTAATTTTTAATTTAACCACAATAGTGCTAAGTTATTAACTGTTTAACCAAGTATAAATTAAAATTCTAGCTCCAAATTTGATTTTGTTAGTTTAGTTCTTGCATTCGAGTAAAATGGAAGCACTAAAAATTATTATTTTTTGTTTTTTGGTTGATATATCTTATAGTCTTCGTATTACTGACACAAATTCAGTAAATTCTACATCAGTTCAACCACAAACGCGAAATGGACGATGTAAGTTTACAATATTCGTAATAACTTTTAAATTATTTTAAAAACTGCAAAATATAAACGCTTTTTGTAGTTTGGGGGATTGGTATAGTTCGTTTTGCAAACTCTCTTTGCACTGGCAATGATGGCGTCCAAGGAACTTGTTACACAAAACGACAGTGTTTCGAAATCGGAGGAGTCCCTGCAGGGCGCTGCGCAGCCAATATTGGCGTTTGCTGTGTCTTACATAAAACCTGCGGTGGAGTTTCTTCATATAACAATACTTACTTTGTTAGTAGCTCGTTCCCAAACACAGTTTCAGCTCCATTGAGTTGCCCTTTCACAATTAGAAAATGCGGACCAGAAATATGCCAAGTATAAAATACCTTCCATAGAAAAACATAATTTGTATTAATAAGTCCTTTATATTTGTTTTGAAGGTGCGTATTGACTTCCTAAACTTTAATTTGGCACAACCAGATGGTAATGGGACCTGTTGTGTTGACGCATTCAATGTAGTTGGTGGTGCATCAATCATTCCACCAATCTGTGGTGAAAATTCAGGTTCACACATGTATGTTGATTTTAATGGGGCTGAGGATATCAAACTGCTTGTGCAGCTTGGCGCAGCATCAACGCAATCACGTTCTTGGAAGTTAAAAATCTCACAAATTGATTGTGAGTGTCCTACGAGGGCACCTTCAGGATGTTTTCAGTATTATACTGCATTATCCGGAATAGTTCGTAGTCTTAACTATGGCCAAACAGCTAGTAGTGTAATTAATGCTAACGGAGTAATAGGTACAAATCAAATAGCTAATACAAACTATGGAATCTGCGTCGCCATGACACCTGGATACTGCTCCATTACATGGAGTCCTGTAGCAAGTGATCTTTATTCGTTTACTGTGTCAGGCGACACAACTGCTGCGATTATAGATGGTACAATTGCCACTAGTGCTGCGTATCTTAATGGTACCAATTGTACAGGTGATTTTATAATCATACCCAATGGTAGCGTGAATGGTGTACCTACACTTGTGGACAGATATTGTGGTAATGGTCTACCTGCAATTACTAGTAAGTTTTGCTTTATTAAACCTTTAATAAACACGATTTACCTAATTATTTTCTTATTGCAGCATCATCAAAGCCATTTGTTTTGACTGCTGTTACCAACGCAACTGAAGGTGCCACCACATCAGGCAATCGTGGATTCCAGTTAACTTACACTCAAAATGCATGTAACACAGCTTGTGCAACATGTGGAAATGTTATAATTTAGTTGTTAATCCAAAATATTCGTATTATTTATTAATGAAAATGTAGTTCACTATGCAAATACAACGGTTGTTGTCATCTTGTTTGAGGAAAGATTCCATAGAGTCTATTTGCCCAAAACTGTTCCAATTAACACCATATTTCACGGCGTTCCCGGTTACTGTTATCTTTATGTCCCACAGTTATAGTGACAAACTTAACTGTAACACGATTTATTCGAAGACAAAATGTCGCGTCACTTGCACGCCAATTTCGTTGCAATTTTTGCAATATTTTGCATTGTTATTAGTTTTTCAGAGAATATGACTTATAATTATATTCCTCTGGAAGAATCCGATACAAATTCAACGCAACTGTCTTCAAACAGATCATCAAGATGTAAGTAAATGTAAATTTTGTAATAATTAACTAATTTAAGTTGTTTTAATGATAGTTATAGGATGGTGGGGTATTGGTGTAGTTCGTTTTGAGAATAAATATTGTAGAACTGCTGATGGACTCGATGGTACCTGCTATACACGACGACAATGTCGTGAAATTGACGGCACGTATTCAGGATTATGTGCTGGGACCATTGGAAGATGTTGTACAAGTAAATTTAGCAGTAATATTCCGTTTATTGGGACTAAATGATTATTTTTATTGTTTAAGTTCAACGTGGATGTGGAAGTTCTTCTAGTGATAACAACACGTATTTCGTAAATAGAAATTATCCGTTACCTGTGACAGGGTCTTCAACTTGTACCTATGTCATTAAAAAATGTCACCCAGAAATTTGCCAAGTAATTCTATCTCTGCTTTCAGATCATATTTAACTTGTTAAATTGATTCATGTTAATATTTAGGTACGAATTGATTTTCTAAGCTTCAACATAGCTTATCCCAATGGCATCGGACAATGTATCTATGACAGCATGAAAATAACCGGTGCGGGACACGTTGTCAGACCGATTTGTGGCGATAACAGCGGTCAGCATATGTATTTAAGCTTCTTGGATGACAATGATATTACGATCACAATCGGAACGACTGGGACGAATGACTTGGCACGTTCTTGGTACTTGAAAGTTGCTCAAATTGGATGTGATTCTCCAAGCAGAGGTAATTGTTTCTTCGAATGCCATTTTAATAAGTAAAACTGCGTTCTTTTAGCACCTGATGGATGTTTACAATATTATGCTGACCTAACTGGCACTGTGACAAGTTTCAACTACGGTCGTACACGTAGTGGCAGTAATATTGCACCAGACCAGCCAGGAACACGCGAAATTGCGAATCAAGAATACGGAATATGCGTCCGCGCCGCTCCTGGTTATTGTTCAATTCGGTGGACAGAAACAAGCGCCGGTTCTTTCGCAGTAAGCGGAAACTCTGCTTTAATGGAGGCGTTAACGGATTGTACTGCGGATTATGTTTTGATTCCGAATGGGATCAATGAGGACGGCGAGATGATTGATAGATATTGTGGGAGTACATTCGGGACAGTCACAAGTAACAAAATATTAAAAACAGAGGTCGTGTATCAAATAAAAATGTTTGTTATTTTATTTTAGGTAGCAGTAAGCCATTTGTTTTATATTATAGAACAGACAGCACAGAAGTACTCGGCGAGACAGGCAATTTGGGCTTCTCGCTAGATTACACACAAGTCCGCTGTAATCCATTATCAGTATATTAATTTATACAACTCGTCATTAAGTAAACAGGTATAATAGGTATAATATATGCACAAGAAAGTATTTTGTATTTTAAATTAAAGAATATTGCCTATATTATAATAGTGCCGTTAAAACGCTGCACCTTTATGTTGTTTAACAGCATCCTTCATGGAAAAGTACCATCCCTTGATGTTGGAATACTGAAGTAAATCTTTGAACGCATCACAACCTTCAATACTCGACAAAACTCCGAATACAGCCAAATCAGCCAAGTTTGGTTCTTTACCGCCCATGAATTCTCCTCCTTTTGCTTTAATAGCACGCGTCCATTGGTTGCAATGATCGTACAAAGATTCACGAACGTCGTCCTTTAAATTATGTCGTTTTTTTAGGCGTTTTCCTATCAGCCACATTGCAGAAGCGCCCACATAAACAATCAGATTGCGTTCCCAGCTTGGGAAGTTCTTCTCCCATTCACCAACCTCGGAAAACCAATTGAATGCTTGTAGAGCTTCCGCTTTCGTTCGGTATACGTTCGGGGATAGATCATGGACAAGTACATCATCGGCCCATTTACGCCACTTACGCTCTTCACTATTAACAATAATATTAAATATTAAACAAAGAATTTCAATATAAAACTAATTGTTTACTTACTTTAACTTTTCTTTGACATCATCTCTAACTTGTTTGTTATTGAACATCAAGAAATACTTGTTCATGATTTCGGACTTGACACTACCATCCTCATCCTGATAAGTCATGCTAGGATAACATTTAACTACACTATGTAGATCATTGTCTGTGCTACTGTCTTGATCTTTAAGATATGAAGCCAAAGAGGAAATAATCATAGTGCTATCATTAAGAGGTTGGTAAGTGCCTTTTTCTTTATCTACTAGTGCTAGCAAAATGGGCACTTTTTTGTATGTAGACCATTTTGTAGCCTGTCTGAGAACAGGATCCACTTCAACAACATCATAAGAAATGCCATAGTAGTCAAGGAATGCTCTGACTTTACAGCAGAATGGACATGTTTGATATTGAAACAGGGTGAGTTTTAAACCACTGGTATCACCCACATATTTAAACTGTAAAAATTATTTAAACCTTAATAAGCTGATGTGAATGTAGTATAAATATATACATACAGATTTTGTTGGAGCAATCTGAGGTACATTATCAATCAGAGCAATAGTTGTCTGTTCATTTAGTATGTGTAATCTGGGTTTATTAAGCTGGTGGATGGAATAACCGGTGCCGACAAGTGCCCCAACAGTGAGGCTAGCCATGCCAAGTCGCACACCGGACTTTTTTACTGTCTTCGGACCAGTTGTGGAAACATCGCGTAATACTAAGTTAACAGCTCGAAAGGCGTTTAAAATTGCTGGGCGTAGCTGCCGTGTTAGCATCTTGACAAGGTTTAATAATTATTGAATTCTGTTTATTAATAAATCACGATAACAAGCCGAGATTGTATAACCTCTCAGCCAGATATGTGACTTTTTGAATGATTACGTTATGCAACCACGGTTACGGTTGTTATTGTTTAATTAGAGTTTATTTGCTTCATTACACATAATGTCTATTAGTTTTAAATATATGGTAATATATTCTATAATTTAAAATGGTTTTATATTCTGATGGGGAAGAAAATGATAAAAGTTTGAACTAATTTTAAAGTTGATGGCAACTTTATTTGCACTCTGGCGACGATCTATGAAACTAAGTTATCTAACAAAAAATGGCAAAAAAATTATCAACCGCGTTCGAGTTGCATCGAATTCGCAGTATCGAAATACCAGTGCAGCGAGAATCACCTGTGCGTTACTCAAATCCATCGGGAAAGTTTATGTTTTTGGAGTATTTGAAGATGAAACAAAGGAAGCGGATCCTATGAAAGGTAAGTGCTATTTCATTTTAAATGTCCGTCATTTTGCTTTCCTGTTGCTTCTTGTTAAATGAGGTAAAATGAATGTGAATAAAAAAAACAGTGATAACTGAAATCAAGACTTCGCAAGATATATTTGTAACTGTTCAATAACAATTAATTTAAGTCTACCCAAGTTAGTTGCAAAAATATTACTTTGCTTATAATTGCAAACAGTATCGCATAATTGCATACGGTATAACAATATGAAATTCACGCGTGCAACATGAAAAATGTATCTTTTAAAATCGATTTATTTTCAATTCAACCAAATGCAAAATTATTACGTCGACATTTCTTCGTCAGAATTATCTTCGCCGTTTTCATCTCCTTTGTCGTCCTCGGATTCTGATTCTTCCTCTAGCCACTCATTTTCGCTCTCGGAATGGAAGCCGATTTCCAAGCCGTCCATCTCAGAGTCGCTCGATGCTGAATATATAAAATAAACAATTAATTAGATACAATTCACAGTTCAAGTATAAAATGCGCACCTTTATCGTTGAACACTAAGAGCGCCTCATCATCAGCTTCTTCAGCGACATTAGACACATTTAATTGTGAGACTAACAAGTCTAAACGACCTCGAAGTCGATTCAGGGGAGTTTGAAGACTGAGTCGGCTCTCAATGCTGCTCATAACCGGACCCAGCAAATCCGCCAATTCTGGATTAGACACCAAAATACCCGCGTGTATTTGCAGTAAGCTCTTTAACCACAACACGCCCGTTTGACACCTGGAATTTATAAATAATTTACCTTAAAGAACCAAGTATAGTTATAAAACTTACAATAACGTTTTGCCTTGAATCAAATTCGTTAACTCCTCAACCAGCGGAACAATAACGGTCATTGGCAGACGTTTAATCGTGTTATTGATAACAGTCTCGTCCCTTCTGTTCAGCACCGTGCGTAGGATATTCTTATCCTTGCTGTGGATACCCTGTAGCAACAGCTGCGCCACATTATTCGCTTTAGGAACTTTTGAGCTACTATCAAGCTTGTTCAGCTGTAGATTTTCGAGACGCTTCTCCATTGGTACCTCTGTAGTACCCTCAGCGCGTCGTTTGGCGACGCTGTTGAGTGTGTGCGGTGTGAGATAATGCACTTCCCCATCGACAATCGGTTGCTTTGTTTTGGACACTTCATTATCTTGTTTCTGCCCAACGCGCGGGTCCTTTCGGATGATACACTGCAGTTTTTCATAAGAATTGAGCACGACGTTCTCAAACAGCAAATGCAAAGCATTGCCATGCGCGATTGCAATTGTACCATCATCATTCGCGTATGCGCCAACAATCGGAATTGGAATAATAGAACCTTTATCGCTGGAATCCGAAACAACGCGCAAGGTTGTCTTTGGTTTCAACGGTTTGTTTCCTTTTCCGTTGAGTGTATGAATGTACACGTGGCAGACGCCACTTCGTGTTACGGCTGCAACTTCAGTAGCACCCTCAGAATCCACCAAGACATTCAATTGATTGATTACATCTTCTGCTTGGAAACTTGCAACAGCATTCTTTGTTCCATCCAAGCTCCAACATGAAATAATTCTATCTGCTTTTGAACTAGTAACAAAATATCCATCATTTTGTGTTGGATTAACAAAATACAAGTGAGCTATGTCACTACTGTGGCCTGTGAATGTAGTTAGCACTTCTTTCTTGTTGAGGTCCCATAATTTAATATTTTTTGAAGCTGTCAATAACTTTGTGCTCTCTGGTATTTGCAGAATTGCAGTTATTTTCTCATTACCAGCTTTCCATTTGCTAGAATTCATTAAATTAGTATAATTTCTATACTCAAACAAGAAAATTTACCTCTTAATTGCTTTCTTTTGCAAATCCCAAGACACTACATTCTGTTCAACTGCTGAATATACTTCCACACCACTCTGCCATGATAAACAACTAATTGCCTGGTTTGTTTTGCTATCAATTGTGAAATCAAGTTCACCCTTGGCAATAGAATAATTCAATAATAAACCAGATGTGGTTCCCAACACAACAAATGGAGATGTTATTTCGCCTATGGAGCTTCGTCGCTTGACCTTTTTACGTGGCGATCCATTCTAAAATTTAGATTATTATTAGTAGTATTTTGAATTTGAGAAAAGCACATGGTGTACCTTAGTTGTTAAGCTCTCTGGCAGAACAAAATGTAAACAGACGCAAGGCGATGTCAGATGAAAATCGGGCGTAAATTCCTGCTCGAACTTATTCGTCACTGTGTTCCATAGTTTAAGTTTGCCGTCGTTGGATATTTGCGCGAAATATTTGCCGTCTTTACTGAATTGCGATACCATCGTGTTGCTGTTGATCTAAATCGCCATTAGCACATTGTCTTTTCGAGGTTAGGAGATATGTTTCTGTGCGCAAGAAGTAGCGGACATTTGGGAAAATGTTTTAAAATATATTTTATTAACATAAAACCCTATCCAAACTATTGATAATTATATAAATTTATGCAGAAATAATAATAGGTTGTTTTAAATTATGTGATTAGTATATTTATTTCGAATGGGATTGTTTATTTTTAAACTTGGTAATCAGGTTGACCAAGAAAGTCACTAACCTGACCACGAAAGTCACCAAGTCTTCTTGCACAACACTGCGACATTCCTAACCTTAGTATATTTTAAATATTTCTATGCGCGCCTTTTTTCGTCCAGCAAAGATTTGTGATACAAAGTTGAATTTATATATTTTATTGCAATGTCGGCCACCGATCGTGTTGTAGTTTTAGTGGATATGGATTGTTTTTATTGTCAAGTTGAACAAAAGTTAGATCCTAGTCTTGTTGGAAAGCCTTTAGCAGTGGTCCAGTACAATGCATGGAAAGGTGGAGGGTAAGAATCATTATTCAATGTTTGTCGGTGTAATTTTTCAATATTTCACAAAGTTTAATAGCAGTGAATTATGAAGCAAGGGCTAAGGGGGTAACAAGACACATGAGAGGGAATGACGCAAAAGCAAAGTGTCCTGAAATCGAACTTGCAAGGGTTCCTACAGTCAGAGGGAAAGCTGATTTAACTAGGTATTTAGTTATGCAATACTTTTACCATTTGGTATTGTTATATTGGGTATAATTTAGGTACAGAGAAGCAGGGAAAAGGGTGGCAGAAGTTTTACAGACTTTTACTCCTCTTTTGGAGAGAGCTTCAGTTGATGAAGCATATCTTGATATCACAGATTCTGTTAATGCAAGACTAGAAATGTGTATTAAACCTGAGCAGTTACAAAATACACATGTTGTTGGTTTTGATAGTGTGGCAGATTTCTTGAACGAAATTAATTGCGATCGTTATTTAAATGATAGTAATGTTAAATTAGCTGTTGGTGGTGTTATTACTGAAGAAATTCGTGCTGCAGTTTATTCACAAACTGGTAAGTTAAAGTTAATTTATTCTGGTTATGGCATTGAAATTACAGTATTTCTCTTTTATTTCTCTTTTATTTTACAAATTTCCTTATATGTTACTATTTTTTCACATATATGTTGACTATTTCTACAAAGCACGTAATTTCAACGTTCTACCATTTAAAATATCCCAATTATTTTGTCATTTTCAACAGGGTACAGATGTTCTGCTGGAGTTGGCCACAACAAAATTTTAGCCAAACTAACTGCAGGTCTCCACAAACCGAACAAACAAACAATTCTTCCACATGAAAGCATTCAGAAATTATATGAGAATTTATCAATTAAAAAGATTCGGTCTATGGGTGGTAAATTTGGGAATGAAGTTATGGAAAAATTGCATGTATCTGTCATGGCAGATCTTATTAAATTTTCAGAGAAGGAGTTACAACAACACTTCGAAGAAAAAACTGCGTTAGTACTCCAGTCACACCATTCATACTAAAAATTATATATAATGTAATATTTTGTGCAGTAATTGGTTGTTTAACATCGCAAGAGGAATCAATCTAGATCCTGTAACAGTTCGCTTAGTTTCAAAATCCATCGGTTGCTGCAAACGTTTCCCCGGTCGCGGAGCACTGCGAACTGAAAAAAATGTTCGTCATTGGACCAGCGAATTATCTATTGAAATTGCAGAACGCATTGAGAAGGATATTGAGGAGAACAACAGAAAACCAAAACAACTAATCGTCAGTTACACGCAACAAGTTGGAAGGAAAGATGTAGCCAGCACCCGAAGGCTTGCGTTAAACACAGTTGAACAAGAGAAAATCTATCAAGAAGCATATGAAACTGTAAGGAAGAATTGCCAAAAAACCGATGGCAGCTTTGGTATTAAATTTCTAGGTTTGAATGTTGGTAAATTTGAAGATATTAAGAATGTTACCGAAATTACTTCGTTCTTTAAAAGCGCTCCTAAACGGGTTTCGAATGGATCGGTCGATGCGAATAAAAGTATTGGCGGGAATACGAGTAGTAAAATTAATGATGATTTAGATCAATTGTCGAGAGAACTCCACGCGGTAGTTCAAGCAAATCTAGATTTGAATCAATCGTTTGGCGAAAATAGCTTAAAAGTTACGAATAAAAACTCGAACGATAACAATTTTGATTCTGCTTCAACATCTTCAAGTAAATTAGAAGAAGTTGACGATGATGATTCAGAAGCTGAATTAGAATCTATTAACGTATCTCATACTGAAGCTAATACTTCAAGTGCAAGTATAGCAGGAAAGAATTCATTCTTTCATGGTTTTTTAAATCGTGCTGATGTCCCTAAACGTGATTTTAATACTTCTGCAATATTAGATGAAGTTATTGATGATGATAAAACTGTTAATGAAGAAAAGGTGGTAGAGGAAACAAATCAAGTTGATACAGATCCCGTTAGTCCAATAATTGCTCATAAAACAATCAAGCCTGTGACTCGAAAACCAAGAATTTTAAGCATGTTTTCAAATAACTCTCCCACAACAAGTAGAGCATTACAAATAACCGATGATAATAAAGAATTGTGTCCTGAATGCAATAAATTAATTCCAGTAGAGAACATTGTTTCTCATTTGGATTATCATTTTGCAATAAAAATGGTTAGAGATGAAGCGCACTTATACAAAATGCCTAAAAATACTAACAATGAAAATACATTAGTTGAAGAGAGTAAAACTCATGATAAATCTCAAAACATTTTCACAAAAATGAGGAGTAAGGAAGTGCAAAAGCCAAAAGTGGTGAAAAATAGCAACAACAATAATAGTTCCACAAGAAAACGAAAAAGTAGCGAACTTGATCGAACTGATATAACAAAATTTTTCACATCAGCACGAAATGATGGTGAAACTGATGAACACTCTGAGGTTTGTCCAGATTGCTGCAAGCGAATCAAAATGGATGACATAGCTAGTCATCTTGATTATCATGTGGCAAAAAAGTTGCACCAACAGATTAATCAAATGAATGTATTAAGTGAAGCAAAGGTGATTAGCAGAAATTGTGATAAAAGTATTAAAAATACTAAGAGTAGTGAAGGAAAGGGAGCAATCACTACATATTTTAAGAAAGTTTAGTGTTAAGTTTTATATTTTTTAAATGTTTTACAATCGAGCACGCCAAGTTATTTTTTTAAGCAACTTTATAAATTGGCAAATGATTACAAGACAAAAATTGTTTGTGATTATTAGTGGAAAACATTCCACAAATTATTTTAATAATAATTCTGTCCGTGACCTCCTCCTCCGCCGCCACCTCTACCTCGTCCTCCACGGTAGTAGTTACTTCGACCACGTCCACCTCCACCCCTGTTATGTCGAGGTTGATGCTGCTGATTGTATTGCGATTCTTGTACGTATTGATCGGCATAAGTTTGGCGTTGGTTTTGGAAAGAATCATAAGTTCTTGGACGTTTAGACTCTTGGTATGGGTCGTCGTGTCGCTGATAACCGGCTGCTTGTTGACCATAGTTATTGCGTTGTTGGTTATTATAATTATTACCACCACTGGGATGATGGTGTGATGTTGTATACGGTCCGGCCGCATCAAAACTTTGTTGCTGCTGTTTTTGTTGATTTTGCCCGTGGTTTTGATTGTAACCACCACCACCGCCGCGACCTCCGCGATTATATCCACCATCTCCACCGCGACCTCCGCCTCCCCGTCCACCGCGACCGCCGCCTGCTTGGCGAGCTTGCCATGAGGGCATTTCGGGCGCAGGGGCTGCTTGTTCGGATGGGCGTCCACCGCGATCGGGCACCTAAATGTCAGAGTGTTTTATATTAAAAAAAAAACCTTTTAAAAGAAAATATTAACGTACCTTGTCAATAATTACTGTATTTACGCGACTCTTTGTATTTTTCCTAACTGAAGAGTTACTAGTTTTCTCAATTATAGCCAAATCATCTCTAGCTGCTAATAAACTAGAAATATCCACATCAGGTTCAACTTTTAGTTCTTTCCTGTTATCAGTATAGGTTTGCATTATGAGGTCACCCTTGTGTTTCATCTTATCTGACCATTGAAAAGATTGAATTGTACAATCTAGTCTTTGTAACATCATCTTTCTTCTGATCGTGTACTCAGAATTCAATGTATTTTGAACATTAGCAACTTGATCCCATTGCTGATCATTTAATTGATAGTTCCAAATTGGGTTTCCTAGAAGATCCTTACCACACTCTGTGACAATAGTTTCAAGTTTTAGATTTACCTTATCTAAAAGTTCTTTGCATGGCAAATTGGCTATTTCTTTTGGAAAATCTAATGTGGTTAATATTTTTTGCAAATTGTTAGCTTCTGGTGACTCTTGCTAAAAATATTAATGTTCATAACATTTGTTGCTATAAAGGCTTAAGAAAATAATTTACCACTTTAAGTTTAATCTTTTTATCAGGTTTGTTATGTTGTTGCATTCTGGCAGCAAGTAATTTGCTTAAAAGATAGTGTAAGAGAAGAAGTTTATTATCCATAGAATTTAATCTGTCTTCCATAGAACCTTGAGACAATGTCTGATAAGGACATCCTGAAATTTTGACAAATTTTAAAACATGTTGCAAGGATTGCACAATATTACACACCAATTTCCTTTAGAAATGAGCCCACTTCCAATATAAATGAGACCGAATCTTCCGGCACTGCAATCACATTTACTTGTTCATCAAGAGGGTTTAGACCTTTAAGTTCAGTTGTGATGTAGTGAACCATTTTTGAGTATTCAATACTCTTTGGAGCTTGGTTAAGGGCTTTTGAAAACTCATCTTCAGATATCTCATAACTTGAAGAGAAAACATGAATTAAAAATATATTTGGATGTGTTAAAAACATTCTTACCCTGTCGTTTTAAGTAAGGATAATATGGATTCGTCCATATTGTGATATAAATTGCTTATTTCATAGATTTTTAGATAAATAGGTATTTACATTGCGTTTGCACGTAGCTAACCTTAAACATAGTCGCGGCCTGGCAACGACGTAGGTATATATGTATCTACATACATGCGCATAATAAAAGATCTCAGAATCCGGAATAAAATTTATTTAAAAAAAGGTACAACGTACAATCAAGCTACAATAAAATTTCCTAGACATGTGTATAACGTCAGCGTGCATATATAAATATGTGTTCATCAATAAATATTTGTTTCAGATTAACTATGCCTTATAAATTTAAATAAAGTACATAGCACGTCAAGATATAATGCTCTTTCATGTTAAATTTTCACATCTAAATTGATTGATTCATTGATTGTTTTAAGCATCATTAAATTTACTCGAAAGCCAGCGATTTATAGTTTCGCGGCGCTAAGCTTTGCTATTGCTATTAATGTGTGTGTAATTATTGTTTTTGCTCTTGGTGCGCCAACACTCTCGACATTTATAATAAACAATGTACCAGAAGTTGGCGCACAGGACGATTAAGTAGTAGGCAAGTTGGTGAAAACGGGACGGAGACCAAAGCACAGTGTAACGCAGCTCGTTGTTTTCAATGACCGCGAGACCATAGCCCATCTTGACCGTTCCCATGCGGTACGAACATGCGGGCGCGATCACTTCGTAAGTTTCGTCCATTTTCAAGTACATCTCGTGCACACTACGATCTGATGCCGTCACTGGCAACACGTGGCGTACTTGGACGATGGGCTCATTGCTAACGATCATTGAGCTGTGTTCATGACCAGCAAACAGTAAATGTGGTCTTAATTTATTTAATACCTAGAAAGTATTTATAAATTAATTCACGATTGAATTAAGTTTTGTGAAACTCACTTTATCACTAAAGAGAGACGGTTTGAATAAAAGTGGCACGTGACTAACGACGATGCGTAATTGCGCGTCGTCCGGACTCAATTCTTCAATGACCTCAACGTTTGGAATGGTTCTCTTGAGGTAATTGACCGAATAAAATGTCATGTTATGTATTTCGGAGATGTCTGTATGTCCGAAAGCATTTTCAAAAAATTTAATTTTGTTATCCTTGACTGGTTCTCTGCCTTCACCACCAATATCATTATCTCCAGGTACAAATATGTGCTGCAATCAATAAGTCAATTTAGAATTACTTGTTGATACAAGTTAAGCATATGCACATATTAACATACCTTCAACTTATCATCATCTAAATTAAATATATTTGTTAGTCTTGACACATAAGTTTTGTATTCCACTTCATAAGCTACCGAACCTTCATCAAATAAGTCACCAAGAAATAATACTAAATCTGGTTTTGCATGCTTTTTGGCAATGCTGTAAGTTTTGGCCAAGTATCTTCAAGAAAAATGTATAAAATTAGAATTATTGGAACTAATTGTAGCTATGAATCATACCTATCACTATCCCATATTGAAATGGGAGTTATAAAGTGTATCATCTCATTACGTAGCCCAATAATTTGTGGGTCTGCCACCAGCAGTATCCTGGTACAATCCTCCTCATTCTGGCAGTCAATATTAAACCACTTTGGAAAATAATACTCGTAATAATCCCAATATAAAATTGTAGGTAGTAGACTAAACAAGAGCACCCATTTTGGATGCTGCAGTGTGGGACGTTTCCTACAAAAGGTTTTTCTAAAATGAGTCACAAAATTATCAATAAAATGAGCTGTAGATGATTGCAGTTTGTGATGTGTACTCAGGGCATATGCATATGTGAACATGTGGTTGTATTTATGTGCTTTACCTAAAGAATTGTCAACAAATCAGTTACCTTAGTAAAAACCGCATGCTAAATTGATAACAAATGAAACTACATGCACTACATTGCTACATAACTCAACCTTGCTTCATTTTTTAAAACGATTGATTGGTTTAAGGTATTTGTAGTGCTTCACTTATTAATTATTATTGAACTACATGTTCTACGTGCTGGTCCACTACCTTCTCGCCATTCACTACATTTGCATTTTCGTTTACGCACTGCCACTACACCTGCCCCACCTGCGTCAAATGCAGACAGCGTTTCTAGCGCATGATCCCCACTTATCATGCGCATATAATACGTAGGACGCTTGCTGACTCCACCTTTTTATTTAAAAAAGTAAGGAATGTAACACTAACTTTCGGTTACTTTAATAATTAAAACTTATAAAAAGTGAGAATAAATGAGGTTATATTATTTTTGAATTTATATTGGTAATATTTATACTGTTTTGCTATTACAAATTGTATTTAATACAAAGACAAACATTTGTTAATACAGAATTACTTGTTGAAAAAATACAAGGCATCATTTGGCAGTGGACTGTTACAAACCACAATTTATACTTAATATAGTTCACAATTCAATAAGCAGAATAAAGAAATATAAAAATATACATATAATAGTTCTATTTGTATCATAAATACTTTTTTTTAACACTACAAACATTGATCTCAAAGTTAATTCATTTATCAAAATCATTTTCACAGTTTCTACTTTGGACTGCATGAATATATCACATTTCATAATGATTAATTTAAGGATTGCAGTAAAATATTTCTATAAAATCTGAACACTAATTTTTGATTGTATAAAAACCGTTCCCAAATATATACTAATGAGCAAAATAAAAGAATCATTGCCTAATCAGAAATACGTAATTACTTGTAAATATATAATCTTAACTAATCTTATGGCAAATACTGCTCAATAAACAGTAATTAATCTAAATATAAACGTTAAGTATTCGGTGTGCAAATTTATAAATACTCAGTATTTTTCTTCATTTAGGTTGTCTTCCAATTGCATAGTTAATTGTTAACCTGATAAGTCTGTTGCGATTTTGAGGAACCGAATAGTGAGCTGAAAATGTTTTTACCCTTGTCTTTCTCTTTAGTCTTAACGTTATCAACGTTCGCTTCGACAGTCTCATAAAGCGCGTTGCCCGATTTTCCTTCTCTAAAAAACAAAATTTTGTTATCAATTTCAATTGTGTGCAAATAAGTAAATTTCACTCAGAAGGAACTATTTATCAATCAATCAAACAAGTAATTTGAGAAAGATCTCTAGTGAAAGCTAACGAAAAATCAAGAAACTAGTCGGTCAAGTGGCATCGCGTTAGTTTACCCTTTGTTGGTGAATAGCAACAGCCTGGTGAGCATGCTCGTGATGCACGGAATCTGCTTCTGTTTGTGCATGTGCGGCGTATCGGGTGTGTTACTCTCGAAGTCCAGTGCGACGCGCTGATTGACGAACGTTAGCAGTGTAAGAATGTCGTACTTGTACGCGTACTCCTGCAGCTGCTCACAGAGCGCCTGCATGAACCATGAACCTTTGGTGGTGTTACGCCATGAGTAGTAACCTGAACGAATTGCATGAAAAACACTCACATGAATTAGCGTGCGCCGGGCGTAGTTATAATGAAATTAAAACAAAAGCGATGAAGCTGGTGACATGAATCACCTACCTGGGACAGTGCTGTAACAGATAAGAAAATCGGCCTGCGAAGGGATACGGTATGATTCATCCGGGTGGCCGTCGGTTTCGGTGCGCATTGTAACGCCGCCGTCCAGTTTGTCGCCTTGACATGCTTGAATAAAGAATAGTTTTGGCTTGCCGGCCAGCGTGGGGCAACGGTCGGCGGTGAACGGGCTCCACAGCACGTCCGGTTTGTAGGGCGCGTTGCGGGAGTAGAGTATTCCCATTTCGCCGTGGGAGAGCACGATCATTACGAAACAATCGCAGTCAGAGTAGTCCTCGTTCACGGCTAGTGGTAAAAAATGGATAAATAACTCGATTGCATCATGCACTTGTTTAGTCTGCTCACTAATTTTGTTTTTTTTTTTACAAAAACACACGTGTTTTGTCGCAAAGTATCATAGACAGAATTCGTTGAGCTGTGACTCATAACTCATAACTTGAACTCTGTTGATCTAATATTGATGCAGGTAAAAAGGGTTTCTTCAAACTGTGAACGACAAACATTCGTGTCGATGACTCACTATACTACCAATGAACTAAGAATCTCAAAAGAATGCCATATATGGTTATTATTCACCAGTTCTTGAGAAAAACGGATATTGAATAGCTCCTTTGTTACAATTATTTGATATCACTTGTTATCTTGTTATAGATAAATATTCAATGAAAATAATTTGCATTTGATAACTTAGACTGAACTAATCTACCTATGTCTGGCTAAAGTCTATGAATTTATTGCACAATGTTAATATTCTAGCATTTTTTTAGTTGCAAATAATATTTTTAATTTACCTTCAATAACAGTAGCATTAATCTCTTGATAGTCCAAATCCTGGCACACAGTAACATCAAATCCCAGACCCTTCATTGTCAAATAGATGTTATTGCAATCATTCTGAGTACCAGACCTGGATTTCAATCCAGCAACTCTGAAATGCTCATGGTTGAAGATAATAACCTTGCCTCTGTATTTATGATCCATGGAATAATGAGTTGCATTTCGCTGGGTGACCATTTTAGCCACAGTATTCTCTTGGAAACCTCTGTTAAAACGCAAAAAAATAATTTCTACCAACTTTGAAAAATTTATTTAATTACCTGTTGTTGCCCTGTGCATCGTGCTGGTCTTGATCTTGGTCTTCCACGGTGTTGTTGCCGTTGCCCATGCAATTACCATCCTCGGCGTCCATTTCGACTGTTGACCGTTACGTTCGCTGGGTTTGAATATAGTAAATGATGCGTCCGAAATAATTTGTTAAAGGCACGTGCGGTGATTGAGTTTAATACAATTATCGCGTTGTTTAGTAGAAACGTGATAATCGAAGTTGTACGGTCGAGTTCACTACGTGAGTGAACGGTGACCGCGGGTTGATAGTGTTTGCGAGTCGCAAGTCTTTTGTGTGTGGATTGCGGCGGCTTGGTCGGACGATCCGGCTGCTTGTGAATATTGCTGTCCTTGTTGAGCAAGGTTGGCTTTGTTAGACGCGTGGATTTATTCCATTTCAAACCAATGCCAGGATAAACTAACGCGAATGCAACGAATCATTCAAGCGCGCGTTTGATTTTTGTATGTATGAACATATCTAGTTTAGTAAGTAAGTGTATGTTATAAATAGTTTTGCTAAACGAGTGAAATATAGACAAAAGTAGGAAAAACTGCAGTCATAGTTATTTTTGAAAATATTCTTTCTATTTAACACAGAAAATCGTTAATTCTATACACTAATTATAATTCATAATTTACATCAAATAAAACCAGTTTGTTTATAAAATATTCGTTAAAATTGCATGTATTAATGGTTGCCTATACAGCTGTGCGTTAGATTTGAAGTTAGCGCCACCGGAACCGAAGTTAGTACGTGAGTGCGCCGCACGTTGGCGTTCTTTTTCCAGCAGTCTATTTACAAGGCAAAATGGTACGTAAATAAAATCGCTGAAAATTTCGATCATCCGCCCCAAAATAAAGCAGATATTGCACGCGTATAACTAAACAAAGCCTCAGCAAAGTGTTTTAATTCATATTTTCTCGAAAAGTGCTAATTTTCGTACAATAAAAACATGGTAAAGTGACGTTTGGGAACTTAACCTTTACTTCTCTTTGAAAATGCCTACATCAAAATCTAATGAAACGTGTTGCAAACTGTTTTGAAGATGAGATTGAATGTTTTTACTTTATATTTTAAATGGTGAGCATAACATTCTAATTAATTTGTAATTTTTTGTTTTAGTCTGAAGGAACAGCGACGATACGCACTCGCAAATTCATGACCAACAGATTGTTGGCCAGGAAACAAATGGTTGTGGATGTGCTGCATCCCGGCCAACCGTCGGTGAAGAAAACCGACATCCGTGAGAAGCTCGCAAAAATGTACAAAGTCACTCCCGATGTCGTATTCTCCTTCGGTTTCCGCACGAACTTTGGCGGTGGCAAGTCCACTGGATTTGCTTTAATCTATGACACATTAGATTTCGCCAAGAAATTCGAACCCAAACACAGACTCGCCCGCCATGGTCTTTTCGAAAAGAAGCAGCAGACAAGGAAGCAGCGCAAAGAACGCAAAAACAGGATGAAGAAAGTCCGAGGCACCAAGAAGAGCAAAGTTGGTGCTGCTTCTAAGAAGGTATGTTAAATGCACAACATTTTATTAATTGCATTATGGGTGCTGGGTAAACTGTTAAAAGAAATGTGTTTTCAAAGACAAATTTCTTTTAACAATTATATTATTATATACTCTGGGGATTAAGGTTATCATTTTTACCATATTTGCAGAAGTAAATGGGCGACTCTTAAAATTCCTACCTTTCATAGGTATATTTTATTGACTTTTCTGTGTGAGATGTAGTTTTAACACATTTGTTGTTTTATGCAACTTGCAGTACAAGAATCAGAATTGAAAGCTTAATACATACTGAATTTACACATTACTTATCTTTTCACATAACAATTCACACATTAAGTAGAAATTAATCATATTTAGTTTAAGTACATGCTTTAGTTCATCTATAGCAGAATACTACTAGTTTAACCTAATTCTTGTTCTTTTTGACGAACAGTTTTTACGTTTTTGTGTGGATATAGCTTACTGTATCTTTCGCTAACCAGAATAATTGCTTGAGCATCTTTTAGTTTCGTAGTTATTATTTAATAAGAGATTCGCTAACGATATCTTGTGTATTTACAGTAAATATGAAAGCAAATTAAATGGACGGAACCACGGGTACATCTTTGGGTTCATGATAAAACAGCCAGCGTCCAAGATTCACCATCTTAAATTAATATTTTGTTACTATTAAGTCGTAATAAACAAAAGGAAGAAACTTTCAACTTTTTTATTAACTCTTAATGGTAATAAAACACATTCTCTTATTGAGATATAACATTAAATTATTTTAATTAATTAAGATCCGTAAAGTCCTTGCATATATATGTTTACCTACTATGGAAACACGAACAGAGGACACTGCAATATACCAAATATGGTTAATATTTCTGTTGGTACATAAAAATGTATTGTTTACCTTGCTGTCCTTGTGCGTGATCTTGCTCAGGCATCGCACAACATGCGAACTTATTTCGCACAAGATCTCGTTCATCGTGTCTCGCGCTGAAACGATGTGGACATTTTATAATGTGCGGTTAGAAGGTTGGCGATTTACATTTACATGTGAAATGATGAGTAACGTACGTAATTTTATGGTAATTTAATTTAATGTTGAAGTGGAAGGCTAATGCAACGTAATTGTGGGTTTAGACTGGATTTCAACATGAGAAGCGTATATTTAACTACGTTTGAAACCGAACAAATGTTAAACTAAATGTAAAATGATCGACAAATATTGATTATGAACAATTGGTAATTAAAAGTACCTTGTTTGATTGTTCGGCCTGGGTCATGCTCAATAACATCAACAGTGCTTTCTTGAGATTCCATTAATTCTGAAATAATTAAGTTTTATAACAGCAAAACCTTTCAAACGCAGAAATAATTACGTTCGATATTTTCGGCCATTGCAAAACACTCTTTCGCTTCACTGGTATCACTGGCTAATTGCTGGCCATATCTATCATTCAATGAGCTTAACTCTGGTAAATTATGTTGGTTGGTAACGTGCATTTTCTTAAGAAGGCATTGGTAATATTCACACTGCAGTAAAAGAATACTTTTTAATTATTTGAAGTTTAATTAAGAACCATTTATGTTTACCTTCTTTGGTTTTTGATCTGGTTCGGTTTCAGAAGTTATTCCCAAACGCTTTTTAGCCGACTCGAAAAGAGTTGTTGCCTTTTGTGACACTTTCTCAATAAATCCCGCATGATCAGCGAAACATTCCTCTTCAAACTTTAAAACATCTGCAGGTCTTTCGCAGTCCCCGTACACTTTGACCACGATTAAAATTTGCATCAACACTAACAAACAAAACTTCATTTTTTATTTTGTGGTTGCGCAAATCTGAGAGTAAAACGCACTTGATTTAATCATGGATCAACAAGCAATGAGCAAGGTTACTTTACATTCTAGCAATTTATATCCTACGATGCGGGACCTCTCCTCCCGCCCGCTAATAACCATCATATACTTGCTGGCTATTAGCTTTTCCACGGTTAAACAGCGCATTGTTATTATTGGCATGACAACAATACAACCATTGATTTGTTTATTATAGACATTCATTTGCTTACGAATTTGTTTCCAAATTTTGTTTTAAACTAAAATTAATTTTATAATTACGTGGTACGTTTCAGTTCGGCAGGTTCTATGGAATTAATTGATTCACTATAATTGTTTATTTATAGAGAAGTAATAATAGGGAAGGAATTTTATTTAGTTAGCTTATTTTTCAGTGACAATTACTGTGGTAGTTAAATATGATTTCATACGAAATAATTTACTTTTGCTCTTATTATGGCGCACAATTTATTTCAATCTGATTCAAATATGTCAACAAATTTAAAAGTTAATAATTTAATAGAGTTCTAGAGTATATTCAACGAGTGATGACTTCCGTTGTTGATTCTGGAAATAAAAAGATTTTCGTTTAATCGAAATTATCTACGGTGAGCGCATCCCATTATATCATGCGACGTGCTAAATAATTAACTAGTTTTTAATTGCTCATTGCGGACGTTGATATTGTTGTCAGCGTTCAAAACAAAGATGATCTTTAATGTTTTTTTATTCTTACAATCAGCTATGGTTATTTTTACTATTTTTCTGAGTTTTTATTTATATATGGGAAGAAGAAAAATTAAATTCTGAGCAAGTGCGTAACATTTACAAAATATGCTATGACTCAATCTCTTGATTTTTGATAATAATCACACATTTTAATACTTCATTTAGTAGCACTCCAAATATTATCTTTTTAATATTATCGCTAATTGAAATAAGGAAGTTTTGTCAAAAATGCTATATTTTTCAAAATATTTCGTAATTATTTTATTGGAAAAAAAAAGAAACCAACAACTGTACATGGTAATATAAACAGAGTCAATACATAAACAATTAACCAGTGACCAAGCCAATGACAGCGTTCTTAATACTAGTCCGTATTAATCCACTTAAGAAACCTCTGCACTAACTCTAAAACGAATTTTGCGGCCCTGTCCAAGAATCCTTCGGCTCCTGCTGTATTCGGATCACCACCTTCTTCACCTTCACCGTCCATTCCATTCATCTCAGCCTGTCGTTTACGCATTTTGTGTCCGGCCATTTCCTTTTCGTACATTTCGCGAATTGCACGGGCTTCTTGATCATTATTCATAAACTTCTCGAATTTATGCATGAGCTCAGCCTCTGACATCTCCGTGATCGACTTGTGTCCATGAGGAACCTGTGGAATATTAATTGTGGGTAACAATTAATTACTAACAACAATTGTTGTTTATTAATATACTTACAGCTTCTAATTGATGGCAAGCCAAAACGACCACGGCCAAAATGCAAATTACTTTCAACATTTTACAAACTTTTAATTTTTATTTCACTTTTATGATCAGGGAGAACTCAGGTTTTATCAAACTTGAGTGTTGGATGCGCTAGATGCAACTGATGACGGGCAATCGGAAGCGGATTAATTTATATACGATCGGGACCATAACCCTGACTTTGAATCACTGTCCACGATCGCGTTTTGCGTTTCCAGCTAATCATTATGTAACGAATGGAAAACGCGGCAAATTATAGTCATCCCGTATTGTTAAACTGCTAATTCGACTTCCGTTTTCTGCGCGCCGTTTTTGTCCACGCATCTAATCTAAAGCGATGAGTCGCGCCGTGCGCGCGCCTTTTGTCATTTTTGTTTACTCTCGTGCGACGCGTTTGCTTTTCGCGAATTTGCGCATACGCGAAACCGAAAACGAGAGTCACATATCGTGTGCATCATCAGCGGCGGACCCACCTGCCCTTCAATTAACTACGAAAACAATCTACGCCTACAACAAAACAAGCACGTAACGACAAACTATAAACACATTTTAAGTTTGCCAGCCGGCAATAAATAACATCGACTAATAATACCAATAATGAGACTTGTTACAGGCTTTATAATTAACGGACAATATTTACATTGTCGCACCAGATTTTATCGTTTTTAGCGTGAAAATTTCATCTAATGAGAAAATAATGTTTAACAATAATTTCAACAGGCGGTATATTACAATGAGTTTTTGTTGATTGCCAATATTAACTATTGTTGATTTTTTTTGCGCTGCATTATAATTTTTTTAACTTACATGCATATTGAATTTCGCAAAATTGCAACTAATATTTTAGTGCAAAGTTATTATCAATTTAATTAACTTAGTTAATTAATATTATTACTAAAATGCCTGCGATTTGACGTTTATATTTTCCAGATTTTTAAGAAATTCGCGGAAATTATTATTCACACAAATTAAATTGATGACAACGTTCAATTAAGTTTTAATTATTTTTTTATAGGATTGCGCTACTTTGTATGAAGTGGTTTACTTGTATCAGTTTAATTTCACGTTCAAAATAACTTTTATTTAAAGGGAACGAAAACTGTAATGCCTGCTATTGAAGTTTAATTCTTCGTTAACAGATGGCGGTACCATAAAAGTACGCAAATAATTACATTCTTTAGCTACTATGTGCGCGTGCGTGCCCGGTGCGGTGCAGACGTACGCTTGTGGTTTAAGCGCGCCTGCACTGAAAAAAGACAAAACGAAAGTCGGTCGCGTCCTAACCGTACCGGTTCTTTGACACCCATTCGTTGTAAAATTAGTCAGTTATTCGGCTAAATCGTCCGTGTGCGGAGACGTGCGACCGGTGTAACGCAACCGATATTTTTACCCTGTCAGGCACGCGCCGTTTCTCTGCGGATAGAGATCGAATAGTGCGAGAGAAGAGAACGATCAGTTGTGTGCGGCTCGCTGGTCGGGTGTTTGTTTGCAGTTGCACCCGAATTCCGAAGGATACGCAACACGCACGGGAACGCGATGATCATTGATTGTCGGCGAGCGACGTCTGCGTCTTGCTGGGCATCATCATCGTCGTTGTTGTCGAAGTAACTGTGCGTGCTTACATATACGGAAAGTTGGGAAATTTCGGATCGCCGGTTGGTTTCGGTGCGCTAGCCATCGAGTTGGACGCCGCCTGCCATGGCGCTCGGCAATGGTAATGCCGCCAACGGGGGTGTTGCGCAGGAAAAGGCGCCGGTCGTCAATGGGACAAATATGGAAACGCTGCCCAGGCAGAATAAACAAGTAAGTGGAATTCACATTTGTTATTATCTCCCAATTCATTGTGTTAACTCGTATATTTCATAATAGATAACATTCCGCGAGTCGCAATTTAATTATGTTGTTAGCTTTGTGTTACTATGCATATTTAATTAAGTGTTGCATGTGCCAGGCGCGACGAACGCCAACAACATCCACGAAAATGCAAAACTGCAGTGACATAAACTTGGCTACAATAATAGTAGTTTCATTATTCACGGCATTCTGCGTTGGCAAAGTGCGCAAACAAAGAACTGACAGCAACAACTTGTAATTTCCGGTAATATCCCCAAATCGATACATATTTCACATATTTATTATTATCACATTACCGATCTAAGCATGCGTTTATAATCTGTTATCTATAAAATTGCGAAATTCGAAATAATCCAGTTTATGCGATGTGTAATTTATTTCAAAGTCATGAATATGATGTCATAAAATTGGTTTAGTATGTATTTTTAAAAATTTTGTCATTATGATAAGTAACTTGACATTGGAAACTATTCATATTGAACGTATGATGTCCTTTTTAAATTTGCATTTACCTTGAATTGAAACTAGGAAAATGTTTTGTTTAATCAAATTGGTTGTTTGTATATTAGGGTTTGGTTTTGGTGTAGGTATTTACCTACGGGTCGGTACAGATTCATAAAGGTAGAATAGGCATATCCGTTCGGAGACAACCGGTGCATATGGAGGTGATTATTCAGAGACATGAATTTACAATGGCATTTAAACCTAATGCTATTAGAGTAAGCCAATGAACTACATATGATGTTGGCAATGAAACCGCTGCGATACTTACCTGGTTGTAAAGCTCAACGCCAGGTAATTCAACTGTCAATAACAATAACTCCTCGGTGCTAATTTCAATAAACAAGTTCAAGATTGCTATGGAATATTTATCTATTGATGTATTGTAGGTGTAAAATCTTATTGGAGGTCTAAGTTTAGATTATTCTAACTCCTCTGGCGGAATAATGAATTATTAATTTGTGACGTGAAAAAGAAAAATCTACTTTAAATTGTCTTCTTTTGTGACGCTTGATATCGCTTGTCACTAAAGTGATGTATTTATTCTTGTTGACGATTCTTTTGTGTTGAAGTTGAAGTAGTAGTAGATACAAAATACTTTACATCACACTTTCTGTCATCCACCGACGATGCTTCGACTACTGTGGTCGCTAGTCGGTAAGTACTTATAACCCTGCCCAAGAATCGGCCAGCTGTGAAGGACAGCCTAACATTTTAACATTTATGTGCTGCTTCTTCTGTTCTTTAACTTTTGTGTGTGTAACTTTTTTAACTTTGTACAACGTTTAGCTTTTCCAATTCTGCCGCAAACAAAAACATGAAATAAAAGTGTAAAATGTTTGTTCGCGTGATTTAAGCACATATTAACACAGTATTTAGCATGCAATAAAAATACAACCATTTAGGAATTACTGGAAACGCCTACAACAAAATTTTTAACAAGTCAAAGCTTAATTATTCCTTTAATCTTTATTTTTTGCAAGTTAACATGCTTTATTAGTGCTTGTGTGTTGTGTTAATGCATTGCATAACGCTGTGCATGAATCGTAGAAGCATTTTTATTTTTATACCTTCTATCTGTACTGTTGAAACAGTTTGCCCAAGTGGCATTCGTAGAAATTAACAAACCGCAGACCTGAATCGGCGCGTTGTGCGCTCATCACCCACATTCGATTTTTCTACGTAGTCGCTGTGTAAATACTACCGGCTTATAATAGTAGTCGTTCAACTGCATACACTTGCGTTTTCGAATACTTCGAATACGAACATATGTTCATGATCAATACAAATTTACATAACAGGCAGGTCCCCCGTTCAATGTTTACGTCGTAAGATTGACTCGACTCGTTCAAGGATCTTCAATCCTTCATTAATAATTGCTACAAATTGACCAGCAATCTATGTAGATAAATGCGGAATAAAAGGGACGCGTTTGGTTAGATTAATAATTGGGTATTTTGATTCTTGCAATCGGTTGTTGCGAAATTGCGACTAAAATTGAAGTTGTTTATCAACACAGCTCAATTAGAGCATACAAATGGACATTTATCATTTATATAACTTATAAATAGCATCGTTTAATGTTTTAATAGTCGTTGATGCGCACCGGCATCGTGTGGGGAGAATTTATCAGTCACGATGTGATGCTCGATTTGAAACAGACACACGATGAAAATAATTTCAATTTTATTTTCAAATATTCGCATCTGCCGATTGACATCATTATGTCGTCCACTGTGAAATATCTACCAGTTAACTATAGTAGTCTTTAATTTAGGCCCGCATGAATTCAGGCCTTCTCCGTTTTCTATCATACTTGCCAATTAAATGCTTCCAATCTTCTTATCCTCTGAAAGCTTTGTATTTTGCTATGTGCCAGGCGTCTGACGTGCTCTGTGTGCAATATGTAAGTACTACATCAGTCGGTCATTTGCTATATTACATACATAAATGTATGTGCACTGTGGCATTAATAAAGGACAGTCGCGCACTTTTATCATGATATCGCGTTTTGTACTGTGGCGGCGCGTATGCCGGACACGTACGGAGTTGTTACCGTACGGTAACTATTGGCGGCGGTGTCGAGACTTATACGTTGTGGTTTTCACTGCCTTTTCTGCACGTGCATACTTAGGTGCTTAGTTGCTTACTTTCATGTGAGTGATGTTCAAGTTGGCATTCATAAGGTTTTTCTGTTCGTAGAAAGAGCTGTAAAGAGATGCCTGTTTTTACGTTTGCTTTTTCTTAGTGGTATGATCATAAAACATCTCAATAATTATAGTATTAATGATAGAAGATATTACGCTTTTAATATTTACTTTTATAGCACAAAAAATGCTATTTTGATGAATGTAGTCACTTTGTAGTTGCCAAGCTAATATAAAATATTCTCTGTACATTGATTATTATAATTCTCATTATGTAAATGACATGTTTGCATGTTTCTGCGCATTATTAACGAACAGATACTCATAATTTACTACAAGGATAATCATTCTTTTCACACTATTTCATCAAATCAGTGTTCTGTGTATTTATTCGAATCGATGTTTTAAGAAAATGTGTGTATTTTATTTTTGAGCATTTTAACCATCTTCTACCTTCGAAACGCGAAGGTAAATAGATATCTACTTGGAAGTTTCGTGCGTTTAATGTAACTATAAGTGCTGTAATCGAGGCGAAACCGAGCCATTTAGGCCTGGCATTAAACACAGGAAGCGCCGCACTTTTCAAGCTGAATAAACAAAATCGCGCGCGCCTAAAAAGCAAACACTGTTTTTTCCCTAGCGTAACATGAATTTTCAACCCAGCTACTGTTACTAAACATGTAAAATTTCAGTATGAATCGATTTTCAAAAAGTTAATTGACACCGAACTATCCTATTATTTGTGATTTTGTACCGGTATTTACGATTGTGACCTAATGATGTCAACGTTTGCGTGTTGTACATTTTGGAAAAGTTGATTAATTGGATTTTTTTTATTATTTCCTATTTCCTATTGTTTTATTCGACAAAAAAAGAACTTCAGTTTCGCTGCGCTCTACGGAGTTGTTCGTGTCGCATGCACACTCATTTTATGAACAATTCGTAACTTCGGAAAATTACTAATATGTAGAATGATTTTTTTTGTTTACGTGTGCCCTGCAATACAAGAGTTAGTTCACATTAGAAAATTGCGTGAAAGAACTTTCTCTATTATTAGAACATCAGTTCCAAGTTTCAAACGCACAAATTTACTAACTAATTTTGTGTTTGCGATGTCGTTGCACCGTAAATGTGGATTATGCGGTTTAATGAAACATCCTACTTAATTTGAACCCATGTAATGTACATTTGTGAACGCTTCTGTGCATATCTGCTCGTAAAATGGGGAGCCACTTTCTCATTATGTATGCCTAGATTTAAATTTACTCAACATAAAAAAAACTGACGCAGTGAATGCGGTACTCATGAAAAAAATGTTTGATATTTCGAACGGTAGCGCGCAATTATTGTCTTTATATTTTCGTCGAGTTAAATGTACGATATTTTTATGCACATTGCTATTGTTCTATTTCGCATGGAGTAAACAACGTCGCCATTGTATTGGCATTCTTTTCCGATATTGCTATTATTACTGTGATTGCGTAGCAACTTCGTAGATTTTACGCTAATAATAACTACTATGTCGAGGTGTTTTTAAGTTGGTGGGGAATTTATGTTCGCACATTTATTTATGCGCCGTGTATAGGTCTATGAGCCCTTGAGGTCGCAGGGAGAAGAGTCTAAGAGAGATGAGCCTAGAAAGCTGCGACTGGACTGCTGGACAACTCAGATACGACTGAGTATTTTGCTCAAACCGAGGTGCCCTTCTGTACCTGCGGGCTACCGGGAATAAGGAGTGCGGGAGAGCGCGAGCATACGTGCGGAGGATACCTACGAATTGGGGTGGGGGAGATGGAGCATGAGTCATCAAATGCGATAGTCATAAGCTTAAGCTTTCCCCCTCTTCTCGGTTCATGTTGGGCTCAGCTATGTAAGGGTCGGCAGTAGTCAAGCTAGTCGGTCGTCCCTGAGTCCTCCAGTAGAATAGTCGCAGGAGTCTTGTTATCATCCATATGTCTATGTTCCTTTTAGGAGGTTAAAATCAGTTGAGTGATATTATTGACATTGTATCAATGTATTATTTAGAATAAGCTGCACCACCCAAACATAAAATATTTATAACTTGCACTTTTATTCATCCGCTATTTTTATATTTCGTTGGTTTTGATTGGTTTCACTTTCATATATTTTTTTGAACGGTTTGTCCGACTTTCGCATCGTGTTCGTCATCGGTTAACCAATGTCGCGCGTGAAACTGGTTCGCCGGGGGAAATAAAAAGAATTACATAAATGTGTAATTTATTTGCGTATTTATAGCCTGCGTACAGCGAGCACACAGACATGACATCATCCCGCGCAGTGACAACATTTTCTAGTACACATGGTTCGCACACCGAGACAATGTTCACAATGTGCTCGCTTGCTCGTGTAGTACCTATGCGCGTAACAGTAGATCAACGTATGTGGGTTTCTCATGTTTGCTGTGGATATTTGCATTCCGATTTGCTTTATGTCGACGTAACTTTATTGTCGGTCGGTAGGATTTCTCGAATTCCGCGTGAAATTGCTTCGATATCGACAAAAAAAGTGAATCGCAGTAAAAGTTACGAACACGAGCGTAAAATGTCTTTCAATTTTATTTTGAATATTTGCGAAGTTTTTAAGTGAGGTTCGAAAGTAACTCACAAGCAATAAATAATATTTTTTGGAACTAATAACATATTGACCTCTAAATAGTTATGATGTTCACTAAAACTTATTTACTATTTACCGCTATATCTTATGTCATCCTGACTTTATCGCAATGCTAACAACATTAGCATTTAAACTTATTTTGTTAGCCGATGCCACAAAAAAATAAACCGATGACATCATGCGATTATTTCATTGCGTAGCTCTCCGGTCATTATAAGTAGCAAGACACGAGTCATTCGCGTAATTCGCTTCGTTTTTTTTTTTTAGAAAGGAGTACAAATAATTAGTCGCTCAGTCGACAGAAGCGAAAAACGATCTTGAAATATACGACTGGGTATAAAATGTTATTGTTGCGCCTGTACACGATTTGTGTAAAGTTTGCTTGCTGGCTGAAATAAATTCTAACGTTAAATAGGCCACGGGATAAGTATAATAAAACATTGGCGGTGCAAATTTCATGCTGATGCTTCAAGAACATATAATTCTTGAGTATATTTATGTAGGTAGTCGTTTGTTTACATATTTAATCTGTCTGTCTCGAGAATAAAAGGCCAAGATAAATAGAATTGTGTGCCGAATCAATAAAAATCTATTTGCGCTTATTATTTTATCTTGTGTATTTTATGCGTGATAATATGCTATGCAAATAATATCTACATTTTATTACAATGCAAAAGCAGTAGGATAAAATTCCATTTTACTACGATATTGAAGTAGGATTTCGGCCGCTGGCAGTGAAAAGACTTAAAGTTTTTAATTTTATTATTATCGGGTTTGTATTGTTCAAAACCGATTTTGGAAAAAATCATTTGTAACCACGTATTTTGTGAATCTTACTGATATCTGCTTTTAATAACAAACCAAATGTTAGCAATTCCGTCACGTTTTTGCGCAGTGTCGTGCCGTAATGTATAGTTTTAATTAATTAAACCACGCATTTCGTGCATTCAGCACATCAGTTACTTGGGCAAGATGACAGAAAAAGGAACGGCTTGAAACACAACGGCGAAAATAAAGGTACATACTCTATTTGCATAGAGTTACAAATAGCTTTATGGTGCACAGAGCTGCTGGAAGTTATACACATATGTGTAATGTGTACTGTGAAGTACTACACCTACTATCTAGCCTCCCGCACCTTCAGCAAGCAAGTACAAGTTCAATTATAAGTTTTAGTTGATGCGAGTGCGCACTTACCTTCCTCTACCGACTGACGTGGTTGAGTAATGTGTTGGACGCAGTGAACATCGCCTGCAAAGAAAATACTCGTATGGCTAACATATTGTGAAAGGACGAATGCGTATTCTGGAAATATGCTTGGCAGATGTGCTCAACGTTTTTATTCTTTAACATGCGTTTTATATACATTGGAACAGACTTAATTTGTTTTTATTTGCTAATGAAACATGAAACATGAAACACAAAATGATTCATCATAAACTACAGTTCGTTTTGAAAACAGGGAATAATGTAAGATTATACAATATTTAAATTATCACATATGAATTTAATGAAAAATATTATTTACAAGGATTTAGTCATACTTGCTTATTGGTTTTCCCGTAATTAAATAATATTTAACATTCTTCAACTGTAATAAGTAGTAACTTATAATTTGAATTATATACGTACTGTACCTACGTTTACCTATTTTGCACCGGGTCTGGGTTATTTGTAAACAAGGGCTGGAAAAGCTACGTCCAAACTATTTTAAGTCCTCTCTCGCTAGTCCCTAGCAGATGTTTTAATTTTACAATCGCTAGGCCAAGGTGCCACCGCACCCTTGTGTGAAAGTTTAATGAATTCACACCCTAAATGCAGACAAATAAATTATAATCTCCGGTATTATTATAATTTTAAGAATACCCATTAAAAACTAAATTTATGGTTGTGTTTAAGCAAAGAAAAAACATTTAATTACAGCTACTATTTCAAATTTTCGTAACTTATTATAATTTAATTAGCGTGGCAAATGGATAATGAAAATAATGAAGCACCGTTTAGTTTTTGTGTAGAACACAGCACCAATTATCTTTTTCATGTCCGCCATTGACCTGGCCTATTTGGCAAGCGCGCGTTTTACATTTGCACAATCGATTTGAAATGTGCAGCAAATATTCCGGCGAAAGGGAAGCAAGCGTAATTGCAATTTGTTGTTTTCTGTTTTTTTTTTTGGTATGTGTATTTTTCCAGCTTTTATATGTTTTGGACTTGCTCCAAATCTAACCGGCATAAACTCGCATTCGTATTCGTGTAATGCATATTGAAATTATAATTACGTGTCTATAAATAGCAAAAAACTCTAGAATATTTCCACACACATGCATTCATCCGTGTTGTGTCGGTTGTGTTGTCGCAGCGTGTGTGCTTTTTGCTGATGCACCAAGTTGCACCAATATATTATCTCGACTTCGCCGGCAAGTCAGCGTTTTCGATGGTAGCTTGCATCAGATCTTACGCCTAACTATCTCACTTTTTGTGCGCTAAGCTACTTATATTGAATTATAACACAAACTCCAACTTCCTATCGGGTTATAAATAAAGTAGCTCGTAAAAAGTTGATATTATGACATTTGGAGTTTGTTTTTTAGCTTTCGGGTGATATTTTAATGGTGTGCATTTAAATTCGAGCGGAGTGAATGCATAAAACTAGTAGTTTAAAATTTGTTTTGGAGAATAATTTTGTAATTTTAAAGATACTAAATTTTTCGATAGCACCTTAAATATGCATCATGACGACATACTTAAAAAATACTTTCCTGTTGTGGTTATCAAGGACAATTTTATATTTGTGTGTTGACATTTCTTTCAATGATACGTATTCATTTGTAGATCATGACGTCATATGTCAATATAATATTTAACCTTTATGCAAAAGTTTTCATACTGGAAATTATATTTTGTGAAAGTTCTCACTGATGCGCGACTGCAGTAAAATTATTTTTCCGAATAGTCTTTGTGGGTTAAGCATTGCAATCTTGCAACGTGCTAAATACTAGTATAAACAGAAATCTAGGATCTAGCGATGCGAGATGAATGCTGATTACAGTGCAATTATGAAATCAGTAAACATACTGCCAACGATGTGTACGAGAATCGCGCATTGTGTCGCCGGGCCACAGAGTCATGGTCAAGGAGTTTCTCTAGAAGCCTACGTTTCTAAGTTCACAGATAATCAGTAACACTTTTCAGACACAATTTCTAATTACACGAAGCCATAATAATTAATTGGTTTAATTTTCATGCTTCTTATTTTAACTTTGCAATTCACATAATTAACAAATTTCTAATTACTGGCGAAGCTGAGCAGATAAACATTCTCCGGAAAGCGCCTTTGAAAATGGTGGTTAACGTCGTAAAACGTCCGTATTTGTTTAGGTTCATTTTTGCCGAATGTTGCGCATGAAATTCCCGTCCGCTCCGTACGCAATATGTGGTTTGTTCTATTTATTAATAAACACAAATGATAATAGGCCATCGGAATAGAACAAGCGGTATGCGCAGCGGCGCAGATTTAATTTAGGTCAAGGTAATATTCGTTGCTCGCACCCGGACCATCATCCAGCGTAATTATTCGAGCGTTTACGTATTGATGTGCTTTACTGCGTACCGACGGACTTGCTGTGCTCGTAAATGCACATACATTGTGATATTAGTGTTCACTGGCGCTGTGGAATATTTTTGTATGTAGCATATCATTTTAAATGGTTGGCCGGTTCCTCTTTCTTTAGGTCAAGTTTGTAATGCGCGCAAGGTGGAACGGAATACCGAGCCTTGAAATGACACAATTTTATTATGTATGAATTTCATACACGAACATTGAATTCAGGGAAGGAATTGTGGCTTTAAACTACCAAATCAAGTAAAAGACAAAGCTGAACAACATGAACGAAAACAAAACAACTCGTACTTGTTTTCACGGAATTATATTTCCAAGTACAATCAATACTGAGTGCTACCAAAATATTAACAAACAAATCTTGGCAGGTATGCTTTTTTGTTATAAACTAAAATATCCTTAGTATATAGTTGTTATTTGGTTGTAGTTTTGATGTGTATGTGGCACATAAATACGGGAAGTTTTTAATTTGGACGAAACGACTCATGTGCGTCGACACGTGACTGACATTCGTGCAGTGTGTTGAACTTGTAACAAATATTACACGTACAAGTAAATAGCGCCGAAATTACCATTTAACATGTTATAGTTTCATTGCGGTGTGTAGAGTAGGACGTCATCAAACAATAATGAAATAATGCCAAAGAAGATTATCTTTGCGTTACGGTGTTAAGAGAAATAATATACAAAATGCTTCACATTTTTCAATTGAATTTGGCGCATAACAATAAAGTTATGTGTGTTATATCCTCCTGACAAAGTGGAAACAAATTTGTGATTTTATTGCGTTATCCACCGTATCCGCGAACACGTATCAGACTCGGCGCGTTATTGAAATTCTCTTCTTTCTCTTGTATTACGCTCCACCAGGGGCGTTAACTTGCTTTGTGGATTTTAGCACATTGAAGGCGTTGTGTGTGCCACACTCAACACTGTGCGAACATGCCAGCTATTGCCTTCCCTTTGAAAATCCCAATGTAGTAGAACAGCAGTGTCTAGTTGTGCGGTGGTTCTCACCACCCGGATCACAGTAAACCTTTACTCTTTACTGCATTAGAGCAGAAACTGGAACAGGACGACTAGTGCCGCCACTGAATTATACAAGCGTAGGAGGTGCAGGACGCAGAAAAGGAAGCAAGATTGGAGTATAGCGCACATATTGTGGAATGTGGCGTGTCGGGATGGGGCAGGTCGGAATGGTACGCGCTAGAGTCAGTGCGGTAGGGATGGCTCTGGGCGGCGGTCGCGAGAAACTAGGGTACGGAAAGTAGGTTAAACGACCGCCAGCGCTTACGTGTACACGCGCCAGGGCGAGCGCCCGAAAAGGCGGCGGCGACGGGCAATGGCAGCACGCACATGACAGGTCAGGACCAGAACCGGCGCGGATCGATTCGGCGTGGTCCCGGCGGACGCGTAAATTAAATCCGGAAGTGTCTCCGACGGGAAAACGCTGTGAACATAATAATGTTCATCTTTGATTTTGCTATGCAAGATTTATGGGTTGGCGTTTGTCATAATCTTCTTCTGATAAAAAGAGACATTTTCTCATGAAAGAAAGGATCTTGGCTCATCTTTAGACTTTTATATAAGAATCAGCTCTGATATCTTTATAAATCTCTCATATATCGATTGAAAGATTTGGAATGGAACATATTTTCATGCTCATGATATTCAATATAAAGGGATTACCACTATCCCTTTTCCTCAATAGATCTTTTGAGGTATGATTGGAATGAATCTTCAGTTCAGTTAATAATCCTATTCCATCTTGAAACTTTGAACTTTGAACTGAACTTAATATCAATATTAAATTATCACTCTCGAAATAACTATGTTGCGGTTTTGCAGGCATTATAGATATGCCAGATAGATGGGGTTTGAAGGCGGAAGGAACTACGCTTAACACGAAACATAATTATGCGGCGACTGCGAAAATAAGTAATAAAGCACCGCGTGGTGGCTTCAGAAAGCACTAAAGAAAGCTATGAATAATAATGATCTCGTGATCGTCGTTGCCTGTTCGTGCCCTACGGCAACGTGGTCTATAGGACTGCAAGCAAAGCTTGAGCATTCTTCAAATTATATTCAAACTACAACTCGTGTCTCGCGTCAACTCGAGCAGCTTTCTTCAGACTTCCGGACACCAAGAAACGCTTTATCGCCTTTATCTTTTATCCTCGCGCTTGCAATGACTATTGAAATATTCATTAACAGGATGCTGCAAGTTGGCTTGGCTCTAGATGTCTGATGTTACTTGAAGTGCGCTTTTCCACACCGTAAGAAGGATAATGGTTACTTCTGCAACTTGCCATTGCATATTATTACAAGTTATGCTCGTTCTTGTCATGTTTATCTCAGTGTTGATTTTGAATTGTTGGGCGTTGTACCGTTGGCTGCGATTGTTTCTCTGGAAATTTAAATCAGCGCCTGTGCCAGTTGCTTTGTAATGTGCATAAATAATCATCACAGAGGGTGCCGTTAAATGGCCTGTTGGGTCTGTTGCTTGAGTGTCATCACAAATCACGTGTCCAATTGTGACCAACCACGCACTTATCAAAACCGCATGTGTTCAAGCGGAGAAATTATTTTATGTTCTCTTGAAGTTCGAGTTAATATCAATTTCATCGAACGCGTCGGACGTTTTAGATGAGACGCCTACGCACGTTGTTAATACGGAACCATAATATACTTTTAAATAACTTAAATATATTACACATTACAGTATTATCTCAGTATGCATCATAAGGTTGCGCCGTGATGAATCATCAAGTTGTTTGCGTTTGTTACGCGTTTATTTATGCCGATTGCATGTGCTAATAACAGTATTTTCTTCTTTTTGCAGCAGGATCCGAACACGGCGTTTCTGAAAGCAGCTAGGGCAGGTCAATTGGATAAAATACAAGAGTACTTGGACAGCGGAACAATACGAGACATAAACACGTCGAATTCCGTAAGCCACTGACATTTTTTCCCTATCGTTATTAATCGTTGTAGTTTGTGAGCGTACGCTCGTTGGTTTATCTTCGACCAATCTTCTCGTCTTTGTGGCATTAATCACTCACATGTGTGCATGTGTTTTTTTTTTCTTAATCCGACGCAGAATGGCCTTAACGCGCTGCATCTCGCCGCTAAGGACGGACATGTCGACGTTGTGCAGGAGTTGCTCAAGCGAGGTGCGATCGTCGACGCGGCCACCAAGAAAGGAAATACGGCTCTTCACATTGCGTCATTGGGTAATTAAAAATCTGGTTTCTATCTTATAGTGTAACAGCGAGCAATGCGTTTTACTGCGCTAGGCGCAATGTGCGCTCAATCTATTTCGTCTACATTAGGAACGAATTCGTATTTGGTCCTGTTGTTTAATTCGTGTGCGCTGCCACTCGTTAGAATTCCATTTTGATCGTTCAGATTTGGATCACATCATCGCATGTTTTGTGTATATTGTATATGAATCGAATACTTGAGGCATAATGAACGGCATGCGCACAGGTAGAATGCACGGGCAGTGAATTTATTGTCGCTTCGATTATTGGAGCGGAAATGAAACACGTGCATTTATTGACGTACGAATCGGGACGTCCGCACCTTTCTATTGTCTGCCTTCGGCGACTCGCGAGGGACTTGGTTCGCATGATCATCATCGACGGTTTTGCTCCATCGCGTTTACTGTCATCGCGTTTTTCGTAAGGTTCAATAGCAATTTATGGAATATACACCAGGTCCAATCAACATTCTAAAGTAACATGACTTTAATTATGTCTCATTATTGGTTTCATATCAACTAGTCATCACGAAAATTTTAAAAATCTAATTTTGTTGACCTCATTATTAAATTTAAGATGATTTAAATTTGATGAAGTTGTTTTGATTTGTGAAGACGCATTGTATTTGATGTTAAACAATTGCTTGCTAAGTTCATTCTTGTGTTCAATGGCAAGTGAACAAAATTTCGCATGTTTTTGTTAATTGTTGCCTTGTGTTTTGTGTTTCCGTGCGAGTGCAGCCGGGCAAGAAGAAGTTGTCCGCTTGTTGATCCAAAACGGCGCCTCCATCAACGTGCAGTCGCAGAACGGCTTCACGCCGTTGTACATGGCGGCGCAAGAGAACCACGATGGCGTCGTCAAATATCTACTGGCGAAAGGCGGCAATCAAACATTGGCGACCGAGGTACACACTTTTTATTAGTTTCACGGTACTTTTTTTCTTTTCATTTGCCGACATGCGGTGTCATTGGGACTGCGGCACGGGGACGTTTATGACCAAATTTTTATGCATGACTTGTGTGCCCGGCAGGATGGCTTCACACCGCTGGCAGTCGCAATGCAGCAGGGACACGATAAGGTCGTTGCAGTTCTGCTGGAGAATGACACGCGCGGAAAGGTGCGTCTGCCAGCTCTTCACATTGCAGCTAAAAAGGACGACTGTAAAGCAGCCCAATTACTATTAACGGTATGTATAGGTGTTGAACTTTTTTTTTTTTAATGAAAAGTGGTTTATTTATTATTGTTTGGGTTCAGAACGAACATAATCCAGATATCACATCCAAGAGTGGCTTTACACCACTCCACATCGCAGCTCATTATGGCAACGATAAGGTAGCTTCCCTACTCTACGAAAAAGGTGCCGATGTTAATTACACAGCTAAACACAACATCACACCACTGCACGTGGCGAGTAAGTGGGGTAAAATGAACATGGTGTCGCTGCTTGTGGCAAAGGGTGCCGACATACAAGCAAAGACACGTGACGGTTTGACACCCTTGCATTGCGCCGCACGGTCAGGACATGATCAAGTGGTTGATATGCTCCTTGAGAATGGAGCGCCGATGCACTCGAAAACGAAGAACGGCCTTGCGCCATTGCACATGGCGGCGCAAGGTGAGCACGTGGACGCCGCACGCAGTCTCCTTTTCCATGGCGCACCTGTTGACGAGGTGACCGTGGATTATTTGACGGCTCTGCATGTCGCGGCGCATTGCGGTCATATTCGTGTAGCGAAACTTTTGTTGGAGCGCGGAGCGGATCCAAACGCGCGGGCTTTGAATGGGTTTACGCCGCTGCACATTGCGTGCAAGAAGAATAGAATAAAGATGGTAGAACTGTTGCTGAAACACAATGCTAACATTGGCGCTACAACGGAGAGCGGTCTTACGCCGCTGCACGTTGCGAGTTTCATGGGTTGCATGAACATTGTTATCTATTTATTACAACACGATGCCAGTCCGGACATCCCAACCGTACGAGGGGAGACGCCGCTGCATTTGGCAGCGAGGGCGAATCAAACTGACATTATTCGTATCTTGTTACGAAATGGTGCTGCTGTAGATGCCAAGGCGCGTGAGGACCAAACTCCTCTGCACGTGGCATCACGTTTAGGGAATGTCGACATTGTTATGCTGCTTTTGCAACATGGCGCTCAACCGCACACAACTACGAAGGATCTTTACACGCCGTTGCACATTGCGTCTAAAGAAGGACAAGAAGAAGTACGATGCAATCATTAAACTTATTTAAAAATTGTAACACTAAAAATATATATTTATTAATTTTAATAGGTTGCTAGTGTTCTTCTTGATAACGGTGCTGATTTAACGGCGACGACCAAAAAGGGCTTTACACCTTTACATTTGGCGTCTAAGTATGGGCATCTAAAAGTAGCTAAACTCTTGCTACAACGCGATGCACCCGCCGACGCTCAAGGGAAAAATGGCGTCACACCATTGCACGTGGCAGCGCACTACGACCATCAACCGGTAGCTCTTTTGTTACTCGACAAGGGAGCTTCACCGCACGCCACCGCGAAAAATGGACACACACCTTTGCACATTGCTGCCAAGAAGAATCAAATGGACATTGCGACCACGCTTCTGGAGTATGGTGCTCAGGCTGATGCTGAATCTAAGGCAGGGTTCACTCCGTTACATCTCAGCAGTCAGGAAGGTCATTCGGATATGTCTTCATTGCTATTGGAACACCAGGCTAATCCTAACAACTCTTCCAAGGTCAGTAATCTCAATTCAAAAATATCTTTAATTAGAGAGAATGAATTAAATTAATAATATTTTCATTTTTTTAGAACGGACTCACTCCATTGCATTTATGCGCACAAGAAGACAGAGGTTCAGTCTCCCAGTTGCTTCTTCGTGCCGGGGCTCAAAAAGACGCGCGCACTAAGCAAGGTTACACACCTTTGCACATTGCTTGCCATCATGGTCATGTCAATATGGTACGGGTGTTGATTGAGCAAGGCGCTGATGTCAATCCAGCGACTAGTGCCGGTTATACTCCGCTTCATCAAGCTGCACAGCAAGGTCACGTACTTGTCATCAGTTTGCTGTTAAAGAATAAAGCTGATCCTAATGCAGTAACAAATGTAAGGATTAAGAAATAATTTGGTAAGTTTATATAATAATATATTGCTTATTGCTTTAGAATGGACACACTGCTTTGGGTATTGCCAACAAACTTGGTTACATCAGCGTTGTGGAAGAGCTGAAAGTGGTGACAGAGATTGATGTAACCACAACAACTACTGTAAACATTGAGGAGAAATACAAGGTGGTTGCACCGGAAGCAATGCAAGAGACGTTCATGTCTGACTCAGAAGATGAAGGCGGTAAGCGTCAAAATATTTTGTTTTTATTTTTAATTTGTTGGTTTTGGTTTGATTGGATTTTTTAAAATTGGGTGATGGTGGGAGCTTTAGATTCTGATTTAATTTTCTACTGACTTCAAACTAATGCCTTAACAATCGAATAGCAGGACGTAGCATTTCAGTATTCCTGCTATTTCGTTGGTACTTTGTTTGTTTAACGCTGGTAACCTGAGGGTGGTGGTGTGTTGCATGCAGGCGGTGCGGATGAGCCTCCCGTGGCTTACGGACGACCTACGCATGCGCAGCACGTTTATCTGCCATACTATCAAGGGAATATGAATTATACACGTAAGTAATTGAGTACCGACTGTGGGTTGGAGACCAGTGTAGTTCACATACTAATCAATTTACACTTAATATTATTGATTGCGTCTTGGGCGTGGTGATGACACCTTATCGTTATCTCCGCTTATCGCTATCAATATAACATGGCACATCAATAAAGCACTTGCACACGCTATCTACAAGTGACATCGTTTACTAGCTATTAGTTCATGCAGTACATAATACGCCCAGTGTTAAAAGTACAATGTCTGTTTCCTCAGGCGATGACTTAATGGGTGACCAGCAGCAGTACAAGTACATGACTGTCGACGACATGAAGTCGCTCGGGGATGATTCGATGCGATTGGACGTTACGAACGACGAAAAGCACGACATGCGTAACTCGGTCGGTGAGTACTCTTAATCGGTTAATTCCTTTCAATTCGTCGTGCGGCAGCAGCGCAAAGCGCGCACGACAACCGGAGGCCTTCGATTAATTCGTTTCGATGTTTCCAGCGCATTCATACAACAGTGACTACATTATTGCGCCACAGCACATTAAAGAGATGTACACAGCCGCCAATCATGCCGCCACTTATCAAACTCCAGATAATATCGATATTAATCGACAACCCATAACGGTGGGGTGAGTATTGCTTATTATTGCCAAAGAAACGCCTGTCCTGAAACGCTCAGACATTGCGTGACGTGCTATTTTTGCTGCTCCAAGCGATTCTGAGGAATCGCGGCCGTATTAATATTCTGAAATAACACGAACGCTTAAATCGCATCAAGATTTGCATCCGTTCTTCGAACAGCGGGAGTGGGAACATTAAACATGCCAAAGTGTCGATGCAGTGGAGAGCAATTGGAACATGTGTTTTTAATTTTTGCCGTTTTGCGATAAAGCAGGAGCTGCAGGAGCCCGAAACGCAGTCATCATAACAAGCGTTGTTTGTTTCATTTGAAGGAGGGAGAGGAAAAGAAAACAGCGCGGTGCTCTTGAATATGTTTTTAACTTGATTTTTAAGTTGTTTCCCTTTATAATCTTTTATGAGTTTTACATTTACAAACCGAAGCCTGTAGTTTAGTTTGTTGCTTACGCAGTAACGAGTGGTCTGCGCTAGAGTGGTCGCTGTGCCGTCTGGGTGTCTACAAGCCTGGCATGGGGTTGTGCCGAGAAAGGTATCAGAAAACAAATAACCCAAAAACAATAATATTGCAACAGTTTACGTATTCTACTAATTTTATCTTGTTTAATATTTCACAACAAAATGTTCTCTATAATTTACGATGACTTAAAAGTGTTGTTATTTTTTATTTTATTTGTTTTATGAGCACCAGTAATTTTGATTTACACCACTAACAGCGTGTATTATACAGTTTGTTGTTGTAGCATCATAATTAATCCAAGTTTAATGTTACAAGCACGAAAATACTCACATTGGCATAGCACATTATTTATTATCAGCAAAATTAATTTGGTTCGAGTATCTCTGGTCGTGTTTACTTCAACAGACTGTATCAAAGCTAAAAACAACGAAGCGCAAAACTCGTAACGAATCTGAATGCAATCGAAAACGGTACAATAAATACATGACTTTTACTTCAACCGTTATGCAGCGGCAAGTGCGTTCTACTCTACTACCGATAACAATGTCTAAACGCTACGCAATTTTTACACTGATTGACTGAGCAATAACAGAGATTGAATTTACTTTTGTTTTCCGTATTCTCGTTGGGATTAATAGGCGAATCTCTAGTTGGAGGAAGTAAGTGGGAATGTTGAACAACCATCTCTCAAGCGAACGTCACGTGAAACTGGAATGACATTAATTTTGAGTTCGTTTTAGTTTCTGGTTATTGCATTCATTGGTACCTATTTGATTTTATATTGATTTTCGATTATTAACTTTTTTACGAAGCAGTGTGAAGTGCGCGTTTTGCATTCAGTTAACACCTACGTTTTGGATATACGCTTTGGTTGTTTTGTGCTTTGTTTTATTATGTTGCCGTTTTCTGGCGTTACTGTGTTTGATTTGTTATTTGGTTTGTCACGAACACCCATCGTCATAATCTGCGTACACTTATCAATATAGTCGTACTGATTTGTGCTTTATATCGCATCACGCGTTTCCATCACAATGTTTGCTGCAAAAGCAAATATAAATATATTTAAAAAAATTACCCACAAAAGCATGCAATCAATGCACAATCAGTTTGGCTAAACTACCAAAAACTAAAATTGTGGAAGTTGGAAATATGACAAGGGTTTTATATTAATTCTTTGTATTGTGTAAATGGCACATTGGTTTTAATAGCTTGCGCTTTGTATTGTATAAAAAAGGCATCATACGTCTGGCACATCAGCAAATTAAAATGAATGTTGTGATCTGCTGCCTGCCCTAGATGTCATGTATTAACATGTTTGTTTTTTGTATTAGTTTTCTAGTATCGTTCTTGGTGGACGCACGTGGCGGGGCTATGCGAGGATGTCGTCATTCTGGTGTTCGTGTAATTGTGCCACCGCGATGCGCAGGCAGTCCTACCAGGATTACTTGCAGATACATTCGTCCCAAACGGATGCCACATCCACCACCTCTAATGGAGGGCGAAGCTTTGGCGAGCAGAATTCTGGAACTTGGACCAGTTGGTGCCAACTTCTTAGGGTATGTTTCTCTTTTGCATTGCATGATTTTGCAACAATGCGTGCCTGTTTGCAATTACCATTTAGATAATTTATTTGTTTTTATAATTGCACAGTCCAGTGATTATCGAAGTTCCGCACTTCGCTTCCTTGCGTGGTAAGCAGCGCGAAATCATCGTGCTACGATCGGAAAACGGAGAAACCTGGAAGGAGCACACCTTGGAAGCGAATGAGACTGCCGTGCAAGATGTTTTGCAGCAGAGTTTCGAAGGCGAAGGTAATTTATTCATTTCATTGCGCACTTGCGTTTTTATTCACATACTGCAAAAATGGAAATGTGTACATGCGTTTGCAGAATTGAGCAAGATTGACGATTTGCACACGAACCGCATTACGCGGATCCTAACAAGCGATTTCCCACATTACTTCGCCGTCGTATCTCGCGTCCGGCAGGAGGTGCACGTTATTGGTCCCGATGGAGGCACAGTCTCTAGTTCAGCAGTGCCCTTGGTGCAGGCTGTTTTCCCGTCAAATGCATTGACCAAGCGCATTCGGGTTGGGCTGCAGGTATGTTCAATCGTTTTATTCGCGTCACGAGCCATACATTTTATGAATTACATGGTTTGCTTTAGGCTCAAGGTATTGAACCGGAACTGGTGTCCAAATTGCTTGGCCACAGCGTTGCTGTATCGCCAATTGTAACCGTGGAGCCACGTCGCCGAAAATTCCATAAAGCTATAACACTCAGCCTACCAGCACCGAGGGCTCACTCCCAAGGAATGATCAATCAATATTCCGGCTCCGCGCCCACGCTCAGACTTTTGTGTTCAATTACAGGTATACACTGCAAACAATTCGTTATTCATTCAATTATATTTAAGTTTAGTTTAAAGTTTAATGTTTCGTTTGCCAACGATCTTTCTATATCTGAACCAACACACTTAATGAATAATGTTGTTTGCGATTCAAGTCGCATGCATTTTACAAATGTTAGTCGTTGTCTAACTCTTGAGTTCAATCACACTGGATGACGCGAGTCAATTAACACAATTACACAAAACTCTGGCATCTGAAGTTTCGGTACTAATTCGGACGTTTGAAGTTGTGTTTGTTGACTCTCTCTGCTTGTCTCACTAATTATACCTTGGTTCGATTCTATACCTTCAGTTATTTTCTCTTATCTCCTGTTCTTATTGAGAATCAATGTTGAATGGACTTGTTGCAAATTGTTATGTTCGTATACATGCTTCGCGTAGGAACTAAATCAGGTAAATTTAGTTCCATTAAATCTTTTCCTCTTTCTTTAAGTTGTAATATTTGTTGTGATTGTAAATTTACTTTGTGATGAGAGACGCACATATTAATAGTTATAATATTCAGGCGGGCAAAACAAAGCCGTTTGGGAGGATGTCACTGGTTCCACCCCGCTGTCTTTCGTCAAAGATTGCGTTTCATTTACAACTACAGTTTCTGCGCGCTTTTGGCTTATGGATTGTCGGAACGTTGCTGATTCGGCGAGAATGGCAACTGAACTTTACACACAGGTAAATAAACGATTAATCCATTATTGCTTATCTATTATTATCGTAACTAATCTTTTTATTAGGCGGCTCATGTACCATTCATGGCCAAGTTTGTCGTTTTTGCCAAACGCGTGAGCTCCCTGGAAGCTCGCGTTCGCGTGTTCTGCATGACTGATGATAAGGAAGACAAGACTTTAGAGCATCAGGAACACTTCAGGGAAATTGCGAAGAGTCGCGACATTGAAGTCCTTGAAGGCAAGGACATTTTCATGGAGTTTGCCGGAAATCTTGTTCCAGTGCTTTCTTCCGGCGATCAACCGCGCCTGAACTTTAAAGCGTTCCGCGAGAATCGCGTTGCGTTTACAATGAGAATTCGAGATCAGGACGACGAGCCGGAAGGTCGTATTATGTTTATGACTGATCCGAAAGTGGCGCGTGGTGAACCTAATCAAACTCCATTATGCACTTTGAAAATGTTGATGCCAAAAGATATTTTACCAGACAGAGATTCTCAGTCTGATTTACTTTCGATTGAAAAGGACCACAGCTTTAATAAGGTATTGGTTGCTCCCGAGACAATTCATCGGGCTGACTTTAGATTATCCGACATTTGCGATTTGCTGGATGACGATTGGGCCAAACTCGCAACTGAACTTGAGATTTCAGCGTCCGACATTGAGATAATAAAAGAAGAATATCCGGAAAATAATTCTCAGCAGGCGATGGTTATGTTCCGATTATGGTTGAGGCAGAAAGCTAATCAGGCTACTGGCAACCGACTTGAGCAAGCATTGAATTCAATCGGCCGCGAAGATATCGTTCAAAAATGCATTTGCAATGTTGAACTTGTTACCGACGACATGGAACAAGCATTAGCAAAGATGCGGTTAGAACAGTCCGAATTTGACAACTTGAAGGATGAGCTGGGTCCTTCAAGGGACACATCTTTGAAGCGCGATGCGAGTTTAAAGATTTTCACCGGTAGTCAAGATGAGTTAGACATCAGCGAAAAGAACGGTAAAATAATTAAACAGGAGAGTCATCATTTAAGTTTATGTTTAATAAAATTTCAGATGAAACTGAGAAAGATGTCACCGAAACAATAAGCGAATGCGTCATTAAATCAAAAGAAGAAGTAATTAAGGAACTGCCAAAAATTTCGGCGGCATCGTCGGAAGAGGATGTATTACAAAATCAAACTGATTCGCACAATGATGAAACACCCTGCTCACCGAACGAATGCGTGATTGGCGATATCACAGAAGAACTGCATCAAAAATTGGACGAGAGTATGTTAAAAGTAGATCCAAATGCTAGTACACCACCACCAAGTCCGGCTGAGTTCAATCAATCCCCACCGGAACCAGACGTCAATGAAGGTAGGTGTCGTTTTGATTACATTTGATTATTGCTAACATTAGTTATTCAATTTTATTGTATATAAGCATTCCAAGTTGCAAACTTCCAAATTGCTCCTCGGAAATGAAAACGTTTTTTGTGATTGGATCTTGAAATTGGTTAAGATACAAGATACACTGATCACTTCACTTTCATCATGATTTTAGTGCTTCGTGAGATAGTTTTGAAGTTGTATGATTTTTTGATTTTTCTTAAACATACTCACCTCGTTTGCCTGCACATATTATGACACAGACTTTCGTAATGTTTTTTTTATTGTTTTGTTTTATATTTATATTATATGGTGTCGGTTTGCGGTTTCCTTTTCGTAGAATTTTCTATTTTTGTTTTTGTAAAGCCCTCTTAGAGACGGAACGGCTTATTACAAACGTTGATCCCATCGAAGTTCTGAAGAAAAATGTTAGCGACACGCTATCGTTCCTGCACCAAGAGCGCAACGATTTTCTACCCCTCGAAGACGAACTGATTCCGAGTCGGAAAGACGATCATGTCTCATTGAATATCAACTTGGACATAATTAAAAAGAAGGGTCGTAATGACGTCGAGGCAGCGGCTGCGAATGAAATTGGTGAGGTGATTCGAAAAGCCGAGGAAGTTGTCAACGACTTACAACAGAATGGTGGCGACATATCGGCCGTGATTAAAAGCGAAGAAGCATTCAAATTTCTTGAGAACGAAGCTTCCTCGCCAATTCTAGAGCCGAAATCGGTGTCGTTCCAAAGTAGTCCTAGTACCAAGAGTGCGATACCAGTTCCAAGTCAGCGACAGCCAGCGACCAATCGAACGGACGACGAGAAGGATAAAGATTTGGAAAGATTGCTCGAAGATCCTGAGATCATGTGCAAGATTCCAGTGAGTTTGAAGGGTGGTAAAGTGAAGACGATAAAGAAACATTCGAAGGACCCGCTGAAAGAGTTTACGAAGCTGTCGCTGAACTGGGATGAGACTGAGGGCGAGAAGCCACCATCGCCAACGAAAAGCAAGATTCCCGTGCTGTTGTCGGGCGGGGAGACGTGCACAACCACCGTTACGACCACCACCAAAGTGGTACATGGCGGTGAGCTTATTTCACCCGATTCGAAAGCCTCTAAGAGTAGTACGATAGACTCGGATTCAGAAAATGATAGTAGGCTTAGTCCGCCCCTTAAGGGTATTCTGAAGAAGACTAGTATGCGAACGATAGGCAGCTCTAGTGGTTCGGACGTCGCCCTGCACGAGGCGGGCGCCGAACTTAGTGACAGCGAATCAGGTAACTAGAGGGACTTAAACACCTAGTCAATACAGATTACGAGAATGCTTAGAGCTTATACAACTGTTAATTTTAATTAACTTGATTATGTTTTCTATAATGGTTTTGGTAATTTTATCGCAACAAAATCAAAAACTCAAATCGTGCGTATTAACCATTCAAATCGGTTTTGTTTGTGTGTAAAGTTGTCAAAACCAATCTATTGCATGTCCTTGCAGCTACAATTCAAATGAAGCACCGGCAATTTGCTGCACGTGCTTTAATTCGAATGAAGTTTTTAATGTTCCTATTGATATAAATACTTATAATAATTATTAATATTTTTCCTAGCCAATTTTAATTGAAATTATTTATTTATAGCCACTTAATAATGTACCTAATTTTCTAATATTGTTTTTATTTCTTTTTTCGCACTCACTCTGTTAACCGAAGCGTGTGTGTCAGATAATGGACATAGATGGCATGCAATTATCCGAATAGCGCCCTTAATCGTGCTGGCGTTAAGCATGTTCGTGATGGCACTACTAGCTAAATAATCCAAAGTAACTTACCCCCCGAATACCAAAAATACAAAAAGCGAAGCAAACCAATAAACGCAAATGGTATGCAAATTATGTACACAAAACCCATACACGTGACAAATGTACATGAATTCAATCCAATTCCAATTATCAAACAGCAAAATGCATATTAATTAAAAATCTCGGTCTTGTATTGCGCTTTGTACAAAGAGGAAAAGCAGGCAATTATGTACTATTTTGGAATGCTGTTTATAAGCTGGCGCGATCACCACCATTACACCACACATCAGCCAAACGTTCTATTGTTTTTATGGGGCGATACTTCGATATTATTAGAATTTGTTATGGGTTTATTACATGGTATATTTCAATTATAAGGTGGAACAATATTTTTTGTTGATGCTACATGGAGCGCTAACGTTCGTTAACGTGTAGAGTGTGTGTATGTGTAGATTTGCGTTGTTTCTTGTGTGAGTTTGTTGCTTCTGTAGATAGAAACGAAAAGTTTACATGTTGCTAGCATGCAAACGTTAATTTGCAAGATGAACTTTTATAACATAAAAGTGCACGTTATTTATTAATACACTGCTTAAATTGATAAAATACGATTATGGAACCCGTATAATACTTTCTCTGTTACATGTAAATCATACATTGAGCTTCTTGTAATCTACCTAAATTCACACACAACATATTTAACTTAACATAATCATAATCGTAGTTTTTGATCGTAATACAAAATTTTGTTTCCGATTGAGTACATGCGAAATGTTAATTTATGTGCAATTATTCTAGATGATTTTTACCCGGAACCTCAATTTACGGAAACGACAACTGAAGAAATTGATCCAGTAACAGGCGCAAAGTAATTTGCAATTAAATATGTATTAACAGGAATCTAATTATTTTTGTCAAATTTTAGAACTACAAGAACTATTCGTACGGCAACCACAATGTTATCTTCACCGTCAGGTCGTCACGAACTGATGGAAAATATGCAAAGCGTCATCGACAACTTTATGTCAGAGGAGAGGCAGCAAAAATAAGTTTATTAACTCCTTTGTATGCGTAATGGACTAATGTTTTCAACTTCAAATAGTTAGAGGATTTATTATCTAATAACTTGTATGAAACAACTCTGCAGGCAGCTACAAATTACGTGCCCCGCACCCCAAGGACGTGCGGCGAGCGTCCCATTCGATTAATCCCATGCATTTCTTTCGGGCACGAAATATCGCGTCGTTCCTTACAGTGAAATACTTACAAATAGTCAACTAACATGGAAACTAATTTTTTTGTTGACAAACATGTCAACTGATTCAATTGAAACTAGTGCGAGCTACGGTGATTTTACTTTTGATTTCTTTTCCGTTTCTGCACCGAAGCAGCTTAATATTCCTAGTTATTTTAACAGACTAATGTTTTTGTAAATTTTATTCTATGAAATGGACATTGCTCTATAGAACTACATAAAAACGTCACGGTTTAATTAATATTAATACTAAGAGTTTATTGAAAAGTTGAATGATGAGAATAGAGATTATATTATTAATATATAAATATAGATTTTAATATATTTAAAAAATATATCGCTTCATATACATATTATCTGACTTAATATTAAAGTGAAAAGCAAAACGGATGATACAAAATAAAATAAAAGTTCTGTTAAATTATTGTATACTTGATATATTATTGCAATCATGATATATTATTCGACATATAAACAGACAAATATTATAGTTGCTTATATTAGATATAACATTGTTTGAGGGATGATAATGATATAATAAATGAGTGGTATAATAAAAAATAATACGTTTTTCTGGAATTTCACCTTGTGTTAAAATGATGTTAATGAACTCCATCTGCTGTCAATAACAATTATTGCTTTGGTTAGCGAAATATTAGTAACGGGGTTACTTTCCTTATTTATTTTGATATCTGCTGCACTAGATATGTATATATCTATGGTTCAGTCGGTCGTGCGCTGCGGTGCGGAGAGCACGTTTTCTATTCATTAGCCGACCTTCCTGGCACCTTTCGTGTTTCTTAAGTTAAGTATTTAGTTATAACAAGCAAGTGAGTTGTACAGCTAATCGATTATCGTGAGTGGAATCTATCATTGAGAAGCTTTACCCCTTGTGCTGAGTATGTCGTCAGCCGTCGGATATCTTTCGGTGACATCATATTCCAATTGAATTTATTTAAAACTGTTCCGATCCATTGTTAATTGTGTGAATGTGGGAAGAAAGTTGCTATCGCAAAACAATGAAGTGAGTATAATCAATTTTAAAATTTATTTTTACATTCTTGATTGTAAGGTTTGTAATAAAATACAAATTATATAATTGCGAAGATATTTCTTCATGAATTCCCTTTGTCGTTTTCAGAACGGATTTTAAATATAGATCAGTGCATACGCTTGTGTGTATGATAGTATGTTTACCAGCGCAGTATACAGGTGTTGTTGTTTTTAAATACTCAGTTTTAAATAATATGGCATATAAATTTTATGTGTGCAGCGGGTATAACATAACTAACTTTTGCTTGAATTGTGTTGTTGTTTTTAAAAACATGATTAAAATAGAAACATAAATAGAAGAATCAAATAAGAATAATAAAAACACTCGGTGGTCGAGTGGAGACGTGCACCTGCTGGCATGCTAGCAGACACGGGTCGAATCCCAGGTATAGAAGGCATTTTTCTCAAATATAAAAATATCAGGTGAAATTTGGGTTGCATATATGAATTGCAACGAAATATAAGAGAAGTTGATATACAAATGGAGACAAAATAAGAGAAGTAAGAGAGTAAATGGAGAACGGGAGATCAGAGAAATAGAAGAATGAGAGTAGTAGAGAATAGGAGAAGTAGAAGGAAGAGAACAACAGAGGAGTTGAGTAGAGAAGAGGAGGAGTTAGAAGAAAGAGAACCAGGGGAGGATCAGATTTTTAAATTTTTTGGCACGTGTCGTTAGACAGTCTAAGGTCGATCTCCCAGAGCGCCTCCGGCGCTCTGGTCGATCGCCCACTGCTTCGATGCGTCCATTGCTCCCGGCCCATCCTACAGCTGCGATGTCTCTGCGCTTCATCCCCGAAATTATCAGGCATATCAACAATTTTTATGGTGGGGGATCACCCCCAGAGAGAGGGAACTCCTTATAAGGACAATCCTCATAAGGTCTTGTTCAAATATTTCTAAGTTTTAAGTCGCCTCAAGAGAGGTGACACTTAAAAATATTCTTACAAGTTCTGACCTGTAGCTGAAATGAAAGAAGGAGCACACAAATCACACAGGATACTTTAACAATTTTTATAGTGGGGATCACCCCTGAGAGAGGGAACTCTCTTAGAGACCTGTTCCTGAAATGATAGAAGGGGTACACAAATCAAAGAAGTCAATATATCTTACTATTTCTTTATTAACAATAGAATACAAGTTTGGACTTTACAAGTCAACAGAATACCTGTCGCCATATTGAAACAGGACTTACGACCTGCTAAGCCGCGCACATATAAGCAAGTACCACTTCGTACAGTTCTACCGGAATAAGGAAATTAGCAAATAGTTCATTTTTTGCTAAGCAAGAAAATTTTATATACAGGGTGTTGTCAAAAGAAAATCTTCTATTTATGAAGAAAATCACCCCAAAACAAAAAAGATTGCTCATTTTTCGCCGAGATCAAAGGAAAAATTATATACAGGGTGATACAAAAAAGAAAAATATATAAGTTCTATTACCTGTTTCCACCTAGATATCCAGGAGAGGTGATAGGTGCGGGGGTAGAACAAAATAAACAATACAATTATTAATAATTATAATTTCTACTTTTAAAGAAATACTAAATCATGGTCTCTTAAACCTAGAAACTAGCAAACAAGCCGATTACAAACAGAAACAAGATACAAAGGCAATAATCAGACACGATAAACGGAACCTAACGGAAGCGAATAGGCAGCCGACGGAACGCGATAATATTGCACTACTTTCATTACATCGTGGATTAAATCCGACCATTTTCCGAGCTCCTACTAATTTCACTGAACGTTTTTCCTCGCGATGTCTCAGAACTATACACCGCACTCGTCGGTTACTTCTAAATCTTATCTTTGCTGACCATTTTAATTCAACTACCGACTTGAAATCACAAGAAACGCGATTAGTCGCCGCGAAAACCGCCGATCAAGTAAACGCGTCTTTACCACGCGGCACCGCATGATCGACTAAGTAAGAAATAGAACAAACACTGCTGAGCGAACCGGACGCGCTGCAACGCGATAACAAAAAGTTGTTTATGCACATACACCGACAAGTATGAAGAGTGAGAACTATAAACTATTCATGTTGTGGGTGCAGTCCAATGCAATGAAAACATTGTATATTGTGAACGTACTCTCTTATTGGTATAAACAATATATCCTAATATCCAGTCAATATGCAGTCAATATGAAAAGGCAGTCACGGAGATAATCTGGTGAAAAATCACAAATCAAAAGAAGGAAGTGGAAGTGACTTGCATTCAGTGCACGGTACGAGGGTAGAGGTAAAAGTGACTCCCATTCAGGGCACCGTACGAAGGAAGCGGTAGAAGGGACTTCATTCAGAGCACCGTACGAGGGTAGCGGTAAAAGTGACTCCTATTCAGGGCATCGTACGAAGGAAGCGGTAGAAGTGACTCCCATTCATGGTATCGTACGAAGGAAGCGGTAGAAGTGACTCCCATTCCCTATTAGCAAAGCCAGTCTTCTCATAGTATTGACAGTGCCGGTTTTAGCACCTCCAGCGCCCTGGGCGAGATTTCTACGGCGCCCCCTAACTGAAATTCAGTTGGGACAAATCCAAATACCACGAGCGTGAGCGTCACTCGTGTTTCGCCGCTGGAGCCATGTCAGTGTATACTATCTCTATCTATCTATTTTATTTAAGTTTGCGCGCAACTGGCTTGAACGAAATAGGTGAAAGGGTTAAATTTACGATGCTAATATAATAAACAGCAACGGTGTTTTTGCTTCCACGAAATAAAGATTCGATACCTGCAGGTAAACAAACTTATCTCATGCGCGAAATCGCGTGATCGCACACGGACACGGTGTGCACTCACTACCACCAGCAAGCAATATTTAATGCAAAACCGTGCATCGTAGCGCCATCTAACCTTTGAAAATATTTATCAACTTCAAAACACATTTATCAAATATGCAACAAAAATATGTACGCGGTTGAAACTGAGGAAAAACAAATTCCAAGCGCAACGAGTACCTACTACGGCGCACACACACAACTTTCAATATAACTCGCGTTACGAAATTTTATTGCAATAAATTTTAATTCAGGGAGATACAGAATTAAATTCCGCATCGGGGAAAATGATTTCAAACTTATTGTAACACGGCGTTCGTGTGTTATAACAAACAAAAAAACTACAATTCCTAGCGCAACGAGTACTACGGCGCACACACACAACTTTGAATATAACTCGAGTTACGGAACTTCCTTGCAATAAATTTCAATTCATGGAGATACAGAATTAAATTCCGCATCAGGGAAAATGATTTCGAACTTATTGCAACACCGCGTTCGTGTATTATAACAAAAAACTACAATTTCTAGCGCAACGAGTACTAGTGAGCATACATACAACTATCAATATAACTCGCGTTACAGATTTTGCTAGCAACAAATTTCAATACAGGGAGATACAGAATTAAATTCCGCATGTACAAAAATTATTCCAAACTGACAGTAAGACCTCGTTCGCGTGTTATAATAAAAAAACTACAATTCCTAGCGCAACGAGTACAAGTGCGTATAGACACAATTATCAATATAACTCGCGTTACGGAATTTTTTAGCAACAAATTTCGATACAGAGAGATACAGAATTAAATTCCGCATTTAACAAAATTTACATTCGCGCCGTGATTGACATAGACAGGGTTGGCTTTATTGTGAAGTGTCAGTTACCAGGGTGGTACTTTTAAATTGGATTAATTTTTAAAAATTCGATTATTTAATATTACCAAACAAGGTAGCCTACCTAATCATCTCCCCACCCCCAATATCTATATATATATCGATATCTTCTGAACCAGAAGAGATAGAAAGGAAGAATCGCATATCCTTAATCTACGAAAAATTCTTCACAAAATAAATTTGAGATTCAATTGATTTAAAAAAATATTATAAGAAAAAAACATGCAAATATTGCAGCAGCAAAAAAAGGTTTCTTTATACCAGAAGAATTACGAGGACATACCTTGCCGCAAAATAATTTTATTTGCTTCAGTGTAATCCAGTAAATTGTGAGCATTATAATTATGCACGTTGAAGGAACCATATACACCACGAATAGTACGAAAAGAGTATCCGATGGCCGACGATATATCACTCATAATTTACTTCTGAATATGTTTAATCTGCCCTTAACGAATAAGGCACATCACATGTGCATAGTTGAACAGAGTATTTTGGAATATTACGTAATAACGCGATGAAAAATTGCAACAATTGTTGACAAGCGCGGATCACCTGACGACAAAAATAAGACTAACACTGTAGGTAAGCCAACCGCGTCTACTGAAAACATAGAGACCAGTTGAACGTGATAAGAAAAACTTGTTTGTTTACAAAATAAGAGAAACACACGAAAGCAATTCCTCCTAGTATGCATTGATTTATTTAGTTATTTAGTACTTATTATTTATAATTTATTACATTCTGTACGGTCATGCGTAAAATAGACATTATATTACTGTAATAAAAAAAATTAAATAATATTCATTTGATTCCCGTTCATTACATGCTATGAAACTATGGACATTTTTCATTCAACTATATCATAATAGTAAAATATGTTAATACGTTAAAAAATCAAAAAATAAATTAGTTTATATGAATTACTCTCCTTCATCACCGGTCTAAAGAAAGAATTATATGTTTTGAATTTATTCGATACAATCGAGCTGGATCTATCTACAAATGCATGACCTAGAAACATCTTTTTATGTATTTATCTTCGTCCATTTTACAATTTCAATTTTGAACGAACAGTTTACATATATTACAACCTGCACTTCTAAACCTGTCATATTCAGCAGTTCAGTCTTGAATAATTTTTGTTGGTAAAACCAGAAATAAGAATGTCCAAATTTAATTGCAATAAATATGACCATTATAATTCAAATTGGGACCGACATATTCCAGTACGCTCAAGATTCGATTGCCAAACATGCTATTTTAAATTAAACTTCAGGGGATCAGAGGATGGCAATTCGATTTATACCGACAGGTAAGCAATTACACATGAAAACAAATCAGTATACCTAAATACTAATCCAATTTAAGACTTTTGCAAGAATGTAAACTATGTTCCAACGGAAATGTATTGAAATTTTCACACTTCGAAAGTAAACCACAAGTGACTATTCAATCAAATCCAAATACATGGCCATCAAAGCCGAGAAAGAAAAACGAAATATGTGATAAAGAACCGTATCACATGTGGTACCGAAGAATAAGTTTAGCGCCACGAGGTAACGACAATATAACATACAGAGAAAGTATATAAATTATCATTGTAATTTTGTTAGTATATGATAATCACGTTGATTGGAGCAGCAATGGACCTTTAGCGCTAATAAATGGCTCTGGCTATTTAGAAATCTTTGATCTTGAAGTTAAACAAAGACCTGATAAAATCATTCAATTAAACTACCCGACTAGGTACATAAAATGGAATCACTCCGGTACACTGGTAGCCACGGTGGACAACGTTGACGGCTCATTAACTTTAATTTACAATGGAAAAAATGAAGGAATACTACCTTTCCCCGGACTGTATGTCAAAATATTAATTTACTCGCTACATAAATATATAATGTATAAACTTTAGATGTGCCTGCCCGCCACCGTTTATTTCAGGATATAGATGCAAAATTCAAGCGATAGCATGGAGACGCAATAATACAATACTGACTGGTTGCAATAATGGAACTTTGCGTATTTGGGAAAGGGGCAAAAAAAAGTCATTGATGTATGGAAACGAAGAGATACTAGATATAAAACCATCAATAAATGAACGCTATTATGCAATAGTTCGGAGTTCTATCATTAACATCTTGCAGTGGCCCGACAAAGTATATTGTCAAATTAATGCTTTTACAAAAAAGGTATATACCCAATTAGTGATAATAAAAATGTTGCCTCTATATAACATGTATCCTTTCTAGGCATTAGCATGGCACCCTTGGAAAGATTCTATTGTGTGCTATGCAACATTTACTTCCATTGTTGTCTTAAATGTAGCGACGATGAAGTGGCTGGACAGTCGAAAATTAAAACCATTATCAGTGATACATGCATTAACATGGAATGATTTAACGGGAGAGCTGGTGGTCGGTAAAATAAACCTAATATAATGAAAGAAAATCTGCAATACTGCGTTTAACATTTTAGGTCAGTCTATGCAAACTGGTTGAATTTGTACCACAATATTCAATTTTAATATTCTCAAGTTTGGATAATATTATTCACGAGATATCTAATCGTCCAGCGGCTATTGATTATCTGTTGTGGAGCCCGGATAGATCTGTATTAAGTATGTCAATTTTCTGAACACAAATTTAAAATATTTTAAAATTGGGTTTTAGTGTCTTACGATGAAGACTACAGAATTTGTGTTTGGCGATTCTTTGGAAACAAGAGTACCCGTAAGAAAGTTGTAGAAAATGAGTACAAAAATGTATTGTCGATTCATTATAAGAATTTTGGAAATAGCATTCGCTAAATATATTATTATATGAAAAGTAGTGCAAATTATATTAATAAATTATAAGTATTTTTTACGAAGATAATTTTATTACAAAGTGACTAAATTTGACGTTTTAATGACTCATATCTTACTTGATCTTTGACATTTTTGACAACTATAGTTAATTAAAATATTTTTGCTAACTCATCCACCTAAAAATTTTCGGAAGCTCCAAATCATTTAATAACAAACATGAAAGAAGATATTTCAACTGCTACTAGTAATGAGAGTAGCACATCACTGACAAAAATTTTCCAAGAGTTGGCCAAATTAGAAAAAGATTTCCGATATCAAGAAACATTATATAAAATCAAAGCAGAAGAGTTGGATAAAGTCACCGCTACTAATAAAATATTAAAGGAACATTTAGAAACTGCTTATTCCGAAATAGAAACGTTACGCAATAAACTTCAAATTTTGGAAAAGAAATTTCATGAATTCGAAATAGTATGTACACAAGAAAAAGAATTTTGTGCACAAGTCGTCCAAAAACTAACAAACAAGATAACACACATGAGTGATGAACAAAAATCTACATTGGAACAACAAGAAGCGCGCCGCAAACATATCAGGAGTGAACTGCAAGAAGAACACAATTTATTCATAAACGAATTACAACGAAGGCACGGAGAGACGTTGCTGGAGTTGGAACAAGAACTGGAACAAAAATCAAATCAAGTGCGAGAATTAGTTATACATACTTGTTTTAGTAAACCTGATAAGTTCATCTCTTTTCAGATAAGGCAGCAGCAAACTAAATTAGATTTTACTATGGAAGACAATCTTCTTTTACAGGATAAGTTGCGAAAGATGCAGCAGGAATATTTACCGGTAGAAGCATATAAAACACAATTGAAAAACTTGAGCACAACAAATGAAAAACTAAAAACGCAGTGTACGCAAATAAAGAAGGAATATCGAGCATTGTTAAATGATAACACACACTTAAAACAGCACAACGAACAATTAAATGACGTAGTCAGTGATTACAACAAGAATAAAATGCAATTGGAAGCAGAAAAAAAAGATCTGCAACTAGTGACAAGCAAAGTTCAGTTAAAACTCAATGAAATGAAGGAAGAAAGTGACCTACTGCAAAACCAATGTAATATTCTACGCGAAGAAAATTCAAAGTTATCCAAAGAATTAGAATTATACAAAGGAGATTACTGCAATATAGATATGCACCGCAATATAACAGAACAAAATAAAATATTACAGGAATTAGTAAAAGAAATGCGCAAGGAGCGCATGAAATGCACAGGGGACCAACTTCAAACTAATTTAGATGAAACAGAAGAACGTATTAAACGCCTGGAAGAGCTCATCTACGAATTGAAAAAGGTATTAGTATACAGACTTAATTTAAGTTAAAATGTTTACAAGTGTTGACTAGCAATTACTATTACATTTCTTATTTGAAAATATCTACACACAGCGTTTTGAAAACTATTTATTTAATTTGTATGATATCTGATGCAATATGCATCGCGCATACTACCTTCATTAACACACGCACGTGTTTATATCAGCCCAACAAACGATTTCTAGCATAACGAAAACAATTCCTGCATTTATTCAACATTTAAACAATAATTATGGCAACAAGTTAAATTAATCACAATGCTCGCGCAGAATGTAATGCTCGGACGCATCCAGAGATTCCATCTAAGAGTGTATTATTAACAATTGTTTGAAATCATCAAAAGATAGTCAATAAACAAACATAAACAGGATGTATTAAAGTAACAAAAAAATAAATTTTCAGTGTGCGTTGAATCCGAAAAAACATTTCATATGTAAGAAACCAGATAATGGACCGTACGAACCAGGACAATGCCCGTACATCGACAAAAAAATCTAATAAAAAGTGGTTGTGTTGTGATCAATCGCTTCCAATTAACAGAACAGCTTCGCTTCATTGTGTCCTATATAAAAATGTACATAGTAAATATATATTTCTGTATTAACATTTGGAATATAAAATATCTTCATGTAATTTGACGCAAACCACTTCCGAAATGATGCGTTCTTTCAATGTTCGTTGGCCCAATTATTTTGATTTTAGTTAGCCCATGTACATTCTTATCACCTTTGTTTTTGTATGTGGCCATATGATCATCCGTAATTTACATTCATCTCTATCATTGTATAATTCAAATACATATATGTATTACTATTTTTATCGACTCTAGTGTATATTTTATATTAGTAGCAAATTGATTCGTCTTTCAAATATTTGCAGTGTATTCGCTTTGCTGATGTTTGTTATCCATTTAGTAAGGAACGTTCGAGAAGAGATAAGAAACAGATTCGCCGTTGTGCGTTCTCCGGACAGCCTCGGCAAACATCATGGAAACATCAATACACTGCAATAGAAATTGTACGATTGCACAAACACAATATTTATCTGTCGAACAGAAAATATACCTGAATTTTTGAACACTCTTTCATATGTCCGTCCTGTGGAATGGTGTTGGTAACAACGACAGCCTCAAAACATGCCGCATTTATCCTGGAAATAGCCGGCCCCGAAAATATGCCATGGGTAAGAATTGCATAAACCTTGGTGGCACCAGCCTCCATAAGTTTTTCTGCGGCGTGGCAAATTGTGCCGCATGTGTCAGCCATATCGTCGACAAGAATAGCAACGCGATCCTTCACATCACCGACAAGTACCATCGACGCCACCTCATTAGCCTTCTTTCGCTCCTTGTGAATCAACGCAAACTCAACATTGAGTCTATCTGCGATTGAAGTGACTCTCTTCGCGCCACCAGCATCGGGCGATACAATGATACTATTGCGCCAATCTGCGATATTTTCCTTAATCCATTTCAGGACGGCTGGTTCGGCATACAGGTTATCCACGGGAATATCAAAGAAGCCTTGTATCTGAGATGCGTGCAGGTCCATTGTGATAATGTGATCGGCGCCGGCGACAGACAGCATGTTTGCCACCAGTTTGGCAGAGATAGGCGCACGACTCTAGAGAGATAAACAATCAACTCCATATTAGCTACAGCCTGCCGGCACATATCATTCTTTGCAGAACTGTGATTAAGTGCAATGTTAGAGCAAAGTCGCAGACGGCATAAGCAAAATTGAGGCGTTAGTACAAGTACATATGGGACAAATGTTAAAAGCACAAGCGATTATTGCGTAATTGTTATTCGTTTGTTAGACATTTGATGCACGCCTTCGTCTCGCCCAACATAACAAGTTATTATTTAACGCTACTAAGCCACAAACAAAAACTGGATTAGATTGACGAAAGCAGCAGATAAACACTGATAACGCACGCCGCAAGGCATGACACTTTGAACTCCCCAAAAGAATGCCCCGCAATTAATCTACGTTAATGCTATAATAGCTGTGATGGTAATTAAAATCATGGTCAATGAATACATCGAAATCGAGAAATGAACAAACAAACTTTGTGACGGGCAAACGATCTGCTAATACTAGTCTAGTTTAGTGTGCGTCACGGACTAAATCTAGTATTAATCAATAATCAAATTGCGTCGAACATGTGTGGGACAACATTGAACTTGGTTTTTAATTAAGCGATTTTATTACCAAGGAACCCCCTTCAGCAAAGCGACCCTTTGACTTATTTTCGGTTCGTCAACCACTTCAACAACACAACGGTTTCACTAGTCTCTAGTATGCGAAATAAATAATGCGAGACGAATCTGTTCGTCACATTCCAAAAAACTATGATTTCAAATGGTGTATTTTTGGGGTTGTATGATTAATTGATTCAGCATTCAATGAGAGGTTGTAATCTATAAAAGAGTCTGTGCAATTACCCTGAACTTCCATTCGTTTGATTTCCACTTTTGTAGTTGGTCTTTTGCACCCTCACCCTATAAAATTTATAGAAAATCGAAATAAACCAAAATTTACTTTCTGCGTTTGATTGCAAATTTCGCCTTAAAATAAATAAGAGGCAAACAAAGGCAAGCTCTGTGCAAGCTCTCAATCCATGGATGTGCGAATGAGACGAAATGTAAAATATAATTGCAGATATTTTACCGGATTTGCCAGGAAAAAACAATTCTGTCATTTTACGATAAAAATAGTGGTGCGTGCGGTTGCCAGAAATACGTAGGAATTAAATTGCTCATAAACAGTTGGCAGCTCGATAATGACATGTGCAAGTCAGCGTGCCTATCCAGGAGTAAACGATTTGTTTATGTCTAATATTAAATTGCAATGCTAACATTGTACAAAGAGAACGGTCAGCCTTATCAGTAAAATTTCAAAAGTTCATATAATATTTCCAGATTAATTGCCCTTTGAGCAGCAGTATTATTTATCGTTACCGGCAGTTATCGAGATAAGACCAAAGAAAAATATCTTGTTACATAAACAAAGTGTTAATGGTTTCGTCTTGCTTCACAGAATTGTTTCAACGAATAAATAAAACTTTTAAAATGCGGCTACTCTGGAAATGCAGAAAGATAAAATTGGTCTGCAGGTCCAGAAAACCTTCTTGGAAGACAGAAATAAATCAATTAAAAAAATCGATGCTTCGATGTTTTTTTCGACAGGTACGACAGAGACAACGCAACATGCGGTAGTCACGTGGAGTTACAGGTAGCTCTGACTGTGAAGAGTGTCTGGCAATAAAAACGCTCTCTACACAAGACACGATCGGTTTTTTTTAATGATGCGCGTGTGCATCTTACTCTCGTATCGCTGCGCGGCGCCGGGCCACCACCGCGTTACTCACTTTGTCCTTTTTGTCTTGTCTGGCGTACGGGAAGCATGGGATAACGGCGGTCACGCGACTCGCTGATGCGATTTTGCAAGCATTGATCATAATCAACAACTCCATCAGGTTGTCGTTGATTTCTCCACTGCCCGATTGCACGATGTACACATCTTCGCCACGCACCGACTCGCCTATCTCCACGCTGAAAGAAAACGCATGCAAAAATGCAATGCAGTTTAATTGTTTTCACACGCCTAATAATACCAAAATGTAATCAATGAATCCTCATATCGAACAAACAAGTTCCGACCGTGTCATGACATCGTCTGACACCGGCAAGTACGCACTTGATGAAAAAACGCTCGAAATCAGATATCACTACTCGCACACGCTTTTGTTTTTCGAAAAGAAAAACAACTTATAAACGTGCGTGTGCGAGCAGGTATTGTACGTAGCATGCATGCTACATACGTAAATTAAAACGGTTAGGGTAAACTCACCATGTTTCGAGATTACTGAATTTCTTGGTAACAACTTTACCAAGATCGATGCCCAGGCGGTCTACGATCCGCTGCGCGAGATCGGGGTGCGAGGTACCGCTGAAGACTTTGATGTTGGGCATTCTGCTGTGCAATATCACACTAGGCTTCTCGATATTCGCCCGCACTAAACTTCTAGCACGCACGGGCTGCGATAAGATGGGCATCGCTGTGAAAACAAGCCGACCAATCAGAAAGCGCGCAGCACCAACATGCGCACGCGACGACGTCAAATCGGTCAAATTATTTCAAAACCGAGAGATAACATGGATAACAAGCGCTCGGTTGAGGCGATGCAGATGAGTGTCCGGGTTGTTTTACTGGCGCAATACTTACCGACAAGCGATCAGATTATAAATGCGAACGTGCAAAGAAAGATGCAAACTCAAAGCGATTGCCGGCAGGCGGAATCAAGCGCAACGTGCAAGAACTGCATGCGGCCGTTGTAGAAGTGAGCAAAATCGGCCAATGTCGGTTTATGCTCGGATGATATTCGGAAATAAATTATTCCGAGTGTTTAAATGCAATAGAAATTAGGTAAGAAAGCATCAGTGGCAAGTAGCGCAAAATATTTTTTAAACAATGTAAAAATCATATGAAGTAGTAAAATATGGTGCCACTGTAGTATATATTTTTTATTAAAATAAAAAAGTTTACAATTTTAATCAGATGTTATTTGTATGTTGTGTATTAGTATTTTTGCAATTAAAGGAAGAAAGAAAATGAGTTAAATTAGTTTTGAGTTTTCGTCTACGCACTACCTACGACAACAAACACGCAAGGAAAGCAGGTAAATGACGGAAACAGCGTTTGGTTGAAAGTTGGCAACAGTGAAGTGAGAAGTGAAAAAGTGACACATGTCAGCCAAGTTCACTTTAAATTACAAAGTGCGAAAGTCTCGAAAAAATACTATCCACACATCTCGCATGTGCTATTTTGAAAAAGTAGCGATCGCCAAGCATCAATCCGCCCTGGCCGTTTGTGCGTAAATGAACATCGATTAGCAATTAGTTGGTTAGTTTGGTGGGAGCAGCAACGTGAACGCAGGCCGAGAAGGTATTTTCATCGCATCGCGTCGCCGAAATGTCCAACATCGCCGCACAACGAATCAAACGCGAATTCAAAGAGGTTATCAAAAGCGAAGAGGTAAGCAAACAGCGCAGCGACCCGTCCGTTTGGAAAAATCGTTCGCAGGTGTCACGGCCGACGGCGCCTAAAAATAGTCCTCACGGTCTCACTAGAGTCGCCCCGGAGCATGAACTCTCGCGAGGCCACGGCGTTCGTGGAAAACAACCTTTCTCACAATGACTGCACTCAATACGCAAAACGACACTCAATTGTTCTTGTTGTGCTTACCCTTGGGCTCCCCTTCACACATTCTGTTGGTCGGGTACACTTATCGCTGGAAGGGCAATGCGTTGGGGACGAGACCTGGTGCTCCGGGCACGCGAGTGACGAAACGGATTCGCTCGCGAGCTCGCCCGGGATGCGATCGAAATTCAACACAAACAGCCCAGCAAGCGGCCGGAAGGTTATCACTTGTCACTTAACCTCTGATGATAGTGGTGTTTTTAGGTTGCCAGATGCGCCATACGAGTGGAATTGATCAACGACAACTACACGGAGCTGAAGGGCGAGATCGACGGTCCGCCCGACACCCCCTACGAAGGCGGCAAGTTTGTGCTGGAAATTAAAGTACCTGAAACATATCCATTTAACCCACCAAAAGTTAGATTTATGACCAAAATATGGCATCCAAACATTTCTTCAGTTACTGGTGCAATTTGTTTAGACATTTTGAAAGACCAATGGTATGTGGTGCAGTTAATTTTGTAGACATGAAGACTAACAGTCATATTTATCTTTTTAAAGGGCGGCAGCAATGACATTAAGAACAGTCCTTTTATCGCTTCAAGCGCTGCTGGCAGCGGCGGAGCCGGATGATCCCCAGGACGCGGTGGTGGCTAAACAATTCAAAGAGAACAGCGAAATGTTCCTGATGACCGCCCGCCATTGGACAAACGTGTACGCCGGAGGCCCTAACGTCAATCCCGACTGCGACGACAAAATTAGACGGTTGCAAGATATGGGAGTGGACGACCACCAGGCGCGCGTAGCGCTTTCCTCTTACAATTGGGATCTGGAGCGTGCCACTGAGCAGTTGTTTAGTTAGTAGCCCAACATCTCGGTCCTCTCCGTGAGAATCCCCTCAACCCATCATCACACTAACAGACAGATGCATACACGAAACCATGACCATTTTAGCGAAAAATAAATACTGAACATGCGATTGTTTTACACATGGGCGTTGAGTTTCGGCGCACAGTTTTCCACTTCTCCGCATTGGATTCAAGTTTTTTTTAATAATGTTGCCTTTATTTTTGTACATGTTGTTCGAAATACAATAAGCCAATTGAAAAAAAGGCGCGCATCTTAGACATGGTCTTCTTTATATCTCTGTTTATAAAAGACAAAAATATACTCGTCGCGCAGCAGGCAGCTTGTATTAAAAATTGTAAATATAGTGTAATTACAGACAGGAGAGAAGTAGCGACCACCTTAATTTTCGCAAACATTTGCATTACAATAATGCGTAAGTAGTGCCGTAGGTAGAACCATTTTTTCTTTGTTGAACCAACCGAACGATAATAAGAAAGCAATGTTATCAATGTTTTAAAATCTAATGTTGAATAGATTGATCAATTCACGGAATTTTGAGCTTCGAATTTTCTTGTGTATTTAATTACTATTCTCCTTTGGGATTGACTCGAACTTGGAATGTACGACGAATTGGCGTAAGTCACTCACAGCTTTGCATTTTGCAAATATGTCACAAATCTACTGAAACTTTGCCGATTACTGAATCACGTCTAAGAAATTAATAAAGAATTGTATCACATGTTGTTATTTGTACTACCTTTCATTTTATAAATGAAAGTGTTTCTAAAAACAATTCAATAAAGGAAAAAGGATCACTCCAGAGAAAAATAATTTTCAAAATATGAAATCGTATACTATTTATGATATTTGAGTGATATTTGACAACCCAGCACGCACGACGCCATCTTGTTTCGTTTTAAATTTCAATGTATGATGTATTATGATTAGCCAGTCAAAAATAAGTTTTTAATTCTCACGTACCAGGGGATATACCACTTCTACTCCACTTCTGATTTTGTAAAGATATTTAATCATAAAAATAGTTAAAATATTTACAATATAAGTAAGTGTAGATGTGTTTAGAGGTAGCCGTGTTTGGTTCAATTATTTGAATCCTAGTTGGAATTGGGTAACAACTGTCTTAAACGTAGCAATTGTGTGGCAATGTATAAAACTAAGAACTATCTTACCAAATCACAAGTCAGTGAGTTTAAAAACATTCAACTTTTTCTCAGTCAGCGCAAGCAAGTGCGTCCCATTGGGATTCTTCAAAGGCAACAAATCAATTATGGCGCTATCGGTCCGACCAGCAGTCACCGGGAACCCAGTTTGACAATTCCACAATTGGACGGTGGAATCTTTGGGAGTTGCTACATAAGTGCATTCGTCTTTCCGCACAAAACACGACCGGGCCAACTGCTTCTGCATCCTACCGCTAGAGAATGTGTGAATACGATTGCAATTCAAGGAACTTGTGTCTCTACTCAAATTGCAAACGATAAAACGCGCGGATGTCTCACGCACGTTCGGTCGAGCTGAGACAAGGAGATGCTTATCCTCTTCGTGATATGCCATTGAAACAAAAGGTCCTTCAATGGGTAAAAGAGTCTGTTTAACAGTACCGTTACAGTTTTCAAATGCGAAAAGCGAGTTGAGCTTGCAGGCTATAAAACCACCTTGAGGCATGGCGCTTGCAGCACATGATGGAATAGATACTATGGAGACCACTGGAGACATATCGCCTACGACCTCATGTGTAGAGATTGGTGAATCGGAGATATACCGAGAGTCGTAAACTTTTACGCTGCCTTGTTGGCCACCGATGTAGAATATGTTGGAATTAGCTAAAGAGAAAAATTATCAAAACTTATCCCTAACATGTTTAAAAAATACCGATAAACTTACTAGAATCCCAACAGCATGACCACAGCATATCATTACAACTCTGCTTTATATTCGTCTCATTACTGTAAATATTAGCAATGCTAAAATGTTTATCTAATGAAACACTCAATAATCGAGCATTCATTTGATTAAATCTCAAATCTCTTATAGCTTTGGTGTGCAGTGGAGTATAACTGAATGAAGCAAACGTTTCAGAGTTAAATTGCTTCACTCCATAGCCCGGAAATAAATTATTTCCGGACTTCAGAGATGCAATAATAGATGTTTTACTTAGTAAACAATCCATAACTCTGCAGGAAGCTTGAGGACACACCACAAAACTATTAAAATATTTTAAATTAAAACCTTTCTCACTTGGTTTTATCTCCTCTGGCACTGTTGGCATAGTTTTTAACTGCTCAATCTGGAATTTGTACTTTTCGATCTCTGCATTCATCAATGCTAATTTACAGAGGACACTTGTGAGTTCAATTTGAAGATTATTGTTTTCAGTTTTAGCTCCATCTAACTCCTTCTGCAGTCTTGTCAGCTCTCCTGTATCCATTGCAATTAATTTGTTAGCATAAATAAACCTAATATCTTTCTTAGTTGCTTTTGTTTTGCAAGTGGGACAGACTTTGTTTTCCCCCATCCAACGAAGGATACATTTGTGCCCAAACAAATGCCCACATTTTAGAGCTGAGATTCTATGATCACCTGTCTGATCCCACACTTCATAACATATCACACACAAAGACCCTTCCTCATCTATTGTCTCATCTAACTTAGGTTTTTTACTAGGTCTTTCATCTTGATCTTCTGCTTCTGTTTCATTCTCTTCATTGTCATCTACAGAAATTGCTACAGAAGCAGTGTTTTGACTTGATGATGCCTCTGTAGATTCTGCTTGCAGATTCTCTGATTCATTATCTTGCTCAACTGTTACTGTTGAGCCCTGAGAGTATGTTATTTCTTCTTGGAATTGTTCTGAATTTGAATCACTTATAGTTATATTTTCTGATGTTGAATCCATTGAAGATTTAATGGAATTTTACTGCATTATTGAATGGATTGATGACTTAATTTATGGAAATTACTGCTATGTACGATAATGCTCACAATAAGGGCACACGACTAACCGAAATCACAACACAAAAGAAGTTTTCGTGATATTTGATAACTGATAATAACCTAAAATGTCAAGGCTTTATTTTCATTTTCAAACATGGCAATACGACAAACATGCGCATTCGCACTGTTTGCGTTGCGGAAAGTTGCGCATAATGCGGGTTTAATTTTCCTTAATTTGCATAATTATTTACTTAGTTATAAGATTTAGAAACTAAAATCAGTAACATTTATTGTCTTAACTATTTTATGGTGGTCATGTATTATGATGATTAATTAAACATGACTTTAATTCCACTTACTTATTTGACATAATCAAATTATTTATACTAAAATAATGAACTGGCACAAATTTTATTTTGATTTACAAATTAAAAGTTAATATTGCGATGCTTACGATGTAGTAAAATGAATGCATCCCAGCAAGCTATGGAAAAACACCAAGGAAACCGTGGAAAGCATACAATCAGTTATTTGTATTCCATTCAGTTGATTAATGATTACTAGGCGAGGTTTGCGAGTGGGGACTCTGTGAAAATAAGTTTAGAGGGGTTTAGCCGGTTTATCGTCCACGTACATAAGCATTGTCTCCGATCACACTGGCCTCACTGCTCTTCTCTACTCCCATTTGTCGCCCCGTTTCATTCAGAGTATTTTCGTTGTTACAGTCAGCTGTAATCATGACTAGTGTGCCGCCTACATTGGAAAAAGTGTTCAAGTAAGTTACTATTCGCTACTCTTTTAAATAACAAATCTCGCTAACATTCTTATGTATAGGCACATTGATGCTAACAAAGCAAGTTACATTCAAAATCTTAAGGATGCCGTCGCAATCCAATCGGTTTCGGCTTCGCCTGAAAAGCGAGGCGATATCACCACGATGGTGAAATACGTCGTAGCCAAGTTAGAAAAACTAGGCGTCAGCACAACTTTGCGAGATGTCGGTACACAAACTTTGTTTGATGGCAGGCAGATCCCATTGCCACCAGTTTTGCTTGGTCAGTTGGGAAATGATCCTAACAAAAAGACAGTCCTGATTTACGGACATTTGGATGTGCAGCCAGCTTTGAAAGAAGATGGTTGGGCCACTGACCCCTTTGTATTAACTGAGAAAGATGGCAAGATGTACGGACGCGGTGCCAGTGATGATAAGGGGCCAGTTCTTTGCTGGATTCATGCTTTGGAAGCTTATCAACAGACCAACACTGAGATTCCAGTGAATCTCAAATTCGTTTTTGAAGGAATGGAGGAGAGTGGCAGTGAAGGTTTGGATGATTTGCTTTTGCTGAGAAGGACAAGTTCTTGGCTGGTACTGATTATGTCTGCATTTCTGACAACTACTGGTTGGGCACTGATCATCCTTGCATTACTTATGGCCTCAGAGGCATCTGCTATTTCACTATTGAGTTGGGAGGTGCTGCCAAAGATCTGCATAGTGGTGTATTTGGTGGTACTGTGTAAGTGATTCAGATATTTTATTTGTACTTTAATCTATAACCACATGATCTGTGTTTAGTCATGAAGCTATGGCTGATTTGGTCTATCTATTCAACACTTTGGTTGACAAAGATGGCAAAATCCTTATTGACAACATCTATAAAGAAGTAGCTGTTCTGACCCCAGAAGAGCGCAAATTGTACGAGAAAGTTCACTTCGATGTGCCCGCCTATCGCTCAAGCATCGGCACCTCCAGACTGCCACATAAGGAGAATAAAGTAGAACTACTCATGCACCGCTGGAGGCAGCCATCGTTGTCGATTCATGGTGTAGAAGGTGCATTTTATGAACCGGGACAGAAAACTGTCATTCCTGGTAACGTAATTGGAAAATTCTCAATTCGCATTGTACCAAACCAGAAGCCTGAACAAATTGCCAAATACGTAGTCGCGCATTTAGAGAAGAAATGGGCCGAAAGAGGTTCTCCTAATACAATGAAGGTAATGAACTTGTTTTTATTTTAACTACATTTGGCCAATAGTTATGTTTGTCGAATTATTGCGGTAATTGCTGCTATCTTATCTATGTCACGAGTTGTTCGTGAACAAAACAATCTCCGGAAATGCGTTCTCCGCTTTTGGGTCCTAACTTCGTAAATAATATTTCGTGTAATTAAAAGAGTTTTTTCTATTTGCACTTTCATTAATCGAAATTTCATAAATGAACTTTGATGCTTCGATTGTTCTACATACGTTGTTGACATTTAAAGGATCACTTTTCATATCTACTACAATCTGTATTCCAAAGTAAACCTTTGTGTGGAGGAGTGTCTGATAATCGTGTTGATTATTTATAGAACACTCAAAAAGTTCAGTTGCTACGGACTAAAGTAAATACATTTACTCTTGCTCAATTTTTATTTGGTTTTGTTTTGTCTGGGTTTAGCAAACCGGTTGAATGCACGGCTATTTTTTTATTTTAACTAAATATGTAATTTATTTAGATTATCAATTTAATTATTTGTAATCGATTAGGCTCAAATGGTTCATGGAGGGAAACCATGGACAGAGGACCCGAATCATCCCCACTACGTAGCAGCGCAGAAGGCCACCAAATATGTCTACAAAGTAGATCCGGATTTAATTCGCGAAGGTGGTTCCATTCCCGTCACGCTAACTTTCCAGGAGGCTACCGGAAAGAACGTTTTGTTGTTGCCAATTGGTTGCGGTGACGACGGCGCGCATTCACAAAACGAAAAACTGGACGTTAGGAATTATATCGAAGGAGTAAGTTCGATTAACACAATTATTGTTAGAAAATTAAACTAATTCTTACATTATTTCCAGACCAAACTGTTGGGGGCGTATTTATATGAAGTTGCACAACTGGACAAGCAATAAATTTGTCTGGATTAAAATTTCGACTATTTTGATTACAATAAATTGCATTGTTTTTTTATATTATGCTAATTTAATTACTTGTATTTCAATCCTAACTAACATTGCATCACCTTGCAATAAAAATAGTAGCGCTATGTTTATTTATGTGTCTGTGAAATAAGTTTTGCAAATCGCGAATTTGGAGATTTTATTATCTCCTTGTTAATAACAATAACTTTACATTTAAAAGTTAAATGTTTAAAATTCATACAAAATTTTATGGATGCTCATTGATTTATTATTCAAAATGTCAAATGGAAATGATAGCATTGTGAAAAACGACAGTCCTTAGATATAGCTATTCAGGAAACGATCTTGATGACATAGACCCAGTCGGTAGTCACCGTTGCCTTGTTCGGGAACTCAACAACCACTACTTTCTCATCAGTGGTCCACTCTAATTTCACATTGAGTTTGTCCGGATGACCTAGTAGCTGAACGGTGCCAATACTCTCGAATATGCTCACAAGATTAGCAAGCTTAAGACGGTTGTCAGCCGGCCATTCCAAAGTATGCGCATAGATAACATTAGCACGAGCTGTGTACCATGTATTGCTGGCCGTATCATTCTGATGAGCCCATGGCCTAGTTGCATAAATAGCTTCGCCGTTTACCGATAGCCATGTGCCAATATCCAAGAGTCTTTCCTGATAAATCAATTCAATTGTGCCTTCCTTTGTAGGACCGACATTAATAAGAATGTTACCACCGCATGAAACAGTCTCAATCATTGTCTTTAGAAGCTCGTGAGTGGTCAAGTAGTCGTTGAGTTCAGCGTTCCTTCTGAATCCCCAGGATTTGCGGTCAATTGTCATGGCGTTTTCCCACTTGTGCCTTTGAAGAACACCTAAACAATTTTATGAAAACACGAATTACATAAACCGAATTGCAATTGCTCACCAGGGTTGAATCTATCTTGGCAAGTGAAGAAGTCGCCATGCTGGCAAGTGATGTTAATACCCCAACGATCATTAACAACAATCTTGTCTTTTACCGGAGAGTAGTTGTACAACCAAGCGAGGAACTTTCTAGACTCCCAATAATCCTCACTGGCTTCCCAGTCTCCATCAGACCACAAGATGTGCGGTTTGTATGTCTCAATCAATTCTGTCATTTCAGGCAGAACCTTTCTTACAACGTAGTTGTCTTTCATGAATTTGTTCGCTTTATCATCAAGATACATTGGGTTGAACCATTCGTAAAGCGAATGGTACAATCCAAAAGTCAAGTTTTCTGCTTTTACCGCAGCAGAGAGTTCGCCAACAATATCACGATGAGGTCCAACATCAACGCTGTTCCACGAGTAAGAATATTTAGAAGGCCATAAAGTGTAACCTTCATGATGCTTGGAAGTTAAAACAACGTATTGAGCCCCGGCCTTTTTAAACAATTCAGCCCAAGCTTTAGGATCGAAGAATTCACCAGTCAAATCCTTTCCAAACTCTTGGTAAGAGAAGGAACTAGGATATCTTTCCATAAATTCGTTATATTCACTCAGATTACGAACTATTAGTAATAAACATTTGAATACAATAAATACTTCTCGTGTAAAATTATATTGTTTATATCGTACCTTTCCAACTATGCCAAAACCACTCAGATCCAAAACTCGGGACAGAAAATACACCCCAATGAATAAAAATACCAATCTTAGCGTCATCGTACCATACAGGAATCGGTCGACTGTCCAAACTATCCCATGTAGGTTCGTATTTTTTGCTTGAAGGCACAGTTAATGTCTTTTGGCATAACACAACGCCAAAGAGCGTACAAAGTATGATGTGTCGTATCATTGTCATGCTAAAAGATACAAACACATCTATCACTTGCTGCTTTTATACTGACTGAGTATGACGAATGAGTAGTTAGAGCTCGTTACCAATTGTAAACACTCAACTTCATATGCATTATCGTATTATAATGAATTATTGACCTTAGAGCATGTAAACAATCTTGTTATAAAAGTCGGTTATCGGTTAGAAAAGTGATTTAATTAAATAATGTTATTCTATTCATAGATATTTGATATGAGATTAATATTTGAGTGGTCAATACTTTCGATATAACAAATCTGAGGTATTTTGAAAAAGTAATTGTTTATTAAGCATTATATTAAAATAAACTTACTATTTTTTGGACGCTACCGCATCCACTTGTTAATTACTGTGGATTTGTTTTTACTGTTAGAAGTGCAGCTCGAGACTATGCACTTGCTGTACAGGTCGAATCCTTTTATAGTACATTGGTGAATCATTTGTATCTCTAATTTGTCATTTAATTGTTGATATTTTTTGTTTATATTCCAATATTCATTTGTGAGGAATTTAAAAATATTTAACCAATTGGTGCGGAGTAATTGACTTAAGAATTTAGTTTATAGTTTAAACTTAAAAACAACTCGTTCCAAATATCTAGTGTTTGCAGTAGGTAACTTGTATGTATATGTATCAACAATTCTAATGTTTATTAATGTAGCCAATCAAAAGAGCAAATTAGAAAAGTGTAGAAATTATATTTGTATCAACTGAATCATGTGAGATGAAGAAGCAAGTAGCATTAAACTAATTTACGTGATTTCTTATTGTTGAGAAAGAAGTAAAAAAACAAATTCCAGTAATGTCATGAAATCCAGTGATACCAATACATATGAGTATATATATGTACTCATATCGATAGTTTAATATACAATATTTGTATATTTGCACATGTCGTTTCGGGCGGCCAGATACCGAGCACAGAAGAAGAAAACCAGCAAAAACCACAAAGAAAGAGCACACGTAAAATTTGATGTTTACAATCTTTGTAGCAACCAACGATTTGTTTAAGACACCTTAATTGAAGTCATTCCATTACTCTGCGACGGTTTAAATCAGGCGCTAGATATTACCATAATGTACCTATAAACTAATTGACTGCATAGTCATGGCGAAAGCGCAATGTGTTTCAGATAGGGGGCCTGGACATCCCCTATGCGCAATATATACCAGCAACTATTCCATGTTAACCAACTCCAAGAAGAGAAAAGAGCAAAACCTAGAGGCATTCGACTAGACTACTAGACGACTCAGGCACGACTGAGCACGTTGCACGCTATATGCGGCCCTTTTATACCTGCGGACCACCCGCAAAAGATGGTGGGGACTGGTTGATGGTTAACCGATGCTGAAAAGTACCAACTGCACGTATCTATGTATTCCAGAGATATTCCAAAGAGAGAGGAGGGGGAAAGCAACAAAAATCAGATAAACAGCCCCAAAACTCTTAGCAAAGGGGTACCTAGTTTAAAGTGTAAGGTACAATTTCGTACGGTTTGTTTTTTTTTAGGTTTTACACAAATCCCCTGCATATTTTTTCATCTAAGGGTGAGTAATTACTAAATAAATATGCACCAACAATATTTCAATAACGTGGCGGAATAAAAACACATGACAATAAATGAATGCTCATGAATTTAATATTATAAGACAACTAGGTTCATAATCATTGTGAACTGGCAATAGTTTTCAATTGCAGCTCTTTATGTAACGATTTTGATGACATAGACCCAGTCAGTTGCGACAACGGCTTTGTTCGGGAATTCAACAACCAGCACCTTCTCATCTGAGGTCCATTCCAACTTAACATTCAACTTTTGTTTCTGACCCAGAAGCTGAATGGTACTGATACTTTCAAAGATGCTCACAGGAGCAGCAATCCTAAGATGGTTGTTTGTCGGCCATTTCAAAGTAAGCGCATAGATGACGTTAGCACGGGTGGTGTACCAAGTGTTGCTAGCAGTATCATTCTGATGAGCCCATGGTCTGGTGCCATAGATAGCCTCTCCATTGACGCTCAACCATTTACCTAAATCAAACAAGCGCTCCTGGTAAATGTGATTAATTGTACCATCCTTTGAGGGTCCAATGTTGATAAGAATATTGCCACCACAGGAAACAGTTTCAACCATGGTCGATATAAGTTCATGAGTCGTGAGGTAATCTTCAAGTTTAGCGTTTCTGCGGTAGCCAAACGATTTGCGGTCAATGGTCATCGCGTTCTCCCACTTGTGTCTTTGAAGAACACCTAAACAATTTTATGAGAATACGAATTACCTAAACGAGAATACAATTGCTCACCAGGGTTGAACCTATCTTGGCAAGTGAAGAAATCGCCGTGTTGGCACGTGATGTTAATACCCCAACGATCATTAACCACAACTTTGTCTTTCACTGGTGAGTCATTGTACAACCATGCGAGGAACTTTCTAGATTCCCAATAGTCCTCACTGGCTTCCCAGTCTCCGTCCGACCACAAGATGTACGGCTGGTACGTTTCAACCAATTCAGTCAATTCAGGCAGTACCTTTCTTACAACATAATTGTCCTTTGCGAATTTGCTAGCTTTGTCATCAAGATACATCGGGTTGAACCATTCGTAGAGCGAGTGATACAATCCAAATGTAATGTTTTCAGCTTTTACAGCAGCAGAGAGTTCGCCAACAATATCACGATGAGGACCGACATCAACGCTGTTCCATGAGTAAGAATACTTTGATGGCCATAGAGTGTAACCATCGTGATGCTTTGAAGTTAAAATTACATATTGCGCGCCGGCTGATTTAAAAAGTTCTGCCCAGGATTTGGGATCAAAGAATTCAGCGCTAAAATCGCCAGCAAACTCCTGATAAGAGGACGTAGCCCTATATCTCTCCATGAACTGAGTGTATTCCGTCATGTTACGGACTGTGGGCGATAATACTTATAAATATTTCATTTATATATTTCTATTAATGTCTCACCTTTCCAACTATGCCAGAACCACTCCGAACCAAAACTCGGAACCGAAAACACACCCCAATGAACAAAAATTCCTATTTTCGCGTCATCGTACCAGACCGGCATTGGTCGAGTGTCCAAGCTATCCCATGTAGGTTCGTATTTCTTGCTTGAGGGAACTGACATAATCTTTTGGCAAAGGACCACCGTGATCAATGTACTGAGTATGTACGACCGTAACAATCCCATTCTACAAGTTTTTTTTTTTTGTATTATGAAATGTGTATTATTGGAAAAATTCTAATATTTAAAATTTTAATTACAATTCAAAAGACAACTTACTTGTCGCATCCACTTGTTCAAATTAAATGTGATTTTACTACTAGAAGATCTAGCAGAAGACTATGCTAACCTTCGTGGACTTGCTGCCTTTTATACCCCAATTGTGATTCATTTGTATCAATTATTTACCATTTAATTGTTGATGTTATTTTTCAATTTTGATATCAAAGTTTAGGTAAATGCAAAACAATTAGTCAAATGTGACAAACATTAAGCGTGTGTTGAGAGTTATAAATTCAACATTCTTTTGATAGTGATTCACAGTTAAGTAAGAAACAAGTATAGTTTCAGATTTGATACAGAAATCTTCTCTTCTGCACAAAATAAAACTTATGAAATTAAAAAATACAAAGAGATTTTTGGTATAATTGATCGATATGAAGTATCGATTATGACTACTTGTCATTAAACAAGAACACTCATATTTTACTAATTTTCCCCTCCCCCTCCAGTGCCGCTTGTATTCAGAGTGACAGTAATTGGAGATACATCCCCTACCACTTTTTACCGATAGATCCAAGGTATAAAAAGGCAGTGCGCTCTGCGCTCAATCGTGCCTGACTTCCCTAACAGTCTAATCAGAGCTTTTCTGTTCCTCTCTCTTCCTCAGCTAAATTTGTGTCGCGCATATTAGCAACACTGAGCCTTTTATTTAAGGTTTTCGAAGGTTCTTTCATCAGTGCACCCGGAAAATCCTAGTTTTAACCGCGGAAGCAAAGTTTACCAATTTAAAGAATTATTTCAATTCTTCAAACAATTGCACGTGTGCATGCGTATATAAATACAAGACATCCAGTTTGGTGTCAGGTGTACTCACTACTTGAAGACAGCCGGCGTTTCTAGCAGTGGATCTTTCGCACATAGTTCTAGCCAAAGTGGTTGAATATCTCGAAGTGGAATATCACTCCCATAACACGCACAAGCAAAAGACGAATTACACATAGGTTCTTTCGTTTTTTAAATCGCGACGCGCACTCGATTTCGTCGGAACTTTATTGAAAGAATTCTATTGCACATTTTCCTTAAAAGATGAAAAGCGTCATGGCATGAGCCTGCTGCGAAAATTAATGAAGATAATGTCGTCGCGTCCCGAACTCAATTAGTATTTCGTGTCACTTCTCTAAGTAAACCGTAATCACATATTAAAAATGATAAAAAGATCTAGAATATTAAAAGAACCGTCAACTAACGCGCCCGAAATATAAAAATTCACCTGTAACAAAAGCAGAAAGAACAATCAGTAGGAGCAAATGCAAATGTGATTGTTTTTATAAATAGTTCGTGTTAATGCGCACGCCATTTCCTTTCGTAATAATTTGTGCTGCGAGTTATGTTGGCACACAATGAAACTTACTACTAAACTTGTGGATTAAAAATATCGCGTTATTGTACTGCAAAAATTCGAATTCCAACGCAGGTAGAAAGAATAAAGTAAACAAACAACTGATAAGCCGATTGTGCGAAGAGATGCGCGCGCGTTTACTTGCGATTACTCGGGACAAACGCGTTAAAAATGGCGCGATCTAGAAGAGCGTAGAAGAGAAGTACTCAATTACGCATAAGTAAATACAATATACCAAAATCAAATAAGGAATTATTGTAGTACTTGATTTTCACTATAGAATAAACTAATTTTGTCGCGCGGAGTAACAAGATTGGCTTTGGTATTCAATGATAAACAAATCCTAACCCGACAAAACACACAAACGAAGTATATCATGCAAATGTTCTTTTATTTTACATTTTATTCATTTTTATTGTAATTAAGTGGTAGAAATACGTGTTACTTACTTCTAATCACGATGTATAATGATTTCGAACTTGTGAACGCACATTTTCACGATTTTTCGCGATTTTCGACAAATTGTTGAAGAGCTGCAGCTGTACTGGGAGAATCGGATCGACTGATATTAGATATACACCTGAGCGCCACCACAAGTGAAACAAGTGGTGTGGGGTGTTTTGACTTCGCTAACAAAATAATAGTTTAAGTATTCGCCGCATTTACAACTAAACATTTAATTCATCTTTCAAAATGAAAGTTCGCGCAATCATGTTTCACTAACCACTCAAGCAGAATTTCTTTAAGAAAATCACGTAGATCATCGTTAAATATTTATATATTTTTGTAAATATCATATTTTATATGTAATTTGTTAATAATACTTTTATATTTTAAATAAAATCAGAGTTCTAACGCAAAAATATTATACAACACATCACAGAACGGAGGAAACGTTTGATGTGCAAACGTCCTCGTGGTATGCAATTTCCATTGCAATAACATCCACACTTCATTCAACATCGGCAGTTACCGAGCATAGATAAAATCAATAAGCAGTGTTTGCATCTCTGATTTAAGCAATCTTAACTAACATTTGATAAAAATAAAGTTTAAAATTATTATTTACAAAATAATACAAGCGAGTTAACACGTTCGCTAACTTGTTGGAATTCCACTATAAACACGAAAAAAGGCCAGTTTCAATAAAAATTGCACTTTGAGAGAAACTAAGGCAGTTGAACGTTAAGAAGATCGAGCCATTGTACGTCGTCGTCGAAGCGCTCGACGCGCACTTTCTGTCTGTAGTGGTACTCTTTTAGATAGCTCTTGAGCGTCTTGGGCAACTGCAACTTGTTCACGTTGTCATATGTCATGCTATTCGTGATGACTGCTCGACACAGATGTTGCAGCGAAAATACCGTTTTTCTATGCAGTGGCCATGTCAACATCGGCTCAAAAAACATGCAACTACTAGGATCTTTATAGTGCTCGATAAGACCGCAGACAGTGTCAGATGTATAAACTCCAGGGTCATGCGAATCGAAACTGAACATGTGATTCCACTGCTCAATTCGCGCATGCAGTGATCGGCCGTACTTTCTGAAGGAGACACTGAATAGAAATTCTTCTTGAGCGGAATCTCGTAGTAAAAATGTTCCCTCCGGTTTACCATCCAGAAGACGTTCTGCTTCATAACGATCCATTTTTCCCCAGTAAAAACTGCAGTTTGTGATACTCAGCAAATCGGGGACGAGGCAGTGAATGAAATCTACTTGTGTATGACAACCAGGTGCAACATCAAGTGGACAAGAACGTAACATAACGTGATTCTGGAACAACGCCCGAAGGGAATCAACAGAGAGATCGGAGGGGCAAACGAGCTGAAGACGTCGTGGAGTGACACCTTCCTCGGTAGATTCCATATCTGAACAGAGCAGTTGCACGCGCCGCGTAGAACGGAAGTTGGCTGGTGGATCAACACCCTGTTCCATTTCCTTAGCACGTTGCCGGCGAGCGGCTTCATCACAGTCTTCGTGATTGGTTCGCATCCTAGTAAATAGGAAGTAAAAAATAGTTATGATTTAAAAATACGTTAAGAAAAAATAATTCTTACCAATTAACATCTATTGGAATTTGCATAGGTCCTACTAAAATCGGCGCCCTATTGTGCCCATAAATACTATTTGCGTTGACAGGTACTTCGCGTATGATAGGCTGTATATCCTGTTGTGGAGGTGATTCCTCATTACCATAGTCTTCAATAATCCATCGCCGTCCACCTGCTTCTACATCATCGCTCTCATTAGATACATTTGAAACTTTTGCAGTTTTATCTTCACTATCAAAGACAACACCAGCGCCTAAATGATGCTCCTCTGTGCGTCTATAACACATACATCTGCAGCAACTTGGTGCATCAGGCGCCGTGGCTACGTTCTTCGCTTCACGCTCACGCTCTCTTTCACGGTCACGTTTAGTGCAACTAAACTTCAAAGGCCATTTTGGTGATTTCTTAAGCATACCGCCGCCACTGCCCGAAGTTGTCGGCGTCGTCGATGATGTACCTGATTCTGACGCCGATGGTGTCGACGAAGTAGTACCATTCGCGCAATGTGTGGTTTTCTTCGTTCGCTTTGTTTTAAACTGAAGCGATCGTCCTCGCCGCAGATTGAAACCTAGCGACGTGAGCGACAACTTCTTCTTTTCTTTGCCTTCCTTCGCACCGTTGCAACAGTTATTGCCCGATGCTGGCGATTCGGTCAGGCTACAATCGCTCTCAATCGTATCGCATGTACATTTGCCAGCAGTTCCTGCTGCCGCGTCGCCGCCGGACGAAGGCGATGGTAAAGAATCCATATCGGTGTTATTCGAACGGCGATGTAACCAAATCAACTGGAAATACCAAACAAAATACTTAAATTACTGATATCGACACAATATTGTAATAAACAAGACACGAATAAAATCAAAACAACTTTTCGACTCTGCACCGTTGTGTGTGGGAACAAAATAATTTCTAAGTATTATTTAATGCACGTTTTTAGGAATGATTTCAAAATGTATAAATATAATTACTTAGAAATGGCAATGAAATATAAAACAATGTTGAAATAAAAAAAATATATAAACCACTCATTGACCTTGCCTTTCAACACCGACAAAGAGAATTCAATAAAATATTACATTACGAACGCCAAACTTCTTATTTTAAAATGTAATTACCATTATTGTTAGCAAACATAAATTTATCAACTTTCTATTGCTCTGTAAACAATAGAATCAATTAGTCGCCTATCTTACATTCAGTATTTATCACGCTCAGTGGGCAAACTAAATGAAACGACGAATCGAAACAGTGACAGCACCAACGAACCAACACATGAATAAACCACTCGCGACGGAACGAACAAGTTTTAACTTGCAAAGCACTCGCATGCAAGCGCATTAACCACAAGTGAAGCAATTTCCTTGCGTCGCAGCTATACGAATAACACTTACGCACTTATGACTTCTGTACGCTTACGATGTCCGTCTTAACTTGTTAAATCGCCGAACGAGATTAATTTAACAATAACCAACTGCGCTCGGAGGCAGAGTTTATTGTGTACTTACAATGTCCGCCGGCGTGTGTATCAGCAGTCTCGGGTTTGGGAAAGTTGAACGCCGTATTGCGGGCGGACGATTAATGAATGACTCACGATTGCCACTGGCGAGGAATATCGCGGACCTTCGCGTGAACTATCGGCCGTAACCGCACGCCGCGAAGCAAACATGTGCATCCATCGCTACCATTGGCGTGTTTCGGATATCGTTTGTTTTTGTTTACTCGTGTTTCTCACACCACAGCAGAGCCCGTTTTGATGCCAGATCAAAGCCGCCGGCGTGCTGCTAATCTGTGCCAGCCACGAGAAAGGAAGCGCACGATGTGATCGACGTTTTCGAACAGCTTTCGATAACGCACTGCGACACTGTGTGTGCTCGCTCGAACTGAATCGAATCGTCGTATCGGCAAACCATTCAATGAAATCTATTCATGGTGCCACTGCTTACGTAGTAAATAAAAGCGTAAAGCAAATTCCAGTGACGGTGGAAAATGCAAACAATTTTTCATTCAACAACTGTTGGCTGCGATTCGTTTGCTCGCTATTCAAATGCGCACTCGTGTGTATGACATTTCATTTATATAATACGTCTCAGAATACAAGATGTGCAGTGTATTTCAATGAATTTCAATAGCGGAAATGCAAGCGAACAAATCGTCTTGTCAATGAACTGCATTTACCTTTTTAACCGGCGGCCGTGCACACGCCCATTCCCACCCATCCCGATCGCTTCATTCAAACATTGAAACGTTTTTTTTTTTTTTCGTTCCGAGAAGCGAAGATTTACAAGGTAAACTCAGGTGATTATCACACGTAAGGTAGAAATAGAAATACGTGATTCTACTACATCTTCGTGAGAAAGAGATGCAGGAAGTAATAAAATAATGTCTATGAAGCTGGTGGCTTAAGACCCTAACGACGGTTTGACTCGAACGTGGTTCTACCTGTTCGAGTTCTGAATTGAAAAGCAGGCTGTATTTACCTGTTTCACTCATTCAATGACTTCGACCTGTGGAAAGCGACCGAAAACCAATAAAACGTAAATGGCCTCAGACGAACCACAAACAGCAATTGCCTTAAAAACCAACTCGATTCAATAATAGCAATGCACTACGCTGTGACAAAAAATTATTCATAGTTCTGTGAATGTCAAATTATATTTTCTTGTAAACAAATAATGTATTCCAAGCTGACGCACAGAGTAACTTGTGACTAATATAATATTTCGTGCCAACAAATACAGTCGTGCTGATTTTTCTTTACTCATTAACGCGCATTAAAATTTTCACTGAGTCGCAAAAGCCAACGATTTGTAAAACAAACACGAGTCGAACTCGCAACAGGTGGAATAGAATCAAATTGACCTTGTTTTCGCACTCGACTTGTGCGTTCGTATTAGACGTCGACAAAACGTATCAAAACAATTGCATCAATAATACTCGCGAGTTAATCACAATCAATTACATTTTGCCTCCGCAATATTTGATTGCTCATTGATGGTTTCGCATGTGGATAGAATTATTAACATTCGAGGAGAGAAAACATTACGTCATACTCACATTTACTGTCCGTATGAGCTGCGAGTGCGCCTCGACAGCTCATGGGTGTGTATTTTTATTACTCGCTATAAACAACGCAAGCAGTAAGCCTTGTGAGCCCTATCACAGTTGCACTATATTAAACACACACGGCACTGGATTGGCCACACTCGCGAACTTATAAACTGTGATAAACAACGCTAATCAGCAACAATGATCGCAAGCATTGGCAGTCACGTTACTACACGATGACACTTTTCAATTGCACTGAGACTGCCCGCAGCGGCCATTGCGAAATCTTGACAAGTGCTGCTGCGGTAAGAAGAGGCGGTGAAAGCGTGTACTAGGCAACACCAGTCGTAACATCAAGAGCAACGTTGCCAATTCTCTCTGTATTTAAATTACCCAACACGTCATTGTTTCAAACAAACACAAAATTCTTCGATTATTTATCACGCATTTTTGTTGAATTTTAAAAATAATTCGTTTGCTTTTAAATATTTTTACAACGTTGTTTTCGACAGTGAAAATAATGCGTAATATAACCTACAGAAAGTAGGAAACACATGATCTCATTCAAATAGTGCAGTTGCAGGTGATAAACATAAATGATATAAAAAATTTATTACTTTCCACTGTCCACCTTTAGACAGTGTCTTAAAGCCCTAAATATCCCTCGCCGACCACCGCCCACAAAGAAAACATAAAAAGTGCCGCATTGCCTTATAAAATAATCTTTAGTCTTGCTCATTTCAAGTCATTTGGTCTTTGATTCATGAAGTTCAGGCAGTTTCACTGAAGCATTCGTACACATTGGCACCGAGTGTCTTTAACCGTTCGTTCATAATTAGCTGCGTGATGAGAGTGTCCGGTAGAGAACCGTTGGCTGTCATGGCGTTCATAATAGGCAACACCTTCGCGAAGGGAATTTTTACTTCACCAGGATGAACAAATCCGTTCAACTGCGTGCCTTCTGGCACCTCCTTGGACTTATCGGTATTGCTCAAGTAAAAATGCGAGAGTTCATCGCTGACCAGCGTGAATCCTCGACTTAAGCAGTGCGATGTGAGAGATTTTACTTCGTCGCTCTCCAGCAAATCTGCTGTATCACGAATCTTAAATTTAATTACAAAATTAGTTTAAAAACAAATAATACATTAACTTTTCTCACCATATTGTTTAAAATTAAGTCATCATTTGGAATGTTGTTGGTGATGATATAGTCCTTAAACTTCTCTACAGGATTGCCATTACATGTTGTAACCAGTGTTTGTATTGACCAGAAAAGATTATCAAAATCTCGAAGCCTCATCTTTTTGCTGAGTTGTATATTTTCCAATAGTTTATCAAACTGTAATGCAAAACCACTTATTACATTGATAGTGTGTAAAATAAGCAATGATTACCTGTCCTTCCACTAAATCAGCAATAGTTTGCAATCCAGAATCCAACAAATTGTTACACAATGATAAGTAAGTTTCCTGCACATGTGTGCTGACTGCATTTGCATCTTTGAACAAATATCCACCTACTATATTTAGTTGCACCCTGAGAGTCACAACAAGCATCACAGACATGTAAATTAAGCAGGTAATCCTTGACAACACCAACAACTGAAATATTATATTATTAATTATTAATACACTTGCATTCAATTACACAAATTTTGTTTTACCCTGAGTCTGTTCCACAGTTCCAATTTATTGGCATTCTCTGGATTACTCTTCAATTCATTAATGATTATCTGTGTGTCCATCGCGCTGTTTAGCGTTTTGAAAAGGGTGCCTGATAAGCTGAGGATTGTTTGATTGCATGTTCGTTCGGTACTCTCAAAATGCTGTTGTTTTCTAGTGCGTTCCAGGAAATCGCGCGTTTCTCGTTCTTGCCAGTCTTTCAGGCGTTGTTGGGCATAACGGGTGAGAAGGATTGAGCCGCCTACCAAGACACCACCGACGATAAATTTGCCGCGATGCCGGCCGAAGAAGTCGCGTAGTTTTGAAAATACACTCATCTTGTTATCCTTCTGTGATCGTACCAATGTTTTATCGATGGATGTTCATAACCTGCCGATGTTTGCTTGTGTTTTTTGGAGACGGCGCGAGTTTTGGACGATTACGTAGTGGTCGTGTCGTAATTGATAAACTGATCCCCGATTTTGTGTTTTACATATTATCAGTGAGCACAATGAATTGGATGCGGCCCGTTTTCGAATACTGATAATTTGGACTATGAATTGTAATCATCGCATATTGGACGTCAAAATCCAAGGTATGGAACAGGTAGTTCCATCTATGTGTGATTCAGTATTACTACAATATCATAACAATGTTGATAATGGCTGAGCATGACATGCAAATACTTCGAATTGGTACCGACAAAATTGAAAATTAATAACTAAAATGATTAATTAACTTTTGATTTGAAAGTAATGTTATTTATTCTTCATCATACATAAGATATGATGCACTAAAACCTTCCGAATCAGTACCAAATTCCGCAGGCATCAATCCATGTTTCTCTCTCAAGTGTGACAAACATTCTTCAAACATAGGTCTTGATATTGTAATTGAATGTGCATTGGCATCTTTACACCATGCATCAACTACTTCATTTCGATTTGATACAAACATAAAAAATACTTTTGCAACTACCATATCCCAAACATTGCTGTTCTCATGCAATTGAAGTTGTAAATTATCATCAAAGATCCTCAAAAGAATATACTGAACTACAGTTTCGCCAACTTGACAAAACAGCACAATTTTTGGTGCAATAATATGCACATCTTCAGAGATTGATTTGATAACTTTAAAAACATCACTTAAAGCCGAGGTGGTGTAATTAGCCACACCAGATTCAGTTGATTTAAAAATTGTAGTGTTAAAGTAAAACTTAATACTTTTCTCATCATGTTTGCTCCCAAGCCAAGTCAAACAATGTTTGCAACGGATATATTTGCCCACCTGATCAATAGACGCATTAGTTTGGCTCGGATTTAGCAAATAGTGACATTCGGAGTATAATAAATCGGTTGTTTTCGGCGCAATATCAATTTGTTGGTCTTTCGTACAATGACAGAACCAATCATTTTGTTCGGAAGATGGCAAAGGCAAAACGCGATCAAATGTTAACTCACATAATGAAGTTTTGCACTCTTTACATAAAATTGTGTATGGAATGTTGTTTTTAATTTGATGCAAGCTGCTACTTCCTGATGAAGTAACATTCATACTTTGTTTGAATTTGTTTGTCAATTCCATGATTTCCGCCTTGAAACCTCCGCTTAAATTATTGTACGCAGTTTTTTGGTCAGTCAACAACCTAAGTGTAATACAATTAGCAAATATTTGTTTAGAAGTAAGAGATCCTTCTTTAATACGTAAACTATTTAAGTTAAATGTTTCAGTTTCAGCATGTGAATCATCTTGTGGGTGTTTTACAATCAAATATCCATCATTAAAACTAACATCCACTTGTTTTGAATCAATGCTTGAATCATCCAAGTGGATAAAAACGTATGCACTTTGCAGACGTTGTCGAGTCTCAATCTGAACCCGTTTTACAATCATCTTTATCAACTTGTACGATCTTTTTTAAGTGACCTTTATCTTCCAACTTCTTGAAGAGTGAATCGTTTTCGCGTACAGCAAATGGCAGCGTCACGCGTTGGTAGTAATCAGACACAAGTTCAATATTACTGATTACATTAGCCAATAAATGACACTTTTCAGCGAACACCCCTGGAGCGTCGTATTGAAGTGTTGCAAAGTGGACGTGTAGATGGTAAAACGACGGTTGATAATGTAGATAAACTCGTAAGCGGGATGCTGGTATACCAAACTTGTCACTAATGACTTTCTAAATACAAAAATATGCGAATTTAATAGACCAGCCAACACATAAAAACAACTTACAGTTCCAGTATTATAAATGTGTTTGAGAAGTGGTAAATGCTCTCCAGTTAAATCCCTTAGAGATTTAATATTCCTTAAATGTGGCAAAGCTAGTAAATACAAAGTTTCCACAGTTTTACCATCCCATTTAAGGTCTGGCAATAAGATAAAACCTGTAGTGGGATCTGAATCTTCATAAACAATTCTTGACTCCTCTGATTTATGCTCCAAAATATTGTATACCCACTACAAGTTAGTAAGCAATGAAAGGCTGTATAAACAAATAAAACATGTAAAATGTAAATACCTGTAATGTAAATTGTGTTGAATCCTGTAAACCTGGCTCAATAATATCTTTATAAATCGCAGGAGTTTCGTTAATTATATGTATAACTTGCATTCCATATCGCTCGATATGTTTCTCGGTAGCTGGATGAATAACGGTTGTTTTAACAGCTAACAAAACAAATGAATTTTTAGGTTACGTTAATGTATGCCTCTAAAAAACGCAAATATTGCTTACTATTCAATTCCGCTTTGGGAAAACACTGATAGTTTCCATAGATATCGTTGTGGAAATCTTGCTTCAACCTACAGGTACCAAGATAATCCTCCTCACGTAGTTTCTTCTCTTCAAACGCGGTCTTTTCTAGGACGACAATACCAATGTCTGGTGAGTGGCCAAACGTGCCTTTTAAAGTGATAGATTTGCGGCCAGCGTTGCTACTTAACACGCGTTCAATTTTAAACTTTGATAAGTCTTGAAGATCGTTATGAACCGATTCTTTTTTCTCTTCTAAAGACACCTCCAGGTGCGGTTTTTTGAGCGGCACGACAACTTCCTCACCGTTTGATTCCGCCATTTTGGATTTGTGGAAAATTTGAACCTGCTGTGAACTAATACGGACCGCAATGTATATGAATTGAATTGTTCTATTAAGTTTACCATTTTGCGAACGCTTACAATTACATATCATGAATATCCATGTTTAAAACAATGCTTTGCATATTATATATATAAAATTTCAATAAATAAATAAAATATTATACATCATACGTCATCATTACAAGCTAATTGAAAGAAGTTCGCTAAGCGAGAAGCGAAAACAACTAATATAGCATCGAGTTGTGTGTCATCCCTTGAGACTTGAGTAATAATTCATTTTACATGAAGAAAAAGCACCGCAATGATGCGTCTGACATTACTTAAATTAAATCATTGAACGAACATTGTTACTTTTCTGATGTTGGTTTATGGGTATTTCTTATTATAAATCATACACTCAACTGCTGACTTACCGTAGCAGTGGGTCACAATATTTGATTATCAATTTTACCGTTATCAATCGCTAATTGTAAATGGTTATGCGGAAATCACCTGCCACACAATTAAATGACTCTTTTCGTCGCGCTGCTCCGAATGACCACCGCCCTCCAGGTCACCAGATTCGTTGCCGACCATACTCTCGTCCATTTCGCTCTCACCTGCGGAACACGATACAATTTAAATGCTGCTTAGCTTGCAAGCGAGTGAGAAATTGTATAAAACGCAGTGAAAATTGGTCAACGTGTCGTGCAAAAATTAAAGAATTGCATTACTTCTTCTCTCTCGCATTACCTACTCGCACGGATTGCCAGGAATATCGTTCATTAGTTGCCAAACAAACAGATGAGACGCTGCGTCCGAGGGCTCATCGTCTTCTGGAATGCGTTTCGTACGATAATAACATAAATAACTCAAAAACAATAATGCTTGCTTGCGTGACCGCAACGATTACAATTAAAAGATAAAAAATGCGTGTTAGTCCAGACGACATTGTGAAACTTAGTGAGCGCCAAATTACGAGTACATCACACCCCCAAAAACAAATTCCTGCATTGCTGCACAGCGTCCATCGCATGTTCGTTCAACTCAACGATATTTCCAATTTTGCACAGCGCCATTATTTACAATACCTACAGCTTTCAGCTAGCAGAGAGAAGAAGTGAAAAGTGGCCGAAAAAGTTGTGCACTTCTATGCGTTCATGCTCTTTTGAAAGTTTGACCAGAAGAGGAAATGACTACCTATTACTTGGATGTGAAAGCTTACTAAATACTTACCAATTCGGAAATCAATGTAACCTTCGCCACCTGACATTACAAGCATCGCTGGAGGCGCCTTGCTGGGCGCACTCATTGGCAAAACACCCGCTGAATGAGCTTCTGAGGGTGTCGACGCTGCACTCATTCCTGGTTTAGATACAATTATTATGTATTGATTAAATAGTCTTAGATTGTATTATACCTCCATTTCCGGGGACTGCTACGAAAAACTTCACCGAATCCCGATGCCCGTGAAAACTGAGTTGAGCATGCGCCACGTTGCAATAGGGAATCAACGGATTTGAAGAATGCGACCGAGGGCCACTTTCGATACCTGGCCGCCAATTGCGAGCGTTTACAATTATATGCGCCGGAGCGTGATAATCACTCAACGGCACCGAGATGATGACACCATTGCTGGTGCCGATCCACAGCCGATTCGAGGAGATGAGCAACGCTGAAATACGAACGAGGGAAAAGCCTAACTTCCCGGCGCCGAGCATTTTGCTGACGTAAGGCTCAATATCTACATCCTGCAAATGCTCATAAGTCTGCGCGTGGTACAACCGCAGTGTAGAGTCTAGACGTACGGATAACCAAACACCCTCTCCGTGCCATGCAAATTGACGCACCTAAATTAATTTAAGAGTCAACTGAAGTTAAATACACGTTTTTAAGTAAAACTTACTTGACTCTCCTTTCGAGGATGCGCAGTCAAATCACGCACCAATTTCAAGGATATTGGATCCATGATTGTTACCTTATTGCGATAGCCGCACCAAACCTTGTCCGCCACAACAGCAAGGCACCGAATCGAATGAAACGCGCAGCCAATTTGAACGATGTTGTATTTCGATAGATCCCACTCACCACTATCGTCGCGATTGAACACCACCATTGTGCCATTAGCGAGCGCACAGATTACACGTCCACTGACATGTACAATATTCAGCACGGCATCAGCGAGCTGTACTGAGTGCAAGCATTGATTCCAGTTGGCGACTGAAGAATGCACATAAACTTCGCCGTTTTGTGCGCCAAGCCACATGGTCGCTAACGCGCTCGACATGACTTCGTGTGTGGTAGTGGGCGGTCGCTCCGTCTCGGATCCGCAAGACGTGTCGATTGTTTCAGCGGTCGAATCGTTAGAGGGTGCACCAGATATTGCCTCTTCAGCAGTTTCTTGTTCTTGCTCCAACTTGGCGTTCTCGATTTGAACCCGTTTGTTTTTCACGGTGGTGTTGCTATCTTCATAAGTAACCTTTCCATACTATTTTAAACAAACAAAAAAAAAATGTTTAAAACGTTTAATAATTCCAGAATAAAGTTATACTAACATCGGGATCTTCATCATTATCCCCTGACTTTTCTTCCTGTGGCTTAGGATCTGCTTCCACATTCTCCTCTGGTATGACGTACTTGTTATCAGAGTAATCGTCCGGACTAGCACCAGGCACGCTGGCAATGCAAAGCACATGATGAGCACAAACACCGAAACTATTTAAAATTTCAGCCGGATTGTTCGCATCAATAACAGTAACAATACTGGCCGCGCGCATCGATGTACATATCCAAACCAACGATGAAAGTTTTGTCTCCAATCGAGAAGCTTCCGTCGCGGCATCAAGCTCCTTATCAAGACTATCCAATTCGTTACTAGCTGGCTTAGCTGTTGGTAAGTTGTCCGAATAGAAAACGCTACCTCCAACCTAAGATATCATAAAAGTTAAATTTTTATTCGTATATAAAAAAAGTTACGGCTACCATTAATCCGCCATCTTTGGTATAGCCTCCTTGCAGATTAACACCAGCAGCGCACCAAATTTTCATCCCCGAAGAGCTTTCTTCAAGAGGACGACAGTACACCGGTACTGGAACCGGCACACCACTCATATTTGGCAGCCCGCGGCTTGGGACTACCGCACTCTTATCCGGAAGACTCCAACCGTAGGCGGTGAGTCGGCCATCTTCCTTTTTCACATGCGCTCGCACATGACGGTATTGCTCTCGGCGCTCCCGTTGTTTGGCCAGACTGCCTGCAACATGATACAACAAAATAAATAAAACGACGCCATAAGTTGTCATAATACAGATACCTACTGATAAGCATGAATTAGGTATCAAATACCGAAAATAACAACCAAATTCGCCCATAAGCAATTTAATTGAGGATAATTATAACAAAAAAAACATATCAACAAAATGTGATCATCACATTTGATTCAAGAAACGTGCGCTAACGTTAAATCTTCAGAAACACTCCGAACGCTAACAACTATTTACAATATATACAAGTTTGGTATTAATTCTTATGGCTTGAGTGTTTGTTTGTTTGTTTCTTTGTACTCACTACTGACTAGATGTTAGTGTTTAGATAGTCTCAATTAGAAATTCAAGGCAACAAATTTGGAGAGATTCTATGACACTGGACACTTAAACCTAGCAGCGTTCATATTCGATGCGTAAAGATATCACAGATTTATAGGATTGAGAGAAGACCGAAACCGAGAGCACACCTAAGTAGGTGTGGTGATTAAAGTGAAATGCTTTACGCTTCCGTACCCATTTCTGTCTCGGGGAAGTCCTGTGTGCGCGCGGGCAGATTCCGCACGCCGGGCGTCACCTGATTCGTGCCCGCCTGGAAGCGCAGCATCGGTTCGTTGTCACGTGGCGTCCGCTCAGCGTTGAATAGATTCATAAAATACTTCCAAACGGATTGCTTGTTCTTCAATTCGGGGCCCTGCTTGTGCGCTCGCATAAGCTCGGACCAGCGGACGGCTTCTTGCAATTCCATAAATCGTTCCTTGAATAAACACGCCACGGTAAAGTAAATAAATATACCTGATTATAGAAAAAAACATATAAATTTGTGGGATTACTTTGTACTGGTTCCTTTCCATAAGAACACGTGCCATTTCAACTCGAGTGAACCGCTTTCGTTGCGCCATAGGCACCTCGGATTCCTCCTCGTTGTTTTCTGGCTTTACCTCCTGCGTCTCCTTCATTTTCTTCAGCTCTTCTTCAAGTTCAGTAATTCGTTCGCGTTGGCGAGTTCGCGACATATTCAACGACAGGATTTCCTCTCTAAGCATTTCCAGTTCGCCAGTTAGGGCGTCGACTTGGACGATAAGGTCATCCTTGACTACATTTAACGCGTTTCTATAGAAATATAAATTATTTGTGTAATAATAATAAAAAAAAAATCAAATTCACAACTTACTTTGTTGCGAGTAATTCATTATTTTCCATTATCAAGTTCTCAACTTCTTTGCCCATGCCTAAACAAGTAAAAAAACATTCAAATTTTCAATAATGAACCAGAAAGACTTGAAAATAGTAAATGATAATGATATAAGTCAGTTAAACTCACCATAAAAGTTATCATTAACTGTGGTGATGGTTATTTGTGGTGATGATTAGAGACAGACAAGCGAAAACAGAAAATCAATTAATTAACGTTATTGTTATATCGATTTAAGTGGTGAACTCATTAGTTGGGTAGTGTAAAAACACCGAATTATTGAGTAAAGAAATGCACACAATACCGGTATTTAAAAGTGCTTTCATAAAGTGCAACTTATATTCCTAACTGATTTTTAAATGAATTCGAAGTAAACTTTTTTAATCGAAAATTAGATATAAAATTTAAAAAAAATTGCATCCTTGTTTTGAATCCGTTAAAATTAAGAATCATTCACCTTATGTTAAGTAGACATAATAATCATACCTGATGAAGCATATTCTCCAGGGTGAACCCATCCCCCCGTAATTTGATCCGCACCATCGTCGTCGCACAATGCATCCGAGTCCTAATCAAATTACACGTGTCAAAAGCCGAATAAAATAATAAGATACTATTGAAGTAGTGGTAGTAGATGTCTCGTTACCTGAAAACTTAATTCCTGATATAATGTATTTCCACTACGTTGTTCCTTCTTGACGCGTCCGGCCCCAGAGTTGTTATTGTGCAGCGGTGTCGCTTGCGGACTCGCCGGCGATGTGCTTTTATTCTCTAAACTAATCATATCAGTTTCCAAACCTTTCTCTACAGTGCGTAAACCTTCTTTGGCATTGTCCAACTCACTATGCAAACTGTAATTTGCACATTTTTGCAATTAAAATTACAAGAAAAAATTTAAATTATGCAAATTTACCTTGGTGATGAATGTGTACTACTAATTGGAGATGTTGGCACACTATCAATGCCCTCAGCATTCTCCAAGGAAGCAAATCCGAACGACACCGGCCCGGAACTCCTTCCAATATTTAGCCTATTACCCGCTAACCGACTAGATTCTGACCTTTCATTTGCCAACTGTCCACCTGAGAGTAATAATTTCGTGCGTTCCATATAGTCCATGTGTGTCTTGAACAAATCTGTGTATCTCTCATGCAGTTTAGCATACTCTTTTTTCAACTCAGCCTCTCTTTCCTCCAGCCTGCCTGCATGTTCCATGGAGTTTTTATGCTTTAGTTCTAGCATTCTAGCAATGCTTTCCAGCGCTTCCTGCCGCGCAAGAAACTCCTTGCGTTCACCCTCGCTTGCATCTTCAAATTCGAGAAGCTTCTGCTCGGAGTTCTTACGCGCGACCTTCTCGCGCTCATACTGCGTCACAAGTTGTTCATTGTCTTCGCGAAGCAATTCCAGTTCCACATCTTGCTCTTGGTTTGATTGGTATGCAGCATCAAGGCATTCAAGCACATTGACAAGCAGAGGCATCAGAGTCTTGACCACGTCTTCATCGTAGCGGGCAATCATGCGCTCGAACTCCTGGTAGATGCTGCCCGCGAGTGACTGCACCTTCTCGGACATTACCATATGAGAGTCTTCGTGCGTCCCGTAGACGGTCTCGACGCCAATGCCCGTGTCGTGCAGATCCATGGTGTAGCTGGCGATGATTTCACTCGCGATTGTGATTACAAATATTTCATACTTAGTGTGCTGGTGATTGTGATAAACTAGGTAAACATCGTAGTGCGATGCATGATCTATTAAAAACACCCACTGTAACCACTGGTGCCCACTCCTGCTGGTCCTGCTTGCGCTTGCCAACTATTTTTTTCCTGGGTTGACACTTCAATGACAGAACTTCGTTTAAACATCTGTTTCAATTTAGTTGCAGAATTATCCGCTAGACTCTTGCTTTGTGCGTAGTTCATAAAACCAACGCATGGGGGCGCAAAAGTTTTCAAACTTTAAACAAACGATACGCTAGAAATATTATACCGATTATAAAATAGTTTGCATCGGATAGCAATCAAATAATTTCAATGTTTTATTTATTGACTACAATGTTTTAAAACTATTCTAACATTATTTGTAGCGGTTGGCATGAAATGTTTGCAAATAATGCGCAAAAATTAAATTCCCTGCAAACTTCCGGCATACGTAACACCGAGACTTGACAGTTCGATTAAGCAAAGCACATCAAGCAATCGAAATTTCTCGTTTACAGCGATATTCTGAACATAGAAGAGTATATTCACATATCTGTCATCCTACTATTATACTCGAAAATGCCTGCAGATTTTGTTGGTTTCTTCAAAGACTTCATGGCCGGCGGTATTTCAGCGGCAATCGCGAAGACCGCCGTTGCGCCAATTGAACGTGTGAAGCTGCTGCTACAACTTCAGAAGGCGTCGAAGCAAATTTCGGCAGACACAGAATATAAGGGTGAGAACTCATAATTTCAATATTGTGTAGTGAGAAATTCAAAACTATATATTCATGTATTCATCTTATTGAATCTGAACAATGTGAAGCTCATACTGATATTGTCGAGCGCATCGTCGAAAAAGTACATACTTACACACTCAAATTCATGCTCATGGTTCTGATTCTGTTCAAAGGAATTATTGACACTCTTCTGCGAATTCCAAAAGAACAAGGATTTTTAAGTTATTGGCGAGGAAATCTCGCTAATGTGCTTCGGTATTTCCCAACCCAGGCGCTCAATTTTGCTTTTAAAGATGTGTACAAAAAAACGTTTATGGGTGGCATAGACAAAAACACCCAGTTTTGGAGGTACTTTGCTGGTAATTTAGCAGCTGGAGGAGCTGCCGGGGCATCATCATTGTGCTTTGTGTACCCATTGGATTATGGCAGAACCAGGTATAACTGCTTCAACTGTTTTTTACATTCTGATTTTAAAACTACTATCAAATGATGCTTACAAACAATTGAGCCTAACATGATGACTATTGTTTTACCACTACCCATAACTGATGATTTTCAGAAGAAATGAAATTCTTTGTGCATTGTATAGATGCTTGTTTTGTAAAGATATATTTGTTACACTTCACAGATTGGGGGTGGACGTGGGGAAAGGGCCGGGCGAACGATTGTACCATGGTCTCATTGATTGCTTAACAAAGACCGTCAAGTCTGATGGAATTGTTGGCTTGTATAGAGGCTTTCTTGTCTCAGTGCAAGGCATCATCATTTATCGCGCGACTTATTTCGGGTTCTTCGATACAGCCAAGAGTATGCTCCCAGATCCGAAGAACACGCCGTTCTTGATCTCATTTTTGATTGCACAGGTGAGATTTTCTAAAGTTTCACTATACACACACACACGATCATCATTTGAAATGATGTATTCTAATGGCTGAGCCTCTTATGATGACTTCTTATATACCATCACCCATATACTGATCTCATTACATTGGTATTATGTATTTTTTGTTGTTAAGTGTCACTTGTATTATATATTGATTGGACGTTTATTTGTACTTAGTGCGTGACTACCTTTGCGGGATTTACATCGTATCCCTTCGACACTGTCAGACGTCGCATGATGATGCAATCAGGACGCGCGAAGGAGGATATGATGTATAAGAATACCATGGACTGTTGGAGGAAGATCTTCAAAGATGAAGGTGCACGTGCCTTCTACAAAGGCGCATTTTCGAACATTCTTCGAGGCACTGGCGGCGCCTTAGTACTTGTGTTCTACGATGAATTCAAGAAACTTTTTGGATAATTTCTAGTAACAGGTATTTAAGGATTTGCTTATCTTCTATTTCAGTCTGTGCATCTTGGTCACTCTGCAGTTTCAATGTGCGGGTATTTGCCATTGTTGTTTTCAGTTTAGGTCACTGGAGTTCAGGTTTCGTGCTGTGTGGATTGTATAATTTTGTGCGTTTGTTCTGTTGATAGGTTTTTGCAGCCCATGCGTCGGCGCGTTTAGTCACAAAGTCAAGAAGTTCCTTTATAATCAGATTTTTCTGTGATGATTTGATTTGTGATTTAATATACTTGATGGAAATTATCCGAGTTTGTTTAAATTGTCTCCTTAGCCCTAGTTTTGAAGCTAAACATATTTATAATACAAGCATATTTATTTAGATTCCTCTAGATATTGTTCATCCTTTATAACAGTTAAAAATTGTATCTTAATAGAAAGACGATAACTCGAAGCAAACACACGATCTCTTGCATTTTATTTTATGTGCATTACATTGATGATTACTTACTGAACGAACGTTTGGCTAAACTTATAAAGTGTTCGTTTGACGTTGTCTCAGTATTTCTGCTGGTGGTTGGACAGACGACGATTGAATGTGAAAATTAAAAACTAAACTAAAATTAAATTTAAAAGCGAAGGTCGACGCTTGCATCAGCCAAGTGCCTGCCGATGCGTGTAAGATGCGCAATTGGTTTGTAATTTGTTTACTTTATTAATAGCCCACACGGCGACGATTGATCGACCACCTTCGCATTGCTTTAAATCGTATTTCGTTATTGCTGACGCTGTTGCATACGCGTACAAATGTATGGATATTTGATTGACTCGGTTGTGCACGACGAAAGAAAGAAAGAAAAGTAGGTGTGAAACGAATAAAAAATAATAAAATCGCTCGCTCGCCACGCGTTTCGGCGACCCACTCGTGTTGGTGGTGGTGTGTGCGAGAAGTCGCTCAGCGGCGGATCGGCGCGCCCGCTTTAGATTTGTTCGGTGGTCGTCCGTGTCTCCTGTACCAGGTAGACCTGGGATCCGGGAACGGTGTTGGTGGTGACGAACGTGCGGTGCTTGGCGCGAATGAAGGACAAGCTGCTCTCGGCAGTGTCGGCGCGATCCTCGGCGGCTTCCAACTCGCGCTGGAAGCGGCGCACGCGGGTTACGCTCTGTTGTGAAACTCCCTCCTGAATTGCAAACATATAATACAATTAATTATATTGTTAATAAGAAATAAATCAACACTTGCCTGTTCTTGGAGTTGCTTTTTGAACAGCATAACTTTCTGGTTGGACTTCTCGAGGGATTCCTGCAGCAGGATGACGTTCTTCTGGTCCTCTTCGCACTGGATCATGATTTCCTTGACGGTGCGTTCCTTCTTGCGCAAGATCTTGATGGTCTCGGCGTGACGGCGCTTCTCCTCATCAAGTTCGCATTCCATGTCACGGATGCGAGCCTCCAACTTGCTGATGATGCGCTTGCCACCAACAATGGCGTTGGCTTCAACTTCTTCCAAGCGAACGGACAGATTCTTGACTTCAATTTCAAGAGACTTCTTGATAGCTTCGATCTTGACGACGCGTTCCTGTTCTTCGTGAAGAATTTCAACGGTGTGCTTAATTTCAGCCTATAAATAATATATTATTTTTATTAACTGCTCCATTTTTGAATGTATATGTAAACATACTTGGACGCGTTGGTAGCGTTCGTCCGAGATGCGCAATTCCTTAGTGATTTCATCGTAATCAGCAGCGACAACGGAAAGTTCCTGTTCGAGTTTGCTGCGGGCAGAAGCAAGGTTGACATTGATGGCAGTGAGTTCGTTGATGCGAGTGACGGACTCCTCGTATTGCAATTCAACGGCCTTCTTGCTGCGAAGGGCCTACAACAGATAAACTTTATAATACAATGTTTCTAAATATGGTGGAGGCGCCCGTCTTACGGATTCATAGTTGCCCCTAATTTCCTCAGCCTCTGCAGTGAGGGCCTGGACGCGGCGCTGAGAAACGCTGAGTTGATCCAAAGTGACCTGCAATTGGCGCTGAACTTCGTCGTAGTGCGCAGAAAGTTCGGTAATTTGGAGCGATTGTTTCTTGCAGAGCTTCTGCAAGTCGATGTTTTGCTTGTTGGCAGTGTCGAGCGACATCTCCAGCTCGGTGATCTGAATCTGCAGCTTCTTCTTGATGCGGGTGACCTCGGACTTCAACTTGGTCTCGGCCTCGACGACACGGGCATTCAATTGTTCGATTTCGATGCTCGTAGCTTTGCTAAAAATGGTAAAAATGGGCATAAGCTATAAATTTCCTCTGCCATATTGGAATAATATGGATTTTCATATATTACAACACATGTACTATTGTTTATGCTTATGTAATATTTGCCAGCCTGACGTCATGCAACGTGCGCGAAAAAGTTGGAACAATGTCGGCCTGATGGTACATGAATAGAATGTGATTGCGTAATAATAGTCTACGGCCAATCGGGGACTTAAAAATAACTCGCGTGCAAGCTGGCCGTCAACGTGACGCATTTCACCTTTTCGCCATGAAGTACGTGGTGCTCTTCTTGTCGAACGACTTTAGATCGGCGTTTAGGCTTTCCAACGGGGCCATGAAACTATTGTCCACTTCGGCTTCCAATCTTTGACACATGAGACTCGCATGCGCGGATACGTTGTGCTTTCTTACTTGGTCCACAGTTGACCCTTGGCTAAGATCAAATTTAACCAGATCCATACCCGAACCCGTTTGAATGTTTCTGTTGCTTTCAGTGAGCAGTTGTTTTTCGATGGCCTTGGCGGATTTGCCCTTGAGGAACTTTGCCTGATATTTTAGTTGTTCAGCAACGCGTTTGTCTAGGTCTGGATCATAATCGATAATCTCATCCGAGATACGACTCTTGAGGACCTTCATGTTTCTAACGGTTTCGCGCTTACGACGCATCTCTGCCTGGGTTTGAGTGATGTGCCACAAATCAGCGGACTGCCCACAAGTATCCAACTGACGATCAAGTTTTGTCTTGGGTTTCGGAGGGAGGTAGTACTTGCCCGCGTCTCGACCCACTCGTCGCACTACTGAGCTCAGATCCTCTTCGCTATAGACTTTACTTGGCAGATAACGCTCTAGGTCTAGATCCTCGAGCCAATTGTCCAAGGGGGGCAGGGGTTTTTTACTCCTCCGTGGGCCAGAAAGTAACAGCCTATCGCTGGCATCAACGTCGGACACTTTTACGCCAGCACCGCAACGCAGCATTTTCGTTTAAAAACGATGGTTTGCGCACGGAGAAAGCAGTCGCGCGCGGAAGATTGATCGATTTAATTCAAGCATATCATTTGCATCCTTTTATATAGTCAAGGCGAATAGATCGGCGGTCCATTGCCAATCCAATTGTACTGCGAGTTATTTTTGGGTAGGACGCATCCGAACAACAATTGCCAAACAAACAAATGCAGGGCTTGTGTGGTTTCATGGCCGAACGTGCACTTGAGTTATGTGATGTGCACATGAGCACAAGTTTCACTAGTACTATCATCACTTACCGAATAGCTTCGATTTCTTCGTCCTTCTCTTGCAGACGCTTCTCAGCTTCATGGCGGAACTGGTTAAGCTCAGAAGCCAAACGCATCGAGCGTTGTTCTTCAGCCTTGCGACCCTGTAAACCGATTAATTTAATCACAATAAACTCCCCAAATTATTCCTTTTTACTTACAGCCTCAGCCTCCTTGTAGGCAGCAGTAAGTTCCTCCCTCTCGTTCTCCAAGCGACGGAGTTCGATCTCCATATCGTGCATCCTGCGGGTGTACTCGGTGAGAGTAGCACGGGCATCATGCAAGTCGTCAGCCAACTTCTTGTTGTCACGAGCAAGGGCATCCTTCTGTTCCCTGGTCTTGTCCAATTCATGGTTCAAACGCTGGATTTCGGTCTGCTTGATGCGCAAGTCCCTCTGGCTTTGTTCATACATAGCCAAGGTCTCATCAAGTCTGGTCTTCAGGTCCAAGTTGACACGTTCAACTTGTTCGACGCGCTTCTGCAGCTCCCTGGCGACATTGTTAGCCTTCTCCAAGTCAATGATCAAGACCTCAACCTCGGACTGCAGGCGAGACTTCTGCTTTTCGAGATTGTTGACCTTAACCAACAAGCTTTCAATGTGCTCCTCCTGTTCGGTGATGCGCACGGTGTACTTGCGACGGATCTCCTCAACCTCCTCAGCACGGGCAGTGCATTCGGAGTCGTACTTGCACTTCCAGACCTGTACGTCACCCTGGGACTTAACCAGCTGGCGTTCAAGGTCCAAACGAGCCTCGCTCTCCTCCTCCAACTGCACGCGGATGGACTCGAGCTCAACCTCAACTTGGTGGAGGTTAGCCTCGAGGATAGCGCGGCGGCGGTCGTCATCCTCAGCACGACGGCGGGCATCCTCAAGCTGACTAGCCAACTGAGTCTTCAGGTAGATAGCGTTTTCAAGGTTGACCTTGATGTCCTGAACCTCCTTGGTGAGTTCGAGGTTTTCGCTGGCGAGGCGGGTTTTGTGGGAGGTGATGTCAACGATGGTACGGTTCAACTCCTCAATACGCACGGACAACTCGGAGATGGTAATTTCGAGTTTCTCGGAGTGCTTGATAGCAACAGCGCGCTCCTTTTGGGCAGACTCGCAGTTGCTAATCAACTCGTAAACTTCAGCTTGGAATTTGGACTTTTCCTTCTCGGACCTGAACAAATACACATCATGAAAGCATTTATCCTGGCGAATATTTATTTATTGGTGCATTGTAACATAACAATTCCGCTTTTCTGTGCAGTGTTTTCGTAGGTGCACAGCGTGTGGTATAAATAGAGACGTGTAGAAAAGTGGGCCAAGATGGAATTATGGGATCAAAAGAGGGTGCAACCAATAAATCGTGTTTAATTGCATGTAGCAGGCGCCCGGCATGGCGAATTTCATGTTTCCGGTGCGATTCGTTCGCTACTACAGCAGTATGCGTGTGTGTACATACACCGGTCATGCAAAAATGTACGTGAGTCGAGCGAGGAACCCAGAAATATAACAAATTTCGTACCGGGACAAATATGGATACGCGTTGCCCCGCGTAAGTTATAAATATCCTACTCGCACACTGTGCTCGCCATTACGAACGACTGCCGCACATTGCGTTAAACACCGTGCGTCCGTGTGCCAATCTGAAAGCACTATTTGACCGGTGTATATATCTCATTACATCAATTACGCCCGATCATCATTGAGTAAAGATGCAGTATGCATGTGCATGCAGCTTTCGAACGTATTTAGACTAAAAATGCACTCAACGAAATAAACAGCAATGTGAAAAAGTCACAAGTTGGAGGAAACGTGAGAAGGAATGCATTGGCAACTAGCCAACTCACTCTCCGAAGGCGTTTCGATATTTTGATATTCGAAAAGTGGGCCGGTTGAACACCGGCCACCGTAAAACAAGCGATGCAAACACGCGCACAGGTTTCGCCTAATATTTCACCTGCGCCATCGATATTTTCGTATTTACCTGGATTTAGCTTTGGCCAGAGAGTCGATCTGCTCCTGGAAATCGACAACAATTTCCTGGTGCTTCCTCTTGAGCAAGCTGGCGGTCTCTTCCGATTCGATGTGTACTTCTTCCAACAATTTGCGCAACTTCAGGAGCTCAGTATCACGCTTCTTGTTGATTTCGAACTGCGCGAAATAAGATAATATTTATTTACATTGGAAATTCCTCCAGGTGCTGATGCATACCTGACTTTCAGCACCACCTTCGGCTTCCTCCAGACGCTCGGTGAGTTGAATCACCTGCACGCTGAGGTCGGCTTTCTCGCGTTCAATCTAGAAAATTCCTCCTTAATTAGCAACCTCTCCCAATTCGAAAAGGTATAGGAAAAGTATTCGGAGATGTTTACGGAATCGTGTTTAGTCACACCGAATATTTACGCGAAGCTATTTTTATCGACTGACACAATTACTATGTTTCGTTTTGTACTCGCCGCATTTCTTTCGAAAAGAAAAATTTTGTCCTTGCTCGCACTCCGTGCAACACTAACACCGTGGATGTTTATTTATACTCTGTGTTTACATTAAATATGCACGCGTGCTGCAAAATCTCTAATTGTATTACACGCCGACATGACAGATGTGTTCATAACCTCAAGTGGTCGCTATTAATGTTATTGCTATCGAATTCCAATCGAAAACAAGTGAATCATTCATCATTGAAGTGTCTTTTTCTTTGAGGAGTTGAATCACAGGTTGTTCGAGCATTTTCACAATCGAGACTTGTCGAAAATAGTTGAAAATAATTTCGTCCCGCGTCATGCAACGCGGAACGTAGAACGCACGGTCCGAGGGCTATTTATATCGCGGTGACTGCCGAAACGGCCAGCGTGTTCGCTCACTGCCCGCCCGTGCTTGCGCATTATCATAAAATCCATGCCACATAGTCACACCGGCGATGACAAATCGCAGAAACGATGTCAATGATGTGCTACCGCCCAGCTGAATTTTAATTTATAATAAGATCCTAGGTATTTATATCGAAATTTCACTGCATTCTAGAGCGGCGGTTTCGAGATGTATTGCTTTTCGTGATGAACAGCAAGATGGCGGATTTTTCACCTCTCTCTCTTTCTTATAGATGAATTTATATTTAGTCCGCAGGTGAAAATGGGTTAGCGCATCGCAATTCGATCGATTGAGGGCACTTAAATTAGGTGTTCGATTCAAGTGCTCGTCGTGTGGTGATGCGAATGCTTAGCGTACCACGAGAGCTCACCAGATCCTGAGCTTAAAGCTGCGCCGCGGGCTAAAAGTAGTAGTTGCATGTAGCGGCTTAGGCAGTCGGTGGCTGAGAGCGTTGTGCGAGGCAAGATATCGAGTTCCGTATTTTGCAAGAGCCGCCACGACACGAAAATTTATTTTGGCAGTCCGGTAGGCTCGCGATCAGGCGGGGCAGCGCGGATTAGCTCAAGTTTATTCTTACCCTAGAGCGGAGTTCTCTCTCGGATTCGAGATCATCTTGCAGGAGACGAATCTTATCCTGAAAGCATTGCACAGAAGACCGTTACTTCAAACTCAATTTGATGATGTTGATGACGATGATAAGGATGATGATGATGTAATAATTGTTGTTATATTTTGTTGTAAATTTCGGCATTACCTCGAGTCTGGTCAGAGCGCTGAGGTCAGCGCTGTATTCGATGTTCACATCAGCGGCACCGCCGCCCGTGGAACGGTAAGAATATTTGGTGGTCCTCACCGCAGAGGAGGAAGACATCCTGGATTATCCTTGCTAGCGCGCGTACGGGGTGAATGGGTCGAAGTGGAGCCGAGCGTCGAACTGTGTTACAAGTCGACGGGACCGTTCGTTTAGCGAATCGTGAGCGAGTGCACTGACCGTCGTAATTTCAGAGATTGAAACCCGCGTGCCGACGCCGCCGTACCAGTGGTGGCTAAGTCGTTCGTATGAGCGACGCGACGCGAATAAGAACGCCGCCGCCGCCGGGACGAACGAGTGCGCCTGCGCCGGGGGCTGCAAGAAGCGGTGCGGAATGTACGAAATGCGCGCAGCGATTTCGCGCACCAATGACTCACATCGGCGGCGCTGACTGAATACAGTGATTCTGGAAGGACTGGATTATTTTTAATGGCCACCGCCACCGCTGCCGGCCGCAGCGATGATTGCGGCTGCGACGCCCGAAAGCGGCGGGTCGTGGGTGGACCTGATGCATCTCATGGCTAGACGACTCACAAAAAATATACTAGACGCGAAAATCACCTTGGCAAATCACCATTCCGCTAATAAATTTTAAATGACAAAAAAGTAACACAAAAGTTAAGTAATCTTCAAACGAAGATTTTTGCATTTCATTGAGCGTGATAATCATTAAGTAGCCGGCGCATATTTCTCAGATTACCTGAAATGGTGGGAGCGTCCTTTTATAGACACGCGCGACGTCGCGACTCTCGAGGCGCGCGTTCGTGCTAAGGCGGCGTCGCGACGCTTTCACGTGCGGGTTAGCTGCTCGGTACCATTAAATCTGTCATAAACGTCGAGCGCATATCAACATCACCTGGATAAGAATAAACCGCATGCAAGCCACAATGATCACAATAAACTCAAGAACAAGGCAACATCACACAAGAATCAAAGCTAAATGTTACTATTGCCTTAATCCTTAATCCTGTAATATACAAAAGAACATATTTTGAGTGGCGGGTGGCGTTTGATTAAAGTTAATGCTGCATTTAAGTGACTATTTATCAAGCTACTCAAGAGCGAAGTGAAAAGACGAATAAGAAAGAACATGAGGACAATGGTGCAGAACCTGAGCGACGAAAGTTATGGCATCGATTAGAATAAAAATGCTACTGAGTACATTCACGCCGCATGCTTGAATTTGTATCGCGGTTATTTTAAGCTTAGTAAAATAACTGCCACGAGCTTAAGTTCACTGCGAGTGCGCCACACTACGGTCGGCGGACAAACTAATAGAACACAGGAAACATTAAACTAGCTTCAATTTTTGTTCATAATATTAATTTTAGTAAATGGACGATAAAAATACAACTAAAATAGTTTTAAAATTTGACCTCCAGTGTACAGTGTATTTAACATTTTATAAGCAATTTCAGATTGTATGAGACTATAATTGTGAAACCATGATAAAAATTATTTTCCAAGATAGGTTAAGTTGTTATTGTTTATTTCCCAACTTGTGCTGACATCTATATGCAAATAGCTTAAAATATTTAAAGTTTAATATTTTAAACTTTCAGTAAACGTATTGAAATGCTTGTAGTATTATCCTAGTAGCAATTGGTAAAATAAAAGTAGATGTAAGTGCAGTGTCAGAAAGCGGTGGCGACTGAAAATGTTTCCCCAGCGACGTCCTGCTTTAAATAGTTTGCTCGGTTTCCGGTCGTCGCAGGTCGTGCGGACTCGCCATCACGACGCTCAGCGTCCGGACAACGACGCCGAGCGTCCTCAGGCTCGCTAAGCCCGCCGCCGCCACTGATTGCGCCCGTGCTCTGCGTCGGTAGTTGAGTCGTGTGCGCTTCTCGCGCTTCTCGGAGTAACCACCGATCACGACCCCTCAGTCATCACGCGTATCGTTCGCAAATCGTAAAAATAGCTCAACTGTAGATAGAACGTGCGTGAAATACAAGTGCAAGTGTAATGCCGAACTAATTAAATTGTTATGTGCGAATGAAACGCGAGCGACGAAAAGTGTTTAGTTTTTGTTTTCTGCGTGCGTGTTGCTAAAAGTTTTCCACTTGCGCGCGTGAACCCGACGCGAGTTCACAGCCGCCGTTTTCACTTTGGCATTGATTTTGAATTGATAAAAATAACGACGCAAGGGACATCGGCGACGATGACGCGCGAATGAACGCGGAAATAAATGAATTTCAGCGAGACAATCGCGGCGCGAGAAGGAAGTAAAATGTTGCAATAAATTTCGAATTATTTTCGTTTCGTTGTTATTCTGTGCGTGACCGCTACATCGGCCCAATCGTCCTTACATAAGGATGAGCGGATATCGCAGCTATGTGAGTAATAAAAATTGACGAAAATAAAATGTACACAAAACGATGCTTGCCAAAAACCCACAACCCGCAACCCACTGACATGTGTTATGAGCTCGTTTGGTCGAAATTGATTTGTTTAAAAACTTCCAAAAGTTTACGATCGCGAGACAAGCTGCGCTGCATTTTAATTTCCAGCAAGCGCAATTGTGAAATATCTCCCAAAACCAAAAATAGAATCAAAACTAAACATATTTCTCTACAAACATCGATATTTGCACGAAGAAATCAATCAGAACAAAACATTTATTGATTGTTAATCATGGTTAATGAATAGGTAGACAAACATAAACATACATATTTTGTGAGTAAACTTTACAAGTTCAAAAACACACACACGCGCCAATGTTTATAGACGAATATTGAAGAACACCGAGAATGTTTTTATAAATCTACACGTAATGTAATTCTATTTTCGTTGGGCAATTGAAGCGCGCTGGTGCTGCAATTGTTCTAAGCCTTCTTGGCCTTAATGCAACTGTTCACCAGCCTTTCAAACATCGCAGCAAATACACCAAACCAATTTTACTACCAATTTAATATTATTTTTAGCAAATTTAACCTAAATTTCATTATAAACAGTTAACAAATGCAAGAAAACATGAATGTTACTGCAAAATCTGAATTTATTATTGTTTTGATTACAATTAATCGAATTCCGCTGTGTACACGTGCCGCCGGCACGTGTAAGTATCTCAGAGTAATGTATGTCTCTAAGTTTGCTCCAGAATGCAGACGGGGATTGCCCTGGAAATCCATCTCAATATGTTGCTGCCGAAAAGTCGGCCGAGCGAAGAGAAATGCCTTATAAAACTGTCATGCCCACTTCCCCCTTGTCGCTAACGCCGCCGCCGCCATTCCAGCTTCGGGCAAAGCCCGCGCGCGTTATTTTTAAAATAAAAACCAAATGCCCGAATCAAAACGACTGGGTAGTGTGTTTTTTTGTTTGTTTCTCCAATGCGGATGACAATGTCGGCCGCTGAAGTACAACACCCACGATTCAAACCGTATAAGAGTACGTGTGAAAAAAATGCGCGTGGCAGAGCTTTAGCAGCTCATAATTAGTGCATCCGGTTTTATTCCGGTCTTCAGCAGCAGTGATTTAAAAATACAAATGTACAATAAAACCTTAACACGCACCAGACGTATAGTAATACTCGTACTTCTACACATATCGGTGATTAGAATTGACATTCACTTTACAGACATTAAACATTACAAAATAAATAAAGTCTGAGCGGAGAATAACAAAATTTTAGTGATAAAAAAATTATACAATACATTTGTGAATGATTGCGCATACATTACAAAAATTACTGAAAGCTTAACTCATTCAATGACCCTACCGGCTTACGAGTCATAAAAAAAGCAAATGAATAACATAGTAGACGTCCTGTTCGCAGATGCACTTTACATGAATCAAAAATTTAATTTTAGGTGCCGTGGAATAAAAGCTCGTCATCCAGCGGTGGTGCACCGGCCGCGTCGACGTCGGCGAGTAATTATGCGCACAAAAAGGACAACACAACTACAGCCAACAAGGTAATCCCTTTCTGCGCGACTAGACGAAGCTAGACATTTCTCGAAACTCCCAAGCGACGAGTGCGAAAATCGCAGACTAAGCTCACACTGTGTCGCCGTCTTGGCGATGCACCACACATCGCACACACAAAACGTTCCAGTTACTAGTTAATACTACAAACCATCTGTGTGTGAATGTGTGTATAAATGTGTTGGGTCTAAATTTATCCCCAAGTTGGTCGCAGCGTTTAGTTGGACACTGCACACTGCTGGCGCTCTCGCCGCGGTGCAATGCACGTTCGGCGATTACGTTCGCACCGACTCATTATTTCATCTATGCTCATCTTCTATGTATGAATGTGTATTTTCAGTATGAATCCACATACTCCAAGTCGCGGCCCGATGCCAAAACCAAGCCAGCCAGCGACAAATCGCCGACGGCGTCGTCGTCCAGCAGCGCGGCATCGCCGTTGGAAACTAAATACAGTACTAAAACCACAGCGACTGCGACTTCGACGTACACCGCCAGCGAACCGAGCTATCAGCGATTATATGGTGAGGCCAAGTTCCAATTCCAATCAATTGGCTACGTTTTACAACCGACCTTAAAATATTAACGTGTTTTTTCGTGCGATTGCTTTCAGATTCAACAAGAAGTGACTTGACCAACCGAGTGAAGTCACCGGTTGAGAAGAAAGAAAACCATCCACCAGTGTCTTACCGTCCGATAATACGAACACCAGGGACAAGATCCCGTGATCCTAGCCCTGTTTTGGACCGTGAAAAACCTTCAACTGACAGTAGTTATAATTTCAATCGACTTTACCCGCGACCTTATACTGGGGCAAGATCTATGAGTCGTGAACGCACGGATTCGGTATCATCTACCAGCTCAACCACGATTCCCAAATATACTGGACGATCCTCCTTGAATAAAGATGATTATTCGCCAAAATCATATCTTGGACGTACATCCAGAAATTCCTCTAGAGAAGATTTATCTTTGGCTAAGTATAAACCACCGGAAACCAAACAGGATCTTCTGACATCTAGATTTAAGTCTAAAGAGGACTTAAGTACCAAGTACAAATCTCCGACAAGCTCAACTACGTCTTCTACGTCTTCCGCCAGAGAATTGGGAAAGTACCAAACACCTTCCCGTGCTCCTTCAAGAGAAGACCTATCTTCTAAAGGACCTCAAAAGTTCATCACAAGTAGATTTTTACCTAAAAATTCTATAGAGAAAAGTCACACTGCCTATCTTAGAACTTCAACTGCCAGAACTAGTGAGGTGAGCAGAAAGAATCGGGAGCTCTTAAATGCTCTGAGTGCAAGTGCCCATAGTGACAAATCTACATCTGCTAGTAGTAGATCTGTTAGCAGGTGTTCCTCGGTTGCTCCTGAAGAAATTAAACCGAAAATTACACCTGTGAAAATTGAACCACCAAAGGTACAGCCTCAAACTAAAAAGTATGAAATTGAAACAGTATCCGTGGTTACAAGAAGCACTTCCCCAAATCCTCCAAGTCAATCTTCATACTTGAGAACCAGAAGGTCTGACTTGGCCAGAATTATAGAAAAACAAATTAGTCGACCCAAAGATCGAGGTGAAATGGTAGACAAGTCAATTCAATCAGACAGAATGGATGATACCACTAAATCATCGAGATTTTCTGGTGCGTCTAGAATAAGTGCTGCACCGTGGTCATCATTTTTAGATTTGAAATACTCCAGTCCCAATACTTCCAGTAGTGAAATGCCCAATACTGAAGCAACTGATTATAAAAAAGATACGAAAGTGATCTCCAGAAATAACTCATCAAAATGTATTAGTAGATCATCGTCTAAATCGGATTTACGTAGGAGTCGATCAACTTCTTCACAAAGTGACTCTAGTCAAGCAAGCCCAAGTCCCAAATCTAAGGCAACACCACCAAAAACTGTAAAGTTACCTCCAAGTGAGAAAACTGACGGGCCATCTATGCTACATTCTCTAAATACTCCAAATAAAGATTTCCGCAAGTCAGTATTAAATATGAATCCGGAAAAGTTGACCAAACGTAGTAATAGTGTAACTTCCGATTCGGATGCCGCCGAGGATCAAAAATCAAAGTTACCACAGCGCGTTACAAGTAGTGCTGAACGTGGTAGAAGATCTGAAAGTTCTTCCTCTGAAAGATCATCCAGTTCAAAAAGTTCTGATGATGAAACAAAACTTCATTCTATAAGATTAGTAAGCCCAGATGCTACATCTGCTATATTATCATCTGCAGATGAGTTATCTTTAGATAAACCTAAGATAAAAGTCAAAGGTGAGAAAGATCACGAAGCTAAATCTTTTCTCATGCGTGCTCTGGCTCCAGTTACAAACTTCTTCAAAGTTAAAGGAAATGATGCCCATGAAGGAAAATCTCATGAAAGTTCCGATAGAACTTCTAAAAACATTCCCGATCTGGTATTCTCTAATACTTCAACCAATTCTGAAGAAAAACGTCCCATTTTACGACAAATCAAAGCAGAAGATCGCACATGGTGGTTTGAAGATTCAGGTGAAGAAACATCGTCACCGAATGGCAGCAAATTAAAAATTCTACGTCAAGTAGAATCTGGTGAATTGGCTTGGTGGCTCGATGATAAATCTGAAGTCCCACAAGGAGTTGAAGTTATACCAGCTACTAGTTTTGGTGAAGACGGCGTAACAGAAGACGGACGTTTGATATATAAACTACGAAATGATTCAGAAGATCACTCCTGGTTTCTGGATTCTAGTTCAGACGCAACAGATAAGAATATTTCGGACATTCCGCGTAGTCTTTCCGATGAACATGAACACCGTTCATTGAAATTAATCCAACAAGTAGATTCAAAAGAAAAAAGTTGGTGGTTAGAAGATGACCCCAAGAGTAATTCTGCAAGTAATTCTAGTAAACCAAAAGTGCACAGAATTCAACATGTTCAATCAGGTGAACGTGCATGGTGGTTGGATGATAGTATTGAAGTCCCTGATGGTGTTATGGTGTACCCTGCCACCAGTACTGATGAAAAAGGTGTAATGAAAAATGGCAAGATAATTTATAAACTGAGAAAAACCGAATCTACTGAATTAGAGTGGTGGTTAAGCAGTGATTCATATAAATCAAGTTCTTACAGTGCCCCACACTCAAACCAATCAAAACAAAATGGTTCCTTGGATGCTTTAGAACCAGAATTTCTACAAAAATATAAAATACGTCATATTGACTCCGGGGAAAGAGCTTGGTGGATGTGTAGTAATGAAAATATTAACGAAGCGGGCAATCATAATTGGAAAACAACTCCAGCCGATGATGGTAATGACGAATTTGATCCAGGCGAGGTACCACTTGGTGATAGAGCAAGCCCTGAAGGTTTAGAAACACCTAGAGAAGATAACGAAGCAGGAAGAATGAGTCCCTACGACAATGTGCCCTGTTCAAATAGTTATAGTACAAAACAAAAACGAAGAAATTCTAAAGCTGGAATGTTTATATCAAAACATACAAATATTGATGATATTCTCGGAGGGTCTTCACAACTAATGAGTCCACTTATTGATAGAATATTCAACTATCAAACTTCTTCAAGTACAGAATGTGATGAAATCGATGCAAGTCAAGTGAAAATTCACGAAGGTCTTCCAAAGAAAAATATCACACATAAAACGTAAGATATTTCCGAAATTAATGCAGAAATATATTTATTATTTATGTTATTTATAGTGATGGACGGTATGCCACATCAAAGGACTATAATTCTCGGGTAAGTTATTTTTTAAATTATTTTCTGTTACGGATGTAGATGTGGATTTTGATACTTAAATACTTAAAAAACTTGGAAAGAAAGTACGGAAGTGTAACAAATGCGCTTTTCCGAACGCGCATCAAAAATATAACCAGCTGAAATAGCAGTGCGGTAGTAGGTTGCAACTGTTACGACTTTTAAATTAGCGCCCGGCGTTAAATTTTGGCAGGCGCCGAAAAGTCGGCAAGAAAATTTGAAAATTCAAATAGTAAAACGAAACGAAAATAAACACAAGCACAAAACTCGAAAGAAAATCGCACGAAATAGGTTAAGCCACACTTCCTGGTAGTACAATAACAAAACACAGAGTGTACTAATAAACAGATAAACCACAAACAATTCTCCAAATCTCAAGAGATTAACTAAAAGAGTTATGCGTATCATGCGGTATAAAAGTAATAAGAGCATGCGGTTTGTTGTGCAATAGCACAACTGGGTTGCCGATGCGCCGAATTTGCATTCGAGCTCCCGAAAATCATTGCCCCCAAATCCTAATTGATGATGTCAGTTGTCTTTAATGTTTAATACCAAAGCCTAATGACTTTCTCAGCTGTCGCACAAAGCGCGAGAATTTATTATTGACATAAATTATTTAATCTCGCGCCGTTGGGAATACAAGATGATAATGTAATTATTTACTCATTCGCTACCGTTAGTCGTAAATGTTCATTATGCAATTTACTTAATAAAATACATTAATTAATTCGCGCCGCAGTAGATAATATAATAAATCGAACTAAACGATGACATCCTCACGTATTAAAGCGATATTGTTGACATTGGAAATGCGTGGCGTGCGTATTTATCGCAAATCGATAAAATATTACTGCGGTGCAATTATATTTATGATTTTACCTGAGTGACTGAGTTATTCATGACTAGCGGTCGTAAACGTGTTTAGTTGGGAGTTTCTATTTGTAGAGGCTGAAGATACGAGCACTTACTCATATTTTCTTGGCTCTTGTTTCACCATGCTTACCGTGCTTACGATCCGACCACGCACATTTGTCGATTTTACTGCGCCAACGAACGTTGTGGCAAGCAGTGGCGAGAGCGTTCAGGTGGTTTTCAGCACGATCAGGTGTTTCTGGAGTTTGTTTCATTCTCCACTGCTGCGCTGCCTTCACATCAAGCATTGAAACTGAACTTGAAAGCGTTTATCATTTTTATCCAGCCGCTGAGCGCACCCAAATGCACCAGTTCTTAGTTTCAAGCTTACGTGAGCTTAATTATACAGTATGTCCGCAGTGGTCAAGGATATTTCATTATAACAATGTGAAATAAAAACAAGCAACGAAAAAAACAAATCGATAAAACACATTGCTACTGCGTGTGCTTGTTTAAATTTATCACGCGTGTTAAAAAAATATCAATAGTTTTAAATGAAATAATGACGAATGTTAATATTATTATCGATAAACAAATTATTTGTTCAATTTGTTATTTTAATGAATAATTATGATTTTTGTATGTTTGCTGTGAGCATAGTATATTTTGTGATTGTATTTTGCTCGGTGCATCTTGTCCTAAGGTACAAGATGCTTTTTGTGCGCTGGCGGACTCTTGGAAGACCTGCTCGCGGGACAAGTCCAGCAGCAACGGCGTCGTCGCCGTTGCCTTGTTCCGGCGCACCGTCTCGACCGACGTTCACGTTTAAACGCGAGGTTCGCGTCGGTTGGCGTTCAGTTTCGTCGCGCTTACCTCAACGGCAAGTTGTGCCCGCTCCTCCGGCATTCTCACCTTCCTTTCGTTCGTCTCTCACCGTGCGCGCGAGTGTCCATTGCAACACAAAGCTCCATTATCCCCTGAAAAAACAAAACAGAACAAGGTATAAATTATTTGCATGTAACAAAATAATTCGTTAATGTACGCGTAGAAATATTTACTTTCAAAAGTGTTATTAATTTTTTGTCCCTTATTGTAATACCGCGAAAGTAAAATTTAATTAGCTGGTTGCTTGTTAATTTTAAGCGTTTGAAACGGTGACATTCGAGTGAGCCTTTTGAAAACCTGATAAATTTTGCTACACCGTTGTGTAATTCCTAATTAAATTTGCTAGTTGCCAAGCTCGGTTCAACTCAACTCAAATAAAAGTTTATCAACTCTTTGTGCCGGTTAAATTGACCGCACTGATCGAAGTCGCGCCCGCCGAACAATTGCGCGACATATCAATCCTTTTTAAAATGACAATGGCCTGTCTCTTGCTTCATTTCGTATTTCAATTCCCGCTGCACGTGCATTAACGAAGTTCTGATGACATGGAACGCATTGTTTTGACCATTCTTCTTACAGCTCGATTGGAATTAAATAACGAGCCCTTTGCGCGTGAAAAGTGTACGCGTAGTAAAAAAGTTTCCGTTTTGTACAATGTGAGAAAATGTCTCTGACATGCCGGGTGCAGTACTTGAACGACATCGACCCGTTCGCGTACACGACCAACTTTCCGGATCCGGCGCGCCCGCCACAGCACACGTTCAGCGTCACCTTGCCGCTCGTCAACCAGCTGTCGGCCATACACCGCCTGCTACAGTCTCCGCATAGGGTGAGTACACCACGTACACTTGCCGCTGGAGGAGAGACAACAAGTCCGAACGGCCGAAGAAAAGCAACAGGTTTTTCTCGTAATCAGCTGCGCCGCACTGTGCTAAGTGCCAGTTAGCAGCGCGGCTCAAGTTGCGTGTGCGTAGAGGACTTAAGTGCGTTCCGAACAGATTTTCAAACGCGCGCGCTGGCTGCAATTGCAGTTGCGCTTGCGTGATTATTTATTGTTTAATAAGTGATATAATTCCGAACGCGGAATGTGGGTTACCGGTTAGGATAGAATTTGCAGCGCAAGTTAGGAGTTAAGCACGCTTAACACGTTGTGCAACTCGTAATTAATTCGCGACGCCGGCTTGCCGCGCATGATGCCATGCCACAACTTAAATTTCATGAATGGTTTGGTAGTTGCGGAATTCCGATGAAATGTTACGTGCCCTCGGTGTTTCCTTATGGCCCACCAGCTGATGGCGGTAGGTCAGGTTTGGGGCATACCTGTGTGCTGGGTGGGGTCGTTTTTTCATTGAGTAGAAAATTATTTGGAGGCGATTGCACGGCCAAACGATTATCATTCCGATGCGGTTAGATACCTAAACATCGAGATCGCTATCGGTCTCCGATTCGGACAAAGCAGACAATGGCAAACAATGCGAACCGAAGAGCTCGCCAGACGGTCGCCGCGATTTAATAAACACCATAAACGTTGCCACTTTGTTACCGCAGCGCAACAAAGTCGAGAAAATTAAAGCCAAAGTAAACTTGAGCGAGTTTTAAAGTTAAGCGCGACAGATGCGCGCAATGCGTTCGGATCAAAGTTCGCTTCGTGGAAGTTGCGTTTCGTTCGGCCGTTCGGGCGTTCGAGCATTCGGGGCCGCTTGTTCTTGCCTTTCGATCGCAGATTGCGGCTCGAAGGATTTGAATTTCATCGTTTGGCCGCTGGGTCGTTTACAAGCAATGTGCGCACACAAACGATGCTTTTATTCGCGCATAGGTAAACGACTGCGCGCGGTGCCTAGAGTACATACGCTTAAGTGCGCGGGGCAGCCGCAGAGAGCTTCGAAACAGGATTCCGTAAATTGGCATTGAGATTGAATCGAAACTGCTCGGCTGGACGCTCCGACTGACCGACCGACCGACCAACCCGGCGAGTGCGCTCGACTACGCACTTGAGCATGTTGCACCGGCGAAGTGTACTCAGGAAAATGAGCACCAAAAATAAACGAAAATCAACAAGATGCACGCCGCTCGAGTGTTTTTCTTCGCGTCGTACAATCGACAAGAAATCATTGAACGAATTTCGCAAACCGGTGTCGTCGAATTGTTTGCCACTCGGAGAATTTCTCGGTAAAAAGGCAACCGCAATGTTGTTTTTTTCGCGGAAAGTCCAGCGTCGTTTGAAGTCGTAATATTTTCCACTTTGGGAGTACATGATGCGCAACTATTACATCTTGCGTGTGCGCTCCGCATAAAGACCCGTCTCGTTTATTTTATTTTATTTGCACGGACGCAGTTGACTTTCCTGGCCGGAGTCGGCTTGTTTCATTCGAAATCCGGCGGACGCATGAATGGTTTTCTTTCTTTTCCGCTGGTCCGCGGCTTTTTCCACTCCGGTCGCTTAATGACAAAATGACATGACCGTCGTCGTGCCGGATCGTTTGGTTTGTCATGATCGCGTCGCCACTCATCATCGCAATCACAATCAATCAGTCATCGCGTCCGCTCGTGCACGCCGCGCGCCAGCAAACAAAACAACATTGTGTTTCGACGACTCTTCTTCTTCTTCTTCACCTCTCCGCGCAGCCTCCTTCGATGGCGGAGTGCGATTCGAAGAGTCATTAATTGTCTAAGTACTTTATGATCATGCGGCTCCGGAGTGCGCGCTAACCACGGCCCTCTTCTCTTCAACCTCTTTCGTAATGAAATAAAGAAAACAAAACAATAACTATATAGGTACGCGCGCTGACTGCCATTATATATGATCTTGTACTCTCTTACTAAAATAACAACTGTAAAGTTCATTGTTAATGCTTAGCTTTTTTGCACTAGTCAAACATAATTCTCATAATTCGCACGGAATTTTGTTGGAATTGTTTCAGTGCTCAAATTGAATTGCCGTGGCATTAGCGGATCGTAATTAACCCGAATTTCAAAGCGCAGATTGGAGCGTTATCTGATGTGTTTTCCATGAACAACAACACTTGACACTCTGCGTGAGATTCGCAGCAAATCTTGGAATTTCAAGATTTCAGTAATGCTGCTTTTAACATATTACCTACGTTGTATTAGCCTGAGAAATGCGATGGAATGCATTGCTTATCAATGCGCGGAGATGCTCAATGGAATTCCAACCGAGAGGTGAATTCTAACGCCTTCGTTTTGCTCTCTTTTATCGCCATATTCAAAGCAACTCTAAACTTTAA